TGTCCTTTGCATCACTTACTTGAAAAATAGAATTGGCCAAGAATGAGGAAGAATTTAAGAGTAGAAGTGATTTCATTGCTTGCCCACTTACTAGCTTTTTTTGATTGGTTTATTCAACCAGCATTTGTAGTTCTTTGGTTCCGAGCCAGGCACAAGGCTAGAAGTCCACCCAGAAGTGTGTCTCCAGTATTACTCCTTGAGTTGTTGTAAATATTTAGCTAGATAGCAGTTGAAAGTTTGAGTAGGAAATGTTTGACTGATGACAGAGAAGCACCGTGAGAGAAGGGACTGTATCAAAGACCATTAGCAGGTGAATTCACAGTTGGTGGACAAGGAGAGTTCACCCACATACTTTGTATGATCGTGGCCCACCTGTGTGCAGAGCACTGTTGTGTGTTATCAGGGATTTGGGGTGGTTCTCTGCATCAGCTCCTAAACTGGCAGTCAAGAAACTGCATACTGCAGAAATGGGCAGGTTTCTAGAGGCCATAGGGCCAGTGCACAGGTGTATTCACAACCGAGATTTCCCTCTGGTTGTTTAGTGTAAGTCTAAGCCCCTGGGACTTTAAGAGGTCCTGTTGCGTTCATCTTCTTTGTGCTATTGTTTTGGTAACTACAGAAATAAACCATGCTTACTTGGATACTTTGGAAAATAGGAAAAAGCATGAACAGAGTTTTCTCTTGAGTCATGAGATAATGTGCTGATCTTTTTACGTCTTTGCAAATGAAGTATGAGTGTCTAACATAACAAAACACGAAACATTTTCCAAATCAGTAACTGAGTTTCAAATCTGGTGTTTTCTGTGCAGATTACTTACTGATCTTCCATGTGTCCCACTGGGTAGACTGTTTCCAGTTTAATTCATTTATAAACAAGCCCACGGTAATGTCCTTGTGCCCATTCATTTTTTTCAGTCCTTGTTTTTGCAATACATGATGTATTTGTAATACATGATGATTACAGTCCTGGCAGAGTTGGTACATGTACACAGTGTGTTTTAATTCTTTGTTCTTCTGTTTCTTTTCTCTTTTCTCCACCCTCCACCCCTCTTTTCATCCCCTTCCCTTTTGAGGTTTTGGACTTAAGGAAAGCAGTTGTCCCAATTATAATGCATTTGGGATTTTGTCACCTCAGTGGCCCATCTTTATGTCCTTCTTGGTCATGCAGGTCCCCTCCAGCCATCACCCATGTGTTAAGACATGCTGTGCCAGGTGCATGACCAGCTATGACAGAGACCTCCCTCCTTCCTCCTGGGCTTTCTTTTGTGCCCCTCTATGGAAGCATTTTTGCATGCCCATCTACAGGCAGCTTAAATATTTATTTTTGCAGCTTTTTCATTTTAAAGTTACAACTTTAAAAATATCTAGTAAAATATTTTACTACCAGAAGTCAGTGTTCCTCAGTAATATAGACCACAGTATTTTAGGGGGTATTCCTATATGGATGGGATGGCACAGAATTGTGGGCATCCCTTTCACTGGGACAGATGGGGGCTACAGAATGCTATTAGGGAGGAAATATATCATCCTCACCATTAACAGAAACTATGTTCTGCTTGAAATTTAAGAAAATTACCACTGCAATTTTAGAATTTTCTCTGCAGATAAATGAAATATACGAGTTGCTAAATGAGGCAAATCATTCCAGTAGCAAATCTACTACGACTTTGCAGAGACGATCCAAATGCTTTGCATTGTGGATTGGAATTTTATTTTTAAAAATTAGAATAGACATTCCCTAAGTGATTCTAAAGGATCACTGGGAGTCATTTAGGATAGTTATGGTTGAGTTTTTATAGGAGGTAATTTCCAGAAACAAATGGGGTGAGTAAGTGATGCTGTTTTATAAATTTTACTCTCTATACAGGAATATTTATTCAAACAGATATTATTTCAGCTCACCGATCTATTTCTTCTCAGAATCATTGCTTCTGCTATTTCCCTCCTTTTCTGTTCTTCCTTCCACACCCTTTCCTTTTTGTTCCTACTTATTGGTAGTCTTACAATAAAGTTTCCCCCTGCTCTCCACAGTCCTGCTGGTGTTCCTGGCTGCGGTTTTTTAGGACCCCACTTGTCATATTTCCTCCTGGTTTCTAAGCGGTCATGAGAAGTACAGAGAATACTTCCAATGAACCCCGTGGTAGCCAGTGCTGACGTCGCCTACGGATTTCCACACCTCCGTCCCTTTGGCGTAGAAATCCGCATTTTCATCTTGTGTGTTTGTGTTTGAAAACTCGGTCTAAATCAATCTGGTTTGAACACAGGATATGAAATCCATGCAATCATTTTAAAATGATTTAAATCATGTTAACTTTCAGAAAAGACTAGCCCGTGATTTCCTATGGCTATTCAACAAACATTTGCTGTAGACCTACTGTGTGCTGGATCCAGCATACAAGACCTAAGATGAAAAGACAGACAAACTCAGGGTCCCTCCTCAGGATTGGGATGAACAGCATCATAATTTTTATTCACCCACCTGGAGTCCTGGGGCTCAATCGCTGGTCAGCTATCTCCCCAGACACAAGTTACCTCTCCAGCCCAATCTCCTGGTCTAATATAGCCTGTTTCCTTGGTTCTCCTCCTTACCTTTTAGCTGTGAAATCATCAGTCTCTAAGGACTGCGATTGTTCTTTGGTTTGAGTTATCACTGCTTGAGCCGGTGTTGCAGTTGATAATAAACAGGGAGCAGTCTTATTGGTCAGACGTAACAGCTTCTGTGTCAAATTAACATTTTTGAACCTCTAGTAATATCTGCTCTTGCTTTCCCCACTTTTTCCCTCATCTGGGGCTCATAAATCTTCATTCTTAATAGGAATGTTTGGCTCACCATTAGGTAAAATATTTCACTTAACTTAGCCAAAGCCAAGCATGGCACAGCCTGGGAATACTTAGGAGCTCCACCTTCTTCCCTACACATTGAGATCCTCTGTACTTTCTTTGTTTGTTTGTTTGTTCATTCGTTCATTCTTAGGGCAAGGAGGAGTTGTTCCCAACATCTCTACGGTGGTTAGGTTGTAACACTGTCCATGCAGCAGGAGCACGTACTGTGACAGGGCTGTGACCCTGCAGTGGCAACCTCGTAACTGTCCCATCTCTGGAGCCCTGTCTGTTCCAGCATCTCCAGGCCTAATTTATGCTTGTAATCTGATTAAGGGGTTTGATTTGTTCCTGCCTGCAGCCTTTTCCTTTGCATTTACCGTGTACTCAAGGACACGAGTGCCTGGTCGCTCTCCTCCTGCGCTAGGAATAGTCTCAACCCAATTTTGCTTAGACCGGCCCAAGGTCGTTGCTAGTAGAGCTTTAGTTGTAGTTGTTTCCAAACCTTGTGCAATCATGTTCAGAAGCCCAGGAATTTCCAGCTATTTGGGAGCTTTCAAATTCTCTGAGAAACAAGGTAAGGCGAGAGAAACAGCAAATGCACCTCTGTGTTCATTTTGTAGCGTATTTGCCTTGGGTCCGTTCTTTTCACGTGCCTGGTTAGTGACACCGGTCTTCTTGTACAATCCTTTAAATATCGGAGTTTATAAATGAGCTTATCTTGTAATTGCTGCAAATGTGCATGTCTCTAGGAATGAGTTAGAGACACTGCTGACCCAGTAAAGTTTGATATAGGAAAAATTGCGAATTAAATTGGAACGCCAGACTTGGAATCAAATTCTGGGTGTGCTCACTGTAGCCAAATATTTTTCTAAACCAAATGCTGTCTGTAATAAATTATATCTCGAAGGCAGTGGTGAGTGAGTCTCTTTTTATTAACTCTTCATGTCAGACAGTTTGGAACAAAATACTATCTTTTCAATGACTTCTTTTCCAGCGCAGAGAAAGATACATGCTTTCAATTTAATTACTGAAATAGCATCGCCTACTAGTGTTTGAACAAAAAGGAAGTGCTCAGATTATTTCCAACGTCCAATTAAAAACTACTAAGAAACAAAATTGTGATACTGCCTGGTTGTGTTATTTAGAAGCAACTGGAAAATTCCGGGTTCTGATTTAGAAGCTTCCTTCTGCACTCTCTGATAGCTTTGTGAACTGAATTCTCTTCTTTAAGTAGTTAAGGGGATGCTGGTATGGTTAGAGGGAAAACCCGAGCTGTTTCATTGGCATTACACCATTTATTTTATTGTGGTTCTCCAGATGGCCAGAATCTCCAAATTCCAGAATTAAGGAAGGGTTCCAGGGGTAGGTAATGAATGCCAGCTCTTGCTATATTTTATTCCACTTATTTTTCAAGCTTCTGCTCCTAAATATGAAATAGTAAAAGGTACTTCCTCAGGCAAAGAAGTTTCTGTCAGAAATCTGCCTGTGGTTTTCGGGGCGGACGAAGGGTTCCTATGCATGAAGCTGTAAAGCAGATTACTTGCCATTAGACTGGTTATAAATTTTGTCTCTCTCTGGTTTTTATTAACCCGTTCACTCGGGATATGTGTTCTTCATGTATGGAATTGTTATCAGCTGTCTTTACGTAATATATCTTATGTTCAGAAATAAAGGCATGGCATTTTGATGTGCCATGGTTTAGCCTTTAATGAAAACAGAAAAAGTACGGCTGATGAGTCTCTTGTTTTCAGTTCCCTCGCGTTTTTGAGGCTATATCAAATTTTATCAGGCAGATTACTTTCTACACTTCTGGTTACCTTGACCATATAATTGATTATTTGTTTCCTTTTTTGTTTTCCTGAAGTAGAGAGCTGTGTTGTCTGGCATTTGATTGCTTTTGGTTATTCTTGTTACCATAACAAGTTTAAATGGTAGCATGAATTATGTGGGTTACTCTTCAGAAGAGAAAAACAAAACACTTGTCTATGTAGAACTTCATATAGAAAATTTGATTCTAAGAACTGGTCATTTTTGCGTTCTTATTTCTTGCCTAGTTAATGGTTTTTTTTTTTCTTAAATTTTCTGTTCAAGTGGAGCTTCAAGAATGTTTTCCCACTGGATTTTTGTTAAAGTTACTGTGTAGCTATTTCAATGTTACATTATTTCTTTTCTCTTAGATTTCAACAAGAAAAACTTAAGCTTCATTGGATTCCCACATCAAAGAAAAGCTCCAAGGTAAAGTGGCCTTTGTTCTAGAAATACTGTTTCAGAGATTCTTAGCAGGTTTAAAGATGATTCTCCTAAATTTCTTTTCCCCTCAAGGCGGTGTAGGGATCAAACCCAGGGTGTTGCCTGTGTTGAGCAGATGCTTTACCACTGAGCCACACCCCAGCCATGGTCCCTTAAATGCCTAATTCATGAATTTAGGTGTTTGGCAATGTGTTTTCTCTCCCAAAGTTTTAGCAGGGGCTAGAGATATAGCTCAACTCCAGAGTCCTGAGGTCCCCTAGCATGTGTGACAGCCTAGGTTTGCCCCCAATAGTTCCTGTGTATGTATGTTATATATTATTGTATATTATATAATGTGTGAAGCAAGTTGCCAGATTGTCTTTGTAGTTAATAGCATTCATGAGACTAGTGGAAGACTAGAATGTTTATCCTGCTTACAACTAATTACAGTCTTATAAAGGGTATCACCTTTTCTTCCTCCCACCAGCCTCTAAGCTTGGCATGTCCTCCTATCTGTCCACCAGCTAAGGAGTTTTTGATTTTTAGAGAGGGTTTTGCCTTGTCCCACCTCCCTCTCTCCCTCTCAACCTTTTCCTCCCTCCACACACCCGACTTCCACCCTTCCCTCCCTCTGGTCTGTACCCACCCACCTGTCCCTGCGAGTTCTCATTGTCTGGTCTCAACATCTCTCTCTCTCCTCACCTGTGTGCTTCAAGCGCCTGTAGCTGAGGGAAATCACAGGTGCTGAGGCCCCAGCATACCATCAGCGTTTGAGTTAAGGCTTGTGCCAGAAAGGTGCTTCACTGTAGACTCTGTCACTATCACAGCTAGATGTTTTCCAGTGGGTCACAGAGTCACCCCCTGTACTCAGGCATGGATCTCAACCTAAGACTCACTGCACTGGGAGGACCAAGCCCTGACCTACCCTTCCTAATGTGCGGTGACACTGTCACATTACTAAAAGGACTTGCATTTCTTTGCTTTGAAGGACACAGGTGTCTGACTCCTCTGGTGCCCCAGGACAGCCTAGCTCTACGTTGGTCTTATGAACACATGAGATAGGGCAAATCACTGGTGTGTTGCATGCACAGGGACATGTAAGGTTACCTAAGAGTAATAATAACCCAAGGTAATCAGCAAGGTTGTCCTTAACTGAAAGAGGAACTCACGAACGTAGTGCTTAACGCAGACTCATTTCACATCTTTGGCATGGTTTGAATAGAACCTGAGGTGTATTTTGTAATATGTCCCTAGTGGGTTGTCTTCATAGTCATAGAGCTAATAAGCGACTAAGAAAAATAAAAAGGAATCAGGAAAGTATCGCATAGGAAAAGCATGCCTTGCAAAAGGCAAACAGTTCAGTGGACAGTGACTAGAAAGACACGTAAGTCCTGATAACCAATGGCTATCATTTCTTACGAACCTACTTCTAGATTCTTATGGGTCTATCAAAATTGCAGTCTAGGGGCTGGGGACTTAGCTCAGTGGCATAAGCACCTGCCTGAAAGCCACAAGGTCATGAGTTTGATCCCTGGTTCCAAACAAACAAAAGCAAAAAAAACCCTGCAGTCTGCTGGTACCTTACTAAATGTATAACGTGCTGGAAGTCTGATAACCTGCCTCCCGGAAAGGAATCTAGTCCACCACCCAGCAAGATGTAAGTAGGAAGCCATGGGCTTTCACCTCCCTCGTCTTACAGTTCACGTTTTGGTAGCAGAGTGAGAAGATTGCAGGCCAGCCTCCTCACCCTCCAGGGTGCCCGGGCAGTTGTAATGACAGTGTCATCCACGCTGCACAGAACGGACAAGAACAGCAAAGCATCCTGTACTCCCTTTACTAACGTTTCCCTTGGTCACCACCTCTAGGCCCTTATGTAGGTTAGTGGGACACACGAAAGAAAGAAAGAGAAAGCGAACAAACAGGGGAAGCAAGGGGCAAGGTCCTTCCAGATGACCGCAGTAGGAAGGAAGGTAAAATTAAAAGCGGACTCAACAAGAGCAAATGCTATTTCAAAGAAACAGCTGGAGAGAAATATGACGTTTCTTAATGTTAATTTTTAACTTACAGTACAGAAAGGAATCTGTATTAATGAGATATAGAAGGAGAGACGGTTTCATGCTGGAATTCAGGCTTGTAACTTTGAGGCCCACAGAGATTGTCCTTCAGGGAGCATCATCCCCGGGATGGAAGGGGACACCAGGAAGGCAGGACCCTCGCACTGGTGCTCAAGGGTCCTGCCCTGTGAGCTGGGCATGGCTCCCCTCTGGCACCTCTGGTGACCTAGGAAGGAGGGCTGTCTCATCCCCCACAGAGGACACAGGAGTTACCAGCTGGTGACTGCTCAATCCCTTGTCTATGGAGCACTGAGGGGAAGAGATGTGCTACTTGCTAAGAACCCAGTGTCTTGTGGAGTTAGGAGTCCTGCATTAATCACAGCTTTGGGGACCCTCTTGAGCCAGAGCCACAGGCTCTTGCACAGTCCTCTCATCCTTCCCATCTGCTCATCTGCTTCCTCAGAAGTTGCCAGGCCTCTAGCAGCAGCAGGAGTGAGGGAGAGAGGCAGAGACATAGGAGCCAAATGTCAACAGCCACGTGTATTCTAGCGTGTACGAATGAAGCTGTGGATTTTAAGAGATTACTTTATATGCAAATATGTTAATATTGCATACATGTGCACAAGGTGAACAAATGTAAAAAGGATAGACTAACAATTATGTGTTATTCTAAAGGTGAGGAACGAAAGGGAAGGAGAAGATTGATTATACTGATGTTACTGAATTCGCACCTTGCTAATTTTCTCAATATTTGTGATGATATCTTTGCCCCTGGCTATCATATTAACAGTGTACAAAGTATATACATAAAATGTTTTGAGGCAAATTATAATATACATTTGAAGTATTTCATGGCTGTCAGTCATTCATTCACTGCATGTTTATTGATGTTTCTCAGGGTGGGATAAAACTCAGTGGTAGGGCAAGGGCATAATATGTGGGAGGCCCTACGTTTAATTCCTTGCACCAAAAACAGTTTTGCAAAATATTTAAGTTGGGGCTGGGGATTTAGCTCAGTGGCATAAGCACCTGCCTTGCAAGCAGGTGGTCGTAAGTTCAATCCCCAGTACCGATAAAAAGGTTAAAAAAAAATTTAAGTTAGCAGTTAAATTCTCAATAAAAAAAAATAACATACCATTCCGTAAGTAGGGTACATTTCTTCAGGGTTTTTAAAAAAAGATTTACACTACATCATGCATCTGAATAAGATACAAAGTAGCCCTCCCTGCCTGACAACTCACTAGGGAGATGCTGGTGCTGACACCTTAGTTCCTGAGTAGACAGGCATCGTAGGGTCTGCAGTCAACCTAGCCTTGGCTACATAAAGTTTGATTGTTCTCAGTACTTTAAAGACACATGATACATGTAACTTCACTGCACTTACATACAGTTGCTAAAATGGCAGAGGGGCTTGGTTCTACCAGGGTGGATAGTGTATGATATTTTGAGGTATTTGAAAGTTGCTTCAAATTTACTTTGTGTATGGGGTGTAGATTATTCTTGTGACCCACTCAGATAGTATGCATCTGTGCACAGCAACTTTCTCCGTCTTTTTTTGGACTCCAAGGAAGTATAACACACACGGACACACGCGGACACATAAATGGAGGGACAAGTGCACAGGTGGTGCAAATACTTTCACTGAGGCCAACTATACCAGCTTCACACCACTACAACAGAGTCCCTGATATAAGCCATGTGAGAGGTAAAGAGAGGCGTATGTTGGCTCACAGTTCTAAAGATTCTGACCCCGGCCCATTGCTTTGGGCCTATGGAGAGAGCATCGCGTGTCAGCAGGACATGCATCAGGTCAAGGGATCACATCTCAAGCTGAGGAGAGACAGAGGTCCCACAGATCCCTTCAAGATGCACCTCAGTCACCAAAGGACCTCTGCAAGGGTCACCTCCTGAAATCCACAGCTCCCAACAATGCCACCCTGGGGACTGAGCCTTTGCATATGGCCTTTGGGGGACCCTCATCCCTACCATAGCGAAGAGGAAGGTCAGTTTCACTCCACATGCATTTTCAGGCCTTTCTTTCTTCAAAGCAGCAGGCTCCTCTGCCTTGCCTGATCCCAGCAAATCACCGTCTGAGACCCTGGCTTTGTGTCTCTAGTGCTCTCAGGACCAGCTGCACACAGGACAGTGTTGAAGCAGGAGCTGGATTTGCATCTTATTTATCTCCCCCTCCTGTTGTGTCCTTGGGCATGACTGGTAAACTCACAGCTGAGTTACAGCCAGCTCACACCCTGCTGTGGCCTGTGCATGCCTCTCTCCTGACTTGCTGTTGAGGGAGCCCTGCAGGAATGTGAAGGAGTCGGCCATGGTGGAAGTATTTGCATCACCAACAATTACACAAAGTGGTTGATTTTTGCATAACCAGAAGGTCAGAGCCAGTTGTAGACTGTCTGAGTAGTGTACCTCGACGGGCCTGTGGAGGTAATGGAGATTGCGCCTGGAAGCTTTTTAGAAGAGGGGGAAAATACACAAAAATGCTCAGCTCCTTCACTGTTCTCCCTTTTATTTCCTCTTTTATTCCAAGCTCAGTCTTTGTGAATCTTTCATGTGGTTTGACTGTGTCTGATTCCTCGGCTCGTTGAAGGCACGTGCTACTGAAATATAACTTTAACTCTAGGAATCAGTGCAGAGAGCACCTCAACCAGTTGCTGGCTTCCTGAGGAAAACACTAGTGCAGAGAGGCTGAGCAATTAATCCGAGCTCGCACAATGGTTCAGGGTCTAGGGGAGGTTGCCGTTCAGAACAAATTGCTAAGACTCCTGGATCCAGCCCCGTTACCTGCCAATCAGATGTAACTACTTAACTGCACAAAAATCATAATCATATACAGGAACTGGAAACAGTTACTAATACACTTTCCCAGTAAAACTGTTTACTTCTTATATACTTGTCCATATTTAACTAAGTGAAACCACGACTTGTTTTTTACTTTCTGCCTTTTCCCCTTATTGTTCTGTATCTTGATTTAAATTGAGTTTGAACCCTTTGTTAATGGCATGTCTTTTAGCTTTCAGAAAGAGCTCTTACTTGAGAATAAAGAACAATTTCCTAACCACAAAAGAGGACTCGATGCTAAGCTCGGATTTGTACCTCCAAAAGGTAAGACTTTTTCTGCATGGGAAATCAGTGCTGGGCGCAGGTTAGGGACCATGTTGTGTGTGTGTCTTCCAGGGCTTCTAGCCACAGCCGCCAGCACAGTGTCTTTGTGACCCTTTCTGCCTCTTCCCAGAATTAACACCATTTAATGTCCCTCCGCTCTTGCATTTTGAACCCTCAGCTTTCACTTGCTCTTCTCTTTAGTTTTGGAAACTCTCATATTATCAGTGGAGGCTGGGTCAGTAGGCAGAGAGCAGGATCAGCTTTAGCTCCTCTTACTCTTACCGTGAACTTCCCCAAAGGCCTCGAGTGTCTCCCACTCCCTCCTGGGCTGCTCCCACTGCAGCTTGCTGCTCCCAAGAGCCAGAGGTTTCACATTTAGTACTTGTACCTCCCTTTCAGGGGCAAATAGCTGGTGCATGCTGCATCCTGGTGCTTTCTCTTCCCCAGTACCATTCCCATGTTAACTGTTTTCGTTGGTAAAAGATGTGCATGCCATAAAATCTCTGCACCCAGTGTAGCCTGAGTCGCTCTAGTTTTGCCTCTGAAATAATGTGAACATTGCTTGATGTTTTTGTTTTTCCCCACTAACTGCAACACTAGCACAAAGAATGATCATTTAGTAGCAGCACACAAAACATCCTCAACCCCACAGAGTCGATGGAAAGGGAAATTTTTTATTCTCTGTTTCAAAAAGAAAAGAAAAACAGATCAAGCCCAAAAGAAGTTAGATGTGAAGAAATATTCTTTTAATAGAAACTAAATCCAGCCTTAAAGGTGCACTGAGGAACCGTGATGTGTCCTGAGGAGATGTTGGGTGCCGCGCTGAGGCAGTCTCATAAGATGAATATTTGAAATATTCCAGGGGTTTGGCCTGGTAAAGAACACTTATGAAGGGACATGCTGCCATGTTCAAGTCCTTAAAAAACTGTCAAATGAGATGTAGGTTTATTCTTTGTTGCTCCAGAGGCCAAGAAATAAGAATAAAGGTGCAGAATTATGAAGAGATAGATGAGATTCTATCTGAGACCAAAACTACTGGCTGGTGATGCCGTAGTCCCCTTCTCTGCAGGAAGTACCCTCCGGGCCCCCAGGGGCTATCTGAAACCCAGCTACTCCTGTACTCTCTGCAGTCTGTTTTTTTCTGTGCACACGTTACCTGTGGTGATATTTAATTTATAAACTAGACATATTAAGACATTAGCAACTAATGATAAAATATAGCAATTGTAGTACTATATGCTAATGCAAGTTATGTGAAGGTGGTTTCTTTTTCTCTCTCTTTTGTTAGAGTTGAGACAGATAGTAACATTTTCAGGCCACAGTTGCCTGAACCTGGCACAGGGAAAATGAAACTGCAGACAAACAGGGCCTCCTGCACCGATCAGAGAAACAGGCAGCACTGTGGTCTCACCAAGCCTGGTCCTTCAGTGTGGAAGGGAAGCTCATGGCTGTGGGCTCAGGGTAGGAAGAGGCTGGCAGTTCACACCTGAATGGGTGTGTGCGGCAGGTGTGCAATGGAATGGTGCCTCTGACTGTTAAGATTCTCTGGGACACACACAATTTAACCTAAGGCAGACTCAGGTGTGTAAAGTGCATAACTGTGATCAAAATGGAGTATGAAGGTAAACAAGGTGATTCCAGCCAGAGCTGAAAAACATGAGCTGTTAGATACAGTTTTGTGTGCCAGGAGTGTCCCTCTTCTCTCCCTTTCTGCCCATTCCTTTAAAAACAAGCAAGCAAACAAACAAACCATAGAAATATCACAATTCAGGAAAAGTAACAATGTAATGGAGGCTAGGTTTCTTAAGACTCATATTGTAATTTCGTATGTAACAAAATTGAAATAGATACAATGTATCATAACTTATTATACAAATAGAACTTATGCAAACCAAAACAAATGATTTTATATATTAACCAGATTTATGTTTGTAAGTTATAAAGCTTTAAATTTTAAATCTTTTTTCTGCTTCACACTGAGAATTGAACCCAGGACCTTCTCACTGAGCTACATTCCCAGCCCACCCCACCCTTTTCATTTAGAGGCAGAGTCTCAGTCACCAAGTCTCCCAGGCTGGGTTTTCACTTGTGATCCTCCTGCCTCAGCCTCCCTGAGCACTGGGATTATAAGGGTGTGCCACCACGCCTGGCATCTTTAAAGCATGTTTCCAAAGTGCTCGTGCCTTTCCTCTGACCCTCACCTCCGTTTTCTGCAATGTCACAGACCTGTAGTCTTTGCTCTCTGTGACTGTGGTCAGCACATCTGGAAATAACCACATACATCCAGCAATCTTTTTGGTTCTCTATCTTCACAGATACATTAATGATTTTGCCTGTTGACTGGTAGCAATGTGACGTTTAAAAAGGTATTGATTATATTGCCTTTCAGTGATACAGAGTTTTCTAAGTGTGCTGCAGTACTCTCTGTTTATGTACTGAGAGATCATTGCTCCTGTGACATTAAAGTAGGTGTTCTTTCCCGCCCCCCTTGGGGGGTGTCCTGTAACTGTGTAGCACAAACAGGAAGGCGGGGGATTAAAAACTTCACCTATGTAACATTAGAACATTAAGGTAGATTTCCCATTTTGGGAGGGCAATAATATCCACCTGTCATCCCAACTACTTGGAAGGCTGAGGCAGGAGGGCCTCTGAAGGGAAGGAGTTTGAGGCCGGCCTGGGAAACACAGTGAGACCTTTTTTCAAAACACAAAATAATAATAATTCATGAAATGAGTCAAATGCATTACTTTCTTTAGCCCGTTTTATTTTGATATGCCATGCAATCAAGAAGTGAAAGCGTACAAGTCATTGACATTTTGCATTCACACAGTTGTACATTCATCTCCATACTCAGGTTTAGAACATTTTCATTATTCATAAAGAAACCTTCAGCTCTTTCCTCCTTCTCTTATTCTTCTAGTTTGTAATTAGTTACTTTATTTGCTGCTTGTCTTTATGTTAATGGCTGTTGTCCAGGGGTAAAAATTAAAGAGCATTACTCCTGTGGGCAGTGAGACCAGCACGGGGAATGTGGCAGGCCTGGCCTCTGTTTTCAGCCAAGTGGTGGAAGGCAGGGAAGTGTCTCTGGCAGCTCCCTATTGCTTACTTCTTTGGAGGTTTCTACTATACTTAGGTTTGGGGGAGCACACCCAACAATGCCTTTACTAGAGCACTTCTGTTTCTGAGAACTAATCAGAGGAACTGTGTTTCCCAAGAATGGCAGCGAGGGAGACCAAGTTTTCCTGAATATTCATGTTATAATTCTTACTACCAAGAATTGTTATGTTAGTAAATAATTTAATGCAGCCCTGCTCTCAAGTCTTCTTAAGTGGCTGCTGTAGTCAGGGGTTGCAAGGAAAGCTATCACATACAGGACACATAATTCATAGTATTATTTACAATGGTCACCCAAGAAGTCAAATACAAAGAAAGTGCAGGAAATCTGCCCACAACTAAAGACCCAGAAAACCTAGCAAAGGGCCTGGATCCTATGAAATAACCTGCATGAGTTTAGTAGAGCCCATAATAATGACTAATGCAAGTCTGTTTTATGGATCTGTGTTGGGAAAGCCCAAAGGTCAGCTGGAAAATCATACATGGTGTTTAAGTCGACTGCCAGTTCCCAATCTGCTATAGTGGCGTTAGCTGAAAACTGACTCCCCAATTCTGATCAGATATAACTAGAGAAATGACTGATAAGCTCCATATTGCCACAGAGGTTCTGTGCAAAATAACAGCAGGGAACAAAGGTAGCAGGTATAAAGAGATAATTCAGTATTCATGAAAGTCTTACTGTGTTTGAAAGCAAAGTGAATCACGTCAGATCACAGTGGAAATTAGACCACCTACACTTGTTTATAACCTGTATTGCACGATGACTAGTATTACTAAACTCAAACCATTTGTGAGTTATAATTATGACACAGAGTACAGTCAGTTGACTTATGGCTGTCGAATCTGACTCTGAAAAACATTTTATTACTTATTTTCAAAAATGTGCACTGCAGAATTTAGATAGAAAGAGACATCATGCTACAATTTACTCTTATGGTGGAAAATAATTATATAATTATATAGGCTTGGGTATGTGTATGCAGATACACACACACACACACACACACACACACACACACACACACACATATATATATACCTGCTTAAATATATGTATTAAGAGAGCGATAAAATAAACCATACATAATAAAAATGTTAATATATTATGAAAAGGATCTTTTAAATTTTCTACAAGTCTGAAATTATATAAAGATGTTAAAGCAATTTCCAGGATGACAAGAGAATAACTTTGATAGAAGTTATTACTTTGAAAGCAATCTCTCGACATCAAGCAATGGATTTATAACATACATTTCCACAGCAGGGCTGACTTCAATTCATGATTTTTAATATTAGCTTTTTTTCAGTGTTGAATAATCTGACTAAAACTGTAACAGGAGCTGTAAGAGCCCACACAAAGGTGAGGATGAGGAAATGCACACAGCGCAGCAATTCCAATAAAATGTCAGCCTCTCTTCCACAGCTGAGGAACTTTTGCATGTGCTGTACCAAAGTCATTGTATTACATGCTTGTGTTGCTGATTTTGCTTTTAAATTATGGTCTTAGAGAAAAAAGTTAATTCAAATACTCCTGTCGTCTTGCACCATCGTGTATTACTTATAACCTCCTGTGTGTAGCTAGGAGGCAAATCTTAGGGACTGGGAAGTATATTGCTCTTTGCTCTAGCAGTGTTTCGGAAGTTGCCTTAAATATTCACTGCAGACTTTCACTGAGGAGCAATACGCTTGCTAATACCTTTAAAGTGTCTTTAAAGTAAGACCTCACCCGTTCTTTAGTAAGCCATCCACGAGAAACAGGAAGTGTGATCCCAAGCACCCACTTTGCTGCTGGGTGGACAGCAGTTGGAGGCAACTGAGAAGAGTGTGGTGATGGGCAGGGGATCTGTCTTGGGTAAGCGAGGGCACAGACACCCAGGGGATAGATGCCCACTGGGTATCTTTCTAGTGGAATCAATGGCTCTTAATCCAGGACCATGCCTAGAGGGCTTTGGAAGTGTGGAGGCTTTTTTTTTTTTTTTAATAGAGATGTTGTGTCACAGGAGCTCAGGCTGTTGGAGCATTTCATGGGACAGCCAGGCTACTCAACACACTGCAGTGCAGAGCTCCCATGTCTCACTCGGAACCTCTCAGCTCCTCATAGTGATCCAAGGTCTGGTCCAGAGCAGCTCTCGGAGTCTGGGACTCTGCTGTGGTCTCTCAATCAAATGTGACCTTGAGACTTTTTCCCGGAGTCAACAGTTGTCCCTTGGCAGTGTTTACCGGCAGAGCAGCCAGTCTGTTCTGTCCTGCAAGGGGCAGGGAGGCCGACCTGACTTACCCCATCCCTCGCTCTGCTGTGGCTGCTCCAGCCTAAGGTGTAGCTTCTGTGATGACCAAGGATTCGGGCCATTGTCCAGTCCCAGTTCATGAAATCTAAGCCCGTAGAGAACACTGAAACAGGAGGGCCGTATTGCTGGACCAAGGCTGTCTGCTCAGCACCTGGAAGCCAGTACTCAGGAGGAGAGTACTGGCAGAAGGAAATCAGGTTTGTACAAGGGCCATGGCAGTGGAGGGGAATGTCAGCTCAGAACACCTGGGTGGAGAGCCCCATGGGGGAGGAAAGGAGATGGACGAGATTTCCCTCTGGCTAACCATCACTCTTGACCTTGACCTGCCAGGACTGGTTACAAACATGTTACACTGCTGCACCTTACACACAGCACCGCAGTGGTTCCCTGCTTTGTGTTCATAGGTACACAGAGCTAAAGAGTTAAAGAGGCAATTTATACTTCCTCCTGTTATCCGAACACCAACAGCTGTTTAAGGTTCTGTTACTCTAGAAGAACAAAGGTTTGTTTTGTTTTGTTTTTGTTTGTACCAGAGATCAAACTCACAACCTCGTGCCTACCAGGTAGGTGCTTAAGCACTGAGCTAAACCCCGGCAAGGTTCTGTTACTCTAGAGAAAGACTGTTTAGCAGGCAACATGTTAATCACTTAGGTAAGTGTTTTAGGATTTATGCCAGCAAAGAAAGAGGAAGCAAAAATAACCCTGCCAAGGACAGCTTCCCGTGGGACTGACCGCTGTCCTGATAATGGTGGGGGAGAGACAGAGCTTTATTGTAGATGGGTTTGCAGGGTCTCCTGGTAAGTCTTTTTTGTTTGTTTGTTTTATTTTTGTCATTGGCTTATTTTACTTTTCAGAGATACTTTAAGGATTCTATTTCCAAACACAGTATTTCCCATCAATTTTTAAAAGCTATTCAAAAAAGTGTTATTTTTAGTTGATCTTTCCTTCTAGAATACGGGAAACAAAGAATGCCAGGAAGCAAACTGTCACTCAGCCTTTAAACCAACCCCTGGGATCCTTTAAAAAATCCCTTTACTTGTAAATTTCTTTCAAAATCTTAAAAATAAAACACTAAAGAGAAAGTAGTCTTCAACAGTCTCTAATGAGAACACAAAAAGTGTATCTTAACCTTTTTCCGTGGGAGTTAGGACATTCTGTGTACCCATGCTTTTGATCCCTACCCAGTTGAAATAATGCGGGGAAGAAACATTAACTATCCTTACGCTGTTCAGGACCTTATTAATACAACCCTGTGTCTAGTTATGAGTTTGAGGCAGGGGCTGAAGGTGCACCTTTCAGAACCAGAGTTCTCGAGCAGTCTTATGAAAAAGACAGTTCTCTTTGGGGCTTCAGTGATCAATTAAAACTCTTTGGCATTTTTCAACATTGAAAATATTTTAAAACAAGTGCTACTCACCATTGAAGTTTTGGTCCTTGTCTTCTTGCAAGACTTTGCTGACTGGGAAGCTCTTACCAGCCGGTCTTTGTCAGGCGAGGCAGGGTGGCAGGGTGTGCTGGATCTCTGTACCCCATCTCCGAGGAGCAGGCAAGCAGGCACACCTCTGCCTGCTAATGCTCAGAATCCAGGGAGCCAAACTCAGAGACTTCTGAAGCCAAGGAGAGGGGTTTGCCCATGCTGTGGGTAGAATGTAATCCTCCCTGCGCTCTGCCACTGCATGGCATTCCCACCCCTTTAAAATTTTGTTTGTTTGGTTTTTGGTTGGCAGTACTGAGGACTGAACCGAGGGCTCTCACACTGAGGTACATCCCTGGTCCTTCTTTTTAATTTTGAGACAGGGTCTTTCTGAGTGAGTGAATCAGGTGCCCAGGCTAGGCTCAAACTTGCAGTGCACTGGGTTTGTGGATGTTGTGAGACAGGGTCTCAGTAGACTGCCCAGGCTGACCTCTAATCTGGCCGTCTTCCTGCTTCACTCCCGTAGGTATCTGGAATGATGGACTAGAGACTTAAAAAAAAAAAAAAAAAAAAAAAAAAAAAACTACATAGCAGCTCAATCAAAACCTTAATGTTGTAAGGTGTTTTTAATTTAAAAATAAAGGGAAAAGGATTCTAGCACTGGACACAAGAAACATTATAAAAATCATGTGGTTTTGACTCACTACTAAAAATGACCACTTAGAAGAAACTGGAGCAGTTGAAAATTAAACTTTGTATCCTCACTCCTCCTGGGGTTGCCTCCTGTGCATCAGTCCTCCCGAAGGATACTGGTGCTGGCTGCCCTGCCAGCCTTTCCCTCTGTTCCTGCCCCTTCTTGGCTCTTCCGAGGACCTTAGGAAACAATGCAGCTCAGGAGGAGGTGAGAAGAGACCTCTGTTCCCCACCAACCCTGGCCACTTCCCAAAGAAGCAATGGTCAGGCGTCTCCCTGTCTCGGCATCACAGGAGAACCTCGTAGCCTCAGCAAAACATTTTTCTGTGGGTCTCGAGTGCTGCCAGAAGAACTGAGCTCTGGCTCCCAGCTCAGTTCCCCATTCACTGACTGACAGCAAGGAAACCTTTCAGGAACGTGTCCTTGCAGGGAAAGCTTGAGAGGGACGCTTGGAACCTATGTTGATGCACAGCTCAGTTAGAGAGGTTTGCTGTCTCGGAAACACAATCATGCAGGTCCAGATGTTTACTTGTTACTTGAGAGGTGACATGGGAGTGGCTGTGAGTTCACAGTGACCTGTGGGCTTCGTAGTACCAGTCTCTGGGTTTGTAGGTGTTTTCTAGAGTAAAAGCTTAGAATACTTTGTTAAACTCAGCAAAAGCTAAAAGCAGGTAGATACTAAAATTTCTTCTACAAACACTTCTAGAGAGAATTTGTAAGGCAGGGGGCTCCTTGGCCTCTCCAGAACCATCCGGTACCCTGCATGAGCTCCCTTCTTCACTCAGCATGTCGCATGTGTGTGTAAATGCCTGTGTGTGGCTGTTGGTGTTCACCCCTGTTCACTGGTGTCTGCCTCCCCTGGTAGAAAACAAACTCCAAGAAGTTCGGAACTTCATTAGTGTTATGTACAGTGCTGTGTGGAGCAAAGCACAGAATTGTGAGGTCAGCAAACTTACGCTGCATGAATGAATGAGAACGTGACCACTAACTAGTACACTTTCTGTTTTGCTCTCGTTTTTTGTTTTGTTTTGTTTTAGTTGCAGAATTAAGGAAGCTCTTTGAACCAAAGAAACAAGAAATTTTAAAAATGAAAAGGTAAGACATTCCTGGGGTGTCATTATGAAGGGTTTGGTAGACAGTGCGGTGTTATGTCTTCCCTTCGTATCGATTTACACGGCTCACGGTGCCTTTTTGGATGCAATTCACAGAAAAGAAAGAATTGCCAGACGCTTGGAAGGAATCGAAAATGACGCCCAGCCGGTCCTCTTGCAGAGCTGCACGGGGCTCGTGACTCACCGCCTGCTGGAGGAGGACACGCCCCGCTACATGCGCGCCTCCGACCCCGCGAGCCCGCACACAGGTGAGCCTGCCTGCGCTGCTGGAGGCGCAGGTCCGCTTCCTTCTTCATGTGTCACCTTTTTAACTAACGGTACTGGAAATGAGCGTTTTTGAAGCAAACTATGTATATAATTTTTAATAAATGTTAAACCGCTGCAACAAATAATCCATTCTGCCCCTCAGCTGTGGTCCTGCTCTCTACAGCGGTAAGGAGAATGGTAGCACCCCCTGGGCACGTTGCTGGTTTGAATGGCTAGCAGTGTCCATCCCCCAGCCACACACACCCCCGCCCTCGAGATTCCTCAAAGGCAGGCTTTGTGTCTGACTCTGAGCACAGGGTCTGCTGTCGGACATGCTCAAGACAGGGTCGTTTGCTGAACGAATGAATGAATGCAGCAGTTCCTGTAGGTTTAAACCCCGTGTCCAGGTACCAGCACAGAGAGAGAGTTACAAGCAAGGCTGGACCTGGAATGAATAAGATTCTTATTCTTATTAAGGTTCTTATGTAAACGTAAGGTTTTTACAATTTACAATAAAACATCCTATTTAAGTTGTTGTAGTGTAAACCAATTAAATATATTGCATATATCAATTTCATATTAAGCAGCATATTGAATATGACGCAGCTCTTCCTTGGTTAGGTGGGGTCACTGTCCTGGCCCTCAGCTGTTCAGCATGGCCTCCAGGAGATGACAGGTGGGGCTTCCACCCCCTCTCTGGCTCTGAGGCTCTGTCCGGCTGCCTTTAAAGCCAGTGTTTCTGGGTCCCTTCTCAAGCAGGACCGTTGGTCTCATGTCATGGTACTGGCAGTGGCTTGTGTTTATATTCCTATTTTCGATGACTAGAAATCTAGAGAATTAAGTATTTTTTTAACGATACTAAGGAAGAATCAAGAATAGTGATGAGAATACCAAAATTCATAGCCAGAAATAAGCCCTGGTATATATAAATGTTTGGTTGATAATTTAAGCATCAAATATTAGAGAGAAAAGGAAGATATGTTCAGTAAAATAGTATTAGGGAAAGGTACCAGCCAGGGGTGAAGGGCATGGCTCACCCTGTTTCCACTTCATTCGCAAACCAAAGACAAGACTAGCTACTCCTGCAGTGTTTTAAAGAAAACATTTAGAAACAGGAGAATGTGGGTGAATATCTCACTCCCATAGGATGGGAACAGGCCTTAATGGCACAGCAGCCGTTGCAGAAATCACCAGACAATCAGGTCGATTGACCTGATGGCTCAACACTGTCTCTGCACTTCAGAGGAAATGCACAGATGTCACACCAGAATTAAATGACAAGCGAGTCTGGAAGTACTCATGAAGATGACAAAGGGCTATTATTCCGATAAAAGTTTATATGAGCTAATAAAAACGATACCAGGAATCAGTTTACATATCACAATAAGCCCAAGCAGGAATTTTCTAGAAGAAAAAGCAATGTAAATGGCCAATAGCACAAGTGAGAAAATGTGTATATTCTTAGTTTTCTAATGATCAAAGGCAATGTTTTGAAAAAACCAACACTCAAACTTGTGAGGACGCATGTTTTGCAGAAGTAAATAGAAGTTGATCCAGAATTTATAGAAATTAATTTGACTGTCTAGCCAGCGTGTCTAAATGATGTACCCTTTGATAAACTAATTCGACTCTTACGTGTGTCTATGTGATAGAGATAAGAAAATCACAGGATGGAAAGTTAGAACCACACCCAGTATTAGAGCGAGGGCTCACATGGTTATGGGATACCTGTCGGGTAGAATACTGTGAAGTTTAAAAGTGTTACCTTCAAAATAACATTTCCACATATAAGGTAAAAAATTTATATAAGCCATTAATGACATAAATATTTCATGTAGAAAAAAGAACTATATAAAAGACTGGGAAGAATATATGGAATATATAAAATGTCACATTATTAGTGTAAGATGTGATTATTAGTGGTTTGGCTTTGCATGTTTCCACACTGGACATTTCTTGCATCACGTGTATGCTACAGTTAGCAGAAGCCGCACGCATATATATGTACATACATGTATGCATGTAAAGCAACAGATCCTGTGGGACTGCAGACCACAGCAGATCACTTTGCAAGTGATAGCTGTTCCAGTGTATCATTTCTAGAAGATTCTGAACTTGTCCTTTTGACCTCACATGTGAAGTATTAAACTGAAAAAAGAAAGCACAAAAGAAGGGGAGATAAGCTGATAGCAAGGCCAGCTGGCGCTCTGGGGCTCCCGAGGACTGGGTTTAGGCCGCGCCTGCGGTGACTCCAGTGGCCCCGGGTCCTGCAGACCTGACCTGCTCAGCGTCCAGGAGAACACGCGGGGCGCGCCCCGAGGTGAAAGCCGGGCCCTGCAGAGAGCGGGCGCTCGGGTGCGTGTTGTGGGGCCTGCTTCCCTGAGTGCTGATCCTGGAAGTCCATGTCTTTGCTGGCCTCTGCCTATGATCCCTGTGGTCTTCTTGCAGGGCGATCAAATGATGAGGAAGAAACTTCTAGCTCCTCTCTAGAGAAGCAAACGCGAGCTCAGTACGGCTCAGAAACCTCAGGCCTCCACGGTGGCCCGTCCTGCCGCCCAGGCGTCATGGATCTGCACGGTCCGGAGTCCAAGGCCGAGAGGATCGCAAGGTACAAAGCGGAGAGGAGACGACAGCTGGCCGAGAAGTACGGGATAACTCTGGACCCCGAGGAGGACTCTGAGTACTCGTTACGGTACTCCAAGCCCAGGAAGGACCCCGATGCTGTTGACAAACGAGGAGGAAAAGCCGACCAGCAAGAAGAGTCAAGCACAGACTTGAGTTCTACCTACTCCAGGCCTGAGACCACGGGGCTCAGGACCGGTGTGGTCGAACCGGAGCACAGGGGCGACCTTTCTGACAAGGAGGTGCCTCTAGAGGTGCAAAGCCAAAGACGCGGGCAGGAGCTGAGTGCGCCTCGCAGAGCACCTGACCTCACTGACAGCTCCTCGTGCTTCTCCTTCTTCTCCGGGCGAGGCTCCTCCTTCACTGAAGTGCCAAGGTCCCCAAAGCAAACCTATAGCCCCTCACTGCAGCAGTCAACATCCCCGTGCCACTCCACAGGGGACCCAGAGACTCGATCCAGGTAAGCACACAGCCTGGCCTGGGCACGCTGCGCCTGCATGGGCCTCAGCTGTCTGGGGAAGTCATCTCGGTGTAGGGTGATTTCCACAATACCAAACAGGTTCCACCAACGCCACACTTGCTATGTGTTTGTTCTTCGCTGTTTGAAAGTAACAAACTAAAACAGGTATTATGGGGACACTTTTGTGTCCATGCCAGGACCCTTCTCTTTGATGAGTTGTTCACTTGCCTGTCATGATTCATGTTTGTTTATTTTTATGTAATCAAACCCAAGATTTATGGTCTAGGGTAATTGCATTGATTGTTGATGTTTAGAATCACAAAATAACAGGAGCCACACTAGCTAGGGAAGGGTGCAGAGTATGATTGTAAATGCACCAAATATGATCGTAACATAGTTGCACAGCTATGTAAACGCACCCAGGGACAGTTGTGCGTAAGGACAGCTTATCCTTGCAAAGGTTAGCTGTTGCTGGTCACAGAGACACCCATCTGTGATCCCAACTGCTCAGGAGACTGAGGCAGGCAGATCGAGAGTTCAAGGCCAGCCCGGGAAACGCAGAAGACCCTATTAAAAAAGAAGTCAGCCATGAAGAGAAATAAAAGGATCCATCAAAGACAAAAACAGCTATCATTTGGAAAAATTGGAAAAACCAGAAAGTCAAATGCCAGGAAAGAATATGTATTTCCAAACTTAAGTTGAAAGATGTGCTGATCATATTTAAAGAGCAATTGAATTAAACATTCTGCTTAAAGGTAAAATTGTTAGGTAGATTCCTAAGTGCATTTTTTCAGTTCAAATAAACAATTGCTTCACAGGTGAAATGAGACAGACTAACCACCAAGGTCAAACCAGTTTATTCTTGGAAAAAATTATACATATATGGAAAGTATATGTCTATAATGTGTACATCAATTCTTTTTTTTTAACCATGTACTTGATCATGCAAGCTAAAATATTTAGACATCAGCCTCTAAGATAATGAAATATGGTAAAGGCCGAGATTGTGTTTCTAGGACCTGGTTCAGCCCTGAGACACAACCACTTGAAGTTAAAGGACTGTAATGTTTGTCTCCTTTTCCAAAGGAGGTCTTTTGTTCAGGAAATTCTCCTTTCACAGTAGAAATAGTGTTCTGAGTTTAGTTATTCTGTATCAAAGGAAATCCTTTATGTGTTTTGTGAATAGGACAAAGAAACATAACAGGTCCCAATTTAAGAAGAATGTAACAAGTATACAATTACCTTCAGTTAATAACAAGCAGCTAATTTCAGGTCGCCATATGAGGGCAGAAGTTCATTGCCACACCGTCCAGATTTGTCACCTAGATTATGTGGAATAGAAAGAATCTCAGTAAGATTATGAGTCAGTTGTAATGAAAAGTTTGTTGAATATTCCAAGTAAAAAGATAGGACACTTGATAATTTTATGTGGGTTAAACTGTTAAGATGTGAAAAGGTATCTAACATACCTTTACATCATCACACTTGAAGAAAAGCATCACTAAGAAAGCTGAGGGGCAACCTATGGTCATTTCTTACAGTTTTTTTATGGAGCTGTATCACCTAAAAGTTTTGGAAATCCCAGTTCACTTTCAGTGCTTACTTCCGTGAAGAGTGGGTGGAGAGGATTCAGAATGTGTAAAGCACCTGCTGGATTGGATGAAGCTTTCAAAGGTGTGCAGTCATGGTTCATGGGCAAAGAAACACAAACCATGTCTGATATGTTAAGGAAATGCCTGGGACTCGTTTACATAAGGAAGATGGAAATAAAGTGTAACAAGCGTGAGGTTTTCAAAAATTAAGCTGTATTTTGTGATGATTAGTGATTCAGCTTGCAAAAGAGGCTATAAGATGGATTGGCATTTTGCTTAGATATCCTTTATCTAGAGCCAGGAAATTCAGATTTCAGAAAGTCATTCTTACATGGCTTCCATTTGAAAAGAAGAAAAAAAAAAGCTTCATAACTTAAAAGAGTAGCAAAAGAAACGATGGTGACTTGAACAACATAGAAGAAAATGTGTCATCTAGCATGGAAATATGAAGCAGGAAAGTTTAAAACAGTTAATGAGGAGAAAAGTGTCTGCAAACGAAATAACAAAGCAATCTTGATGCTGCCTTTTTTCGTGAGTTTGGTCTCCTCCTTGAGACATGGAATATTTTTCTCGCTTCTGTACTTTCTTGTCACCTTCTCTGTCCCTTTACTTAATGGTTAAATCTCTGATCTCTCTCACTTCCATTTTATCATTTAATTCCATGCTGACTTGCAAGGACCTGCTTTCTATTACTAATTAAATAGAAACATTCCACTCCTAGATCCAAAGATTATCTGGAAATTTGGGGACACTGTAGTCGGAAGCCAAGAGCACAGAAGACCCTCCTGTTCTCTGACATCTGTGAATATTTGTGCATGGGTACATGCATCATTAATTCTTGTACTTCATTATGCTTTTCTATTTTTAAATCTTTATCAGTTAAACAACAGCTGTTAGGGCAATGTTTACCTAAGTAATTAGTTTATTTTGGAATTATTTAGCATTCCATTTATATAATGAATGGGTTTTTAAAAAATTAATTAGGGCTGCGGATGAGGCTCAGTGGTAGAGCTCTGACCTTTTATGCATAAGGATCTGGTTTTGATCCCAAGCACCACAAAAAAATAATTCATTAATTAATTAATGCTTGATGGATGATGTTGCAGAGTTTTCAGCTTTGGAATCCTGTTACTAGTTGTACGGGAATTCAGATAAAAAATTGTTCAAAAAAAATAAAAAATAAACTAAGAATATTCATCGTTGCCAAATAGAGTAGCCTAAGGTAATCCCCTGCCCCAGCTCCTCTAGCTCTTCCAAGTCTTCCAGAACCTGTTCTCTAGAAAGGTGATGTCACATGACTAATCTTTCTTTATAAATTCAGTCACTGTGAATTATTCAAGTTTCTAAAATTCTGAATCACTGCTACTAGAAATCTTGAATCCAAGCTATTATTACAGTTGCTATTTTGTGCAACATTTATTTTAGAAAAAGTGAAAAAAACCTCAGGAAACGCCCTATAGTTTTTACTAATGTGGGTAGAAAGACTGGCTGCGTAGGGTCCCTAGCTGCTGTTCCCGAGTGTTACCTGTCACCGTCCTCCATGGACTCTGATCGGCAAGCGACAGGCCGAGTGGAAGCTCACACCTTATCAGAGAGGTGCCCCTGCAGCGTTGTTTTTAGTGTGGGACCCAGTCTTGGACACCCTTGTTCCTTATTTCTTCTTCAGGATTTCACTGCCATCCATCACCACCCCTTTCACTTAGCAGATTGTGTCATTAGTGCCAAGAATATGATTGCAGGGGGTTTGTGAAGAGCACAGTGTGACTTGGGACAGTTGCCTTTGGTGGATGCCAGTGGACAAGAGCTGCACTTGGACCCCAGGGATGTGTAAATCCTGGCTTCTCTTGCCGAAGGGTTTGATAGCCAGGGTGATGCTTGATTGACCTTTATTATTCTCACAGTTTATTTAGTTCAGTACAATGCACAGAGTAGGGGCTTGTGAACATTTGCCAAATGAACCTAAATGAGTATATCTACCTGTCATGTCAGCTGCATTATTCAGTGATGAATAAAAGAAAGTGCAGATCAATTCAGGAAGATGTTGCAGGGTTTCTTCCAGAATTAAACTCCAGGAGACCCACCAGGAGAGACAGAGCTTCGGTTAGGTGTTTGTCACTTGTTTCTGATGGCACTTGCCCAACACCTGATGAGAGAGTTGAGTCTAAAATAGGCCTCAGAGCCTCAGGTTCTCGTAAGTCTGTGTCCATGCACTGATAAGGATGTCAAAGGAGAGCAGAGTGCGTGGCCCACAGCCTCTTATCTCAATACTGCTCCAGGAGTCAGTGCAGAGCATCACGGGTACCCCTAGTGCACCATGCAGACTCTTCTGTTCTTCCCGTGCAATCCCTGGACCTCTGCACAACTACACCTTGACCTAACAACCTTTGGCTACCATTATTACAGTTAAATGCTCTCTACTTTTTAAAAAAACTCTGTTCTCAATTGTAAATGGCAATTTCTAGTCATTGAATTAAATATGGATACATTTCTCAAACTGTCAGCCTGCTGTGTATAGCAGCTAAAAATTTAAATGTGCACCAGACTTGAGATGTCAACTTTTGTCCGAGAGCCTGTACTCTGGTGCAATTGTACCCTTGTGCATATATGCAAAGCAGCAAGATTTTTCCTAAACAGGCAACTCTTAGTAAATTAACTGTTAATTTCATTGGGATGCAGCAGTTCGTAGTCATGCTTCTTAAGCTGAATGATGTGTTATAATTAGAAGTTTTGTGTAGAAGGGAGCTGGCCATCGTAATGAAGCTACTTTTACTGCGCTAGATGTGACTTTGCTGTGGTGGGAAGCAGTTTTGCCTGTTGATTCTGATAGTGAGCTAAAGGCTATCATTATGTACCTGAGGGTGCTAACTTGGAGAAACAACTATTGGCTTCTATGAAAATTGATGGTGCATCTTACTTCCTCTTAAGAGAAGTCTCCGGGGCTGGGGGTTTAGCTCAGTGGCATAAGCGCCTGTCTTGCAAGCAGGCAGTCATGAGTTCAATCCCCGGTACCGATAAAAAGGAAAAAGACCAAAAAAAGAAAGAAAAAAAAAAAAAGAGAAGTCTCCTCCAGCGCTTGCCACATCAATAAGCACTCTCTTACACCTGAGCCACCACTTCCTTATTCTGGTCCCCAGGAACCCTGTAATCTTCTTCTAGTGAGGTTATGGCTGCGCTCTGGGAAGCTGGCTCACCTCAGCCTCACGGAATAAATGCTCTATGTTAGAGAACTTTAGATTCCTGGAACCAGAAGTTAGCCTGGAGATTATTTTAAGAATCTATTTTGTACATTTAAAAATGAAAGCTCTACAAAAGTAACTTGAGGCCATGGAACTATGTTAATGAAACCAATATCATCGTTAACCATCTGTCCATTCACTCAGGTTCTCTGCGAGTTCCCTCCACTACACTTCCTTATTTTTAAATCTGTGTCAGTCTTTCCATCATAGTGACAATGAGAGTTCGCTGGTTTTTCCCTTTGAAAGTCAGAGATTTCAGGAAAGATCGGATCAGGGGCATTACAGAGTTTGAGAAAATTTAGGTACAGGAAAAGCATTGTCCTTATAAATGCAACAGAAATTTGTGGTCTGGAGTGATTTGAACCGTAGCCGTCCCCCTGCCTGTCCATGCCTCATCATTTATGGTGTTCATTTATAGGTTAACTTTAGCTCTAAGGTAGCTTAACTAACCACGAATATTATACGGAGCCTCTTGTGTGCCAGCCATTGGCTCCGAGTGAGGCATATCACTTTTTCAAATGTGGGAAGTAACTGCAATACCAGAGGTGATGACAGTCCAGAGGCTGGGGTTGGGTGCTACAGGAACACTAGGGCTGGGATAATAATTCTCTCTCCTTAGACACAGGGATGCAGTTGAACTATGGCTGTAATGACGTGTTAGGTTTTCTAGATGTGGAGGAGAGGCTGCAGCAGGCAAGCAGTCACAGACCTCCTGTGAAGACCTTGGAGAAGGGGGCATGGTGACACTGGAGAGCCCGGTGAAGATCAGTCATGGAATGGACAAGGGAAAGTGTCTGAAGGGCTTTGGAGCAGAGTGGTAGAAATACCACTCTGGAGGAGTGTAGCGAGTTGGTCTGAAGGAGAATCAGTTACAGTCAGGGATGGTGGATTGCATGGCGGGTGCTGTTCCCAGGCCTGGGAGCATGAGATTTGTGGGTCCAGGCTTGGCATGGGCATTCACTTGGTTCTGCTGGCATTTCATCTGGAAGGTGTCACGAAAGAACTATACGTACATTTTTGATGACAGGAATAATGAGAAGGAAGAGATATGACAGGGACAGAAAGAAAAGAGAAGATATAAACATGAGAACAGGAGAGAAGATGGTCCTGAAGAGCTGTTGGTATATCAGTCAGTGCACCATCACTATGATGAAATACCTGAGGCAGTTAACCTATAAAATGGAAAAGTTTATTTTGCCTCCTTGTTCTGGAGTTTCCAGTTCAAGATCAGGTAGGCTTATGACATTCAACACATTATGGCAGGAGCTCTGTGGCAGAGTGAACCACGTACAATATGAGCTGGGAAACAGAGAGAGACTAGAGGCCAAAATTCCAATGTCCTCCCTCAGGTCATCTTCTTAGTGACCAAAGAACCTCCCTACTTCTCAAAGATTCTACCACCTCCCAGTGGCATTTCATGGGGTACCAAACTTCTAGCACATGGACCTTTGGGGGACATTCTTCTAAATCCTAGAGTAGTTTGTAGGAAACTGATCTAGAAGCTATAGTTGACAGCAAGTTCTTTATATGACTGCTCAGGCTTGGGGTACGTTCATGAAAGCGAACTGTCTATAGCACAGGTAAAGGATAGTCCACCTATGTGGTGCAAAAGTCACATTGTATGTTGATAGCTCATTTTAATAGAACTAGTGACAAATGGGAACAGTCCAGAGGAGAATCCCCCTTTCCATCTGCCATCCTTCCTTGGCCTTTCCAGGGTTTTGTTGACTTATCCCTATCTTAATAAGCCCTGCAATATCTTTTGAAGTCTCTTGCATTTTCTCTGGTGCTTCAAATCAGTCTCTCCTTCTCATTTTCAGTTGTCATTTTCCCAAAGCTGTAGATACCAAAGCCAGACATAGCACTGGGAAACCCTAATGCTACCAGTGTGACTTGCGGTTAATGATGATTCTTCTGGAAGACAAAGAGGAAAAATGGCTGGTGGGATGTCGGCCTGTAATCCCAGCACTCTGGCAGGCTGAAGCAGGTTGATGACCAAGTTCAATCCCAGTCTAGGCAATTTAACAATTTAGTGATATCCTGTTTCAAACTTTAAGAATTAAATACATCAAAAGGACTGGGGATATGGCTCCATTGTGGAGCATCCCTGAATTCTGTCCCCAGTACCGCAAGAAAAGAAAGAAAGGGAGAATCAAAGGAGCTGTATATAGCCTAAACTTCACCTGCACCTGAGGTCCTAGGAGAGACAAATAAGCAACACCCTAGAGAGGTGGCCATACCCAGCAGAAGAAGTTAGCAGTTTTAGTCAGGGGTTCCCAAACATGGCCCCATGAATCTGGTATTATGCTAGTCTGTAACGCTGGTAAAGGTAACTTCAATGATAGCATTCCTTTAGTAGTTTTAAGGTTAGATACCTTGTCTTAGTCACTTTCCTATCTTCTTCCCAGCTGCTGCCTGGCACCCAACAAGTCATGTCACTCAACAAATCAGGTTTGCTTTTAGTTTTGATTTTTTGCAGTGCTGGGGATCAAACCCAGGGCCCCACATATCTGGGAAAGTGCTGTATCACTGAGCTATATTTCTCACCCAACAAATCATTTTTTATAAATGTTCTGCAGTTTTTCTGTTTCCTTAAACAATCACCAAATGAAAGCAGCACCACTTGAAACAGACAATCTCCAAAACGTTCATCAGTCTTCGCCTGAATGTAAATCTGGGACTGTTTCCTTTGTCAAAAAAGTCAACTATGAAAAGAATCCAAGCTGAAGTAAATAGCAGGCTTCGGTGATGTTAATTTTCATTCTGTTGCAAGCCTCATATCTAATCATAGCAGCAGTGATACCAGTCCACGGAACACACTGTATAACACTTGTTTAGAATTCAAGGCTCTTTCCAGATTGCCTGAGGTTGGCATTCCTGGGTATGTATGGCTTTGAGTCATTTTTCTTATAAATGTTCAACTGTGAGAAGCAAGCAGAAATTCACTGGCTGCTTTGGGGCTTTGTGAACTCAGTCTGCATCTCCAGAAGGCTGAGTCTGAGCTAGTCTTGTGACCAAAGCCACATGATAGCTTTCCATTTCTGTAACTAAACACATGAGATAATCAGTGTATACAGAGGAAAGGTTCATCTGGGCTCATAGACTCAGGCTTCAGTTCACAGTTGCTTAGTGCTTGTAACAAAGCAGTGCAACCCTGGGGAACAGGCAGCAGGGAAAGCTGCTCTCCTCATAGCAGCTGGGAAGGGAAAAGACAGGCAGAGGAGGAACCAGGGGCCCAGTATGGGTTCTAAGGCCTCTGTATACCTATCTTCCTTCCACTCACCTCTGCCTCCTGAAGGTTCTGTTGCCTCCCAGCACAGCTGCGGGCTGGGGGCCAGACCTTTTATACGTGGGTCTTTGGGAGACCCTTCTAACATACCAGCTGTCCGTTCCCTGGATTTCTCTGTTCTGGGGAGGGACTCATATCGGGACCAGAAACGTGGAAATCCAAGCCCAGCCAATAGCGAGAAACCCAGTCCACGTAGTAAGGCCCAGAGCAGCTCCTTCCTCAGACCTCCCTGTCTCAGCTGAGTGGACAGCACTCAGGCTTTCAGCCCTGAGATTAGCATGGAGAGAGACGGGAAAAAGTCAGTTATTTCACAGGTTCATCCTGCTTCTGCCCTAAGAAACTTATCTGTAAAAACAGGTAAGTTTGAGCATAGAATAAGACAAAGTTCAGTGGTTGCTGGTGGTGACAGGCTCTTGCTTGTCAGCTTGAACCAAACTTGGACAGAAATGATTTTAGAATGATTTTAGAATGTTTTATGGTAGGCAGTAGGGGGCAGTAGTGAGCACCTAGCCAGACCTCAGTCTTTGAGACACCACTAACCAGTATTCCCTCTTGCCAGTGCCCGCTCCATTCAGCACTTGGGTTTCCTTGTTTTCTTGTCTCCTTGTCTCTAGTAGTTTCCAGCAGTTAAATGTAGGACGTGGTTTTAACAGCAGGCAAAATCCCCAGTCCTGCTGCTCTTTTTTGGAGATTGCCTGGAGCTATAGTGTGTTTGCAGCATGGGGCTGAAACACTCTTGCAGATAGGTTCTCACTGCAGGGAGCTAGTAAGCAGTTAAGTACACACTCTGCTACATGGTAAGAGGGTAGAGCACACACCAGGTAGCACATATGCAGTATCCCTCCAACGCTGCATTCATTGGTAGGAAAAGGGTTTCCTTCCTTGTTTACGGTTTCTCTAGGCTATTCTCCCCTGGTCTAATTACTTAGTCCCATTCTACCTTGCAACAGTGAGTACCCACAGATGCGTGTGTAAATCTCTGTTATCTTTACACGATGCAAGATCTTCAGCGGTCAGGATGATGATGACTGTTTTACCGTTGTTTCCTCTCATAGTTATTCAGTGTAATATTTGGTACTTAGTAAGAGTTCCTTAAAACTTTTGTCTAATTCGCCAGGATTAACATTTATACTATAGAAACAATTGTATTTTTCAATGATAAAAGGGGAAAGTATCATGGCAACTAAAGATATAATCTCATTGGTTTCTTTGAATGTTTATTCAGAATGTAATATTTTGTATGGACACTGATGTTATATTTAACTACTTCCCAATGTGCTCCAACAAAGCTTACAGAAGTTAAGTTGCCTTCTATTTTTATTCTGGGTTCTTTCAAAATAATCTCTGTTTGTTGCCAGATCTGGATAATAGACTCTTTTTTTTTTTTTTTTTTAACAATTTGAAACTACTTGAAAAATACTTTGGTGGCTTTAGGTGTATTTATATCTACCTCTTCATAGCCAAGCTGAGCCAAGTATTCTAGAAGTTCCATGAAAAAGTATAAACCTTGGAAAAATACACTTCAGTATTTTCAAAAGCTAGGATAATTCTTCATTTGAAAACCTTTAGGTCACAGTTATAATAAAATGTGTGGATGTGGATGTTTGTAAAAGGAATTCTCTGAAGTTTTCTTATTTGTACACGGCAGTGCAGGGAAAGTGAAGCATGAGTGGTTTCTCCAGAAAGATTCTGAAGGGGACACACCTTCACTTATCAACTGGCCCTCCAGGTACTGCTCGTGTGGAGACACCCTGGCTGTGGATGCCCCTGCTCCTTGCCCTCCAGCTGTTGTCCCACACGTTTGCTAATCCCGTCTGTCTTCCTGGCCTGTTGAAAGACAGTGCGCTTGGAAATCCTGTGTTCAAAACGGTTGTCGTGTAGTTGTTTGCTTTTGTTTCCCGTTCTTCTAATCCATGCTGATGGTACTTCTTCCTCCCTTCCTCTGACAATCCCTTTACTGCACTTTCTCACCTACTCACTAGGACTAGGCAGTAGGGGGCAGTAGTGAGCACCTGGCCAAACCTCTTGGCCGCCAGTCTTTGAAACACTCACTAACCAGTGTCCCGGCTCCATTCAGCACTTTGGCCTCCTTGTTTTCTTGTCTCTCTGTCTCTAAACGAGGGCATGTGGTTTTAACGGAAGACAAAAGCCCCTATCATTTCATTTTTAAGCTTGGGGCAGGGAGAGGCGGTGAAGTAGGAATGAATAAGCCCTTGGAGGCTCAAAGCCCCGTCTCGAGTTCCCAACAGTGACTTTGTTCTGTGAGGACAACGTCCAGATTGTCTCAGATCAGAGGCACACATTCCGCAGGAGAACCCGACTACATTGCACTCTTCCATTGATTGAAGAAGGCTGTAAGTACACGAACCTCCAACACCGAATAGTCTCTGAGAGAAATGACAGCCCAGAGTGCTTTTCCTCAAAGTCCTTCATAGGAATCACCTTTCCATAAACCCGGTGACTCCGCTTCATAGTGAAGTCTACATGAACACCCTGATCCTGGAAAACAGAGGCATCTTTATGACATTTAGTGCGATGTGCTTGTCCCTAAAAGGGACTATTCTGGCCGTGAAATGTGAACCATAATTACTTTGCCTGACTCATGAGAGCGGTCTCCATTTTCCCCAAGAAAACTCTGCTCCCATCCCCAATGCCTCTGTACTTCCTATAGGTAATTCCTAGCCAGTAATCCACTCTCAGTTTAAATGTTCTCTCCTCTCTTATTACATGGCTTTTCAAAAAGTAAAAATAAGCTAACACGACTCAGTGGGGAGAGACGCTAAGTCAGGAGCTTTGCAAACATCACATTATAGCTCTTTTCCTTCCGTTTACACATGGAAGCATGGGGTCAAACCCAGGTCCTTATATATTGGAGGCCAGTGCTGTGCCCCCAACCCACTTCCTTCCGTTTAAGGGTGAAGCCACGGAGGTGGAAGAAGGGCAGAGAAGCTGCTCAGGGCTCTTAGGACCCACAACCAGATTTCTTTGTTGCTTTGCTTCTGCAGGAGGGAAAGAGACCCATGGCTCTTGAAAGGGTTTGCGTTTTTGCTCTCAGATATTCAAATAACTCTGGAAACAAGGAGAGCCATCTCTTGTTAGATTAATTTTTAACTAAGGACGTAACACCAATTCCAGAAGGGGGAAAATGTTCACTTCATTAATTCTCTCAACAAATAACTTTCCTCTAACACTCTCGGGGTGCCACCATTGTTAGTAGTGCTGTCCAAACTGGGCACGTGTCTTAGGGATGGGTGGGTGTGGCCTGCATTGCATGAAAAGGACTGGGAATGTTTCATTGGGTGTTTTGAGAGAGAGGTTCTCATCCCCTGAGCTATAGAGATGAAAAGCATAAATGATCACAAATGAATTTGCATGTTTGGCCCATAGATGTTTCCCTGGAGAGGGCACCCACATGAGCCCATGGTCCACACGCACTAGAACACGCAGGAAGCTTCCGGCTTAATGCACCTGTCCCGGTGTGCCCTAATGCCTGCCAGGGTGATCGCTAGTGAACTGTTCAGTGCTCTCTAGGCATTTAGTTAGTCGAAAGGAACCATCCTCCTCTGGACATTGTCTGACCCCTCACCATGGGGCTCAATGAGTTTGGCCTCACGCTGGCCACAGATGCAAATTTGGGAAGTAAAAACCGTTTATGTGGCAAGTGCTGGGTTTGAAACCCTGAAATAGCTTCCTGCAGCCTGAGCTCTGTGCATTGGTTTCCCTTCCCTGCAAATCTGCATTCTGCACATGTTCTCTTCGTGTTCAGTGTCACTGTCCATTGCAATTTAAACCTTGTTCTTTCTTAAAGAGTTAAAGTTAGAGAGAAACTGGTGAAAGAGGAGAGTGCCCGCAGCAGCCCTGAACTTGCCTCCGAGTCCTTCCCTCAGAGGAGACACCAGACAGTCCACTACCTGTCCTTTCAGTCAGAGAACTCGGCCTTCGATAGGGTCCCACGCAGAGCAGGGAGCTCGATGCGACAGGCCAGCCGAGCTTACATCCAGCCAGCAGATCCAGTTCCCGTTGCCAAGCTGGTGACAGCGGAAACCCCAGAAAGTGTGTCCGAGAGCAGCTGGGTGGGCTCAGTCACCCCGAATGTCATAAAGCCTCCCACCCCGAAGGTTCTAGAAGGGGAGAGAAGGGATGCTCCAGTCCTCCATGTCTGTGAACCAAAAGCAGAAGAAGATGTGCTCTTCCCTGACACTCTGGAGAAAAGCCCAAAAGCCCTCATGACCTTGGAGGATGAGGGGCTTTCGAGAAGCCACAAAGATGCCTCTGGGAATGAAGACCTAGGCGGTACCCATGTCACCTTAGATGCTCAGAAGGAGCCACCAGCTCAGGACCAGCCCACCAAGCGGATGGGCCGGAGCGAAGTGGTTTTGTACGTGCAGAGTGAGCCTGTGCCGAAAGAGGCCAAGTCCACTGAGCACAAAAAGGAAGTAGCTCCAAGGAAGCACAAGGTCCGCACCCGCTCCATGTCTGACTACACGGGTCCCCGTCATCTCCAGGCCGAGCTGGAGCTGCAGGCATCCAAACCTGAAGCAGCAGAGCCTGGCATGCTGGACACCAGGGTCTCTGTCGCCCAGCTCCGAAGTATGTTTCTGGAGTCTGCCAGAGCCAGCAAGAAACCCGAACTGTAGGTGCCCTTACATACACACTCCTGATGTTTCACTTGCACGTCCTTGGCAGTGTGACTCACTTGTGGATGTGTGCCGTGTCCCTCGTTGAACCTTGTTAGCTTAGCTCACTGGCGTGTGCAGGGCAAACTACACAGGAAATGGCTCACCCACTACCATTCTGCTTCTGCCTACTAATGGGAAGCTGGAGGAGCGGGAGCGGGGCTGGGGTGCTCCGCCTTGTCTGTGCATGGTACAGGCATGCAGTGGGGTCGACCTCAGTGCCTGAGACCCATAAAAACCTCTGCTTTATTCTCTTTCCCTGTCTTCCTGTTCCCCATGCTGTGCATTTCTGCTCTCTGATTCTAAAAGCCAAACACGGGCTGAGCCGTCACCTGGAGGAGCTGGCTTGCCCACCGGTATGGAGCAGGAGAGAGGGTCCCGGAAACCAAGACGCTATTTCTCTCCTGGTGAAAGTAGGAAAACTTCTGAGAGATTTAGAACTCAACCTATAACGTCAGCAGAACGGAAGGAATCAGATAGGTAGGCATGTGTGCACCGAGTTTCATAGTCCAGGAAAGTAGAAGAAATGATACAGCCTTTTTTTTCTACCCTTAATGGTTCTGACGCTGCTTGCATAAGATGTTGCTGATTCCACGATGCTTACATCTAATCTGTAGAGAATACTATTTGGCTTATTTAAATGTATTTTTAAAGAATTTGATTTTTCCAGCACTATCACAGTACAGTCTTACATTCAGATGGTGAGAAACAAGCATTTTTCTTTAATGTTAATTCCTTTCTAGTCTTCTTAAATTTGAATTGAGTGCTCTCCAGATTTTCCATGAAAATAAGTAAGAAATTTTATATTCATTTTGTCATGAGTGTCTACTTGTATTTAAGTTTTTGTATCATCACATGGGATTGCATAGACATGATGCGGTTTGTCAAAAGTGTTTTATCATTGGTTCTGTTTAAATAGCTTGATCCTGGCTTTTCTCCAGGAGGTGGGCACTTGGCTGGCATTGTGGATGTACACAGTCACAGTGTCTGTTAACAGCTGTACGTGGGTCTTCACAGCTAGAACTGCTGCCCAGACGGGGAGTTCAATTGCACCTCTATTTCTACGTTTGATGTGATAGTTTACTTGGATCTCCTCCCACCACTAATTTATTATTATTATTTGCTAATGTCTTTCCTAGATACACTTCAAGTTCAGAAATGCCAGCTGTTGAGGGCAAGTACCTGTTTTCCTTTTTCTTTGTTTTCATCTCATCTAAGTTATATTTAAGAAATAAGATGCTTGGCTTTTTGAGAGAATAAGATTGTAGTATCTGGCAGTTTCATACTTTTCTGCATGTTTTTTCCTGTAAATGTAATCAAACCTAGTTGAAATTTTCTGATGAGCTTACTCTTTATTTTTGAGAGGAGTTAAGAAAATCCTGAAGTGAACAATATGAAAACAAGTGATTTGAATTTTTTAAAAAAGCAGGTTTTTCTTGTTAGTGCTGTTATTCAGCAGTAAGAAAAAACTTCCATAAATCTGTCCTTAAATCACCATTAGTCAAATCACTGTCCGGACACAATTTGGTTTGGTTTGGTTTGAATTACAGGAGAAACTAGTACCTTTGAACTGAGCACAGAACAAAACAAAACAAACAACAACAACAACAAAAATCCCCAATTCCTAGAGGAAAATATGCCCCGTTGTTAATTTAGCTCATCTATTCTAGTTTGCGAGGGATTTCCAGGTCAGTCTTGGAAAATGTCCCGGAGATGCTGCTTATCTTTCTAGTGGGGACCAGTTTTTATTTCTCGCCTTTTCACAGATGATGAGAAGGTGGATGAACGCGCCAAGCTGAGCGTCGCGGCCAAGAGGCTGCTATTCAGGGTAAGTGTGCGGGAAGGGCCCGGGGGAAATCGTAGCCCCTGTGACTGGGGGTTTCCAGGGCTCTGGCCACTGGACACCCCTCCCAGACCACCTCACCTGGCCCAACTATTGTTTCTTATCACTCTGTGCTAGATAAACACCTGGGAAAATCAACTTAGGGTTCCATCCTCTCTCAGTAGAAGCTGCTGGGGACAAAACATCTTTAGGGAACATTGCAGGTGCAAATGGCAGGGTGTGCTGTGGGGCACCCAGCCTGCGTGTCCCCTGGGTCCTGTGGATCAGAGGTGTTTCACAGTTTCAATTTCCTTTCTATGACTTTGTGAGCACCCCACCATGCTTTTACTCTTAGGAAATGGAGAAATCGTTCGATGAGCAGAACATCCCAAAGAGACGCTCGAGACCCGCGGCCATGGAGCAGAGGCTGCGCCGCCTGCAGGACCGGTCACACACACAGCCCATCACCACCGAGGAGGTGGTCATTGCAGCCACGTGAGTCCTCCTGGGCCCCTCGGCCGGCCAGATGGCTCCTGTGGCTTTGAAAAGAGGATTTCCAGAGTTTGCACTAAGCGAGGTGATAGGAAGATGGGTTAGCTGAAAGCCACAGGTAAGGTGGGATTTCAGGGTTTTCTTCTCTGCGGTCTCAAGCTTCGTCGTAGGACTTTACCTATAGTAACTCCCGGTAAAAAGTTAAGGAATTTTACTCGGTTTTCCTCATGCACTTTGGTTGTTTCTATTTTTATGTTGAAAAATATAAAATATGAAAACAGATGAAACACAGTGAACCCCCAGCTTCAGCAGATACCAGGACCTGGCCAGACTTCCTCTGCCAGCTCCCAGGCTGCTTCCACTTTCCGCCTGAATTATTTTTAAGCAAATCCCAGACATCGTTTCACTCAGCACTGTTTCAGTACAAATCTCTAAAATAAAAATGTTCACTTTTTAAATAATCACCAAAACATTTGAAAATGAATTGACAGTTTCGTAGTTTTCCAAACTGTGGTGCATCCATTTTGAGCAATATATTCCAGTACCTTCAGAATTATTTTCCCAGAGTACAGCAGTTCATTCTAAGGGAATGGCTGTCACCAGGTGAAAACTTTTGTTTTTCAAAAAGTGTCTTTGTAGAGTATGAACATCCCCCAGCAGGCTTCTGTGTTGAGGCTGCATCTGTCAACCTTGTGTTAGGTCACTGCCCCTTGTGTTAGGTCACTGTCACTTTTTTGATACCTGTTCCTCAACTTCTCTTTGTGATTATCGTTATTTTCTGGTGCTGGGAATAGGACCCACTTGCACATGCCAGGCAAGTGCTGTGTCACTGAGCTTCATCCCCACCCTCAACTTTTTCATTTTATAGATGAATGAGTACTTGTGACTGTGATTAAGAACTCTTAGCAAATCAATTTGTTTAAAAAAAAATTTTTTGAGTGGCTGGGATAACAAGCAGATACCCATGGAAGCAAAATAGTAAACACAGCAAAATCATCATCTCTGAGGCTTAATGTATATTAATATACTCCAATACCATTATCAATTGTATGAGGTCACAAATTCTTTTCAAGAACAGATTGAAACCAACATTCTAAAACTAGGGCCTAACCTACAGGTTTACTGATGGCTTTATTAGCTTTTTAAAATTTTTTTAAGTGAGGATGTTTATTCTAAAAACAAGGAAAACTTTTTCAAGCCCTATCCCTATGCTTCTTCTGTTTACTTTAGGGGAGCCTCTGTCTCTTATTTCCTAAGTTGCATTTCAAGTTATTTTGTGATTTTTTTTTTTGTTTTGCACTCAAATTAATTAGCAAATACTTTTGATAAAAGATTTGATTTAACATTGGTGAATTTAAATCTATGCTTTCTTTAATGCTTCTTTTCTTCTCTCTCCTTATGGATGTTCCTTCTTTGGCAATTGCTTTTAAAGTGAACCTATCCCTGCTTCACGTTCTGGGGCCGCCCACCCTGTCATGGCGAGACTTCCCAGTCCCACTGTAGCTAGGAGCTGTGCACAGCCTTCCAGGTACCGGACAGACACAGCTGCATGCAGCCCCAGGGCCAGGTGCTGGGCAGCAGGTGCATCTGGCAGCCTTGAATGCCTTTCATGTGTGTGGCCACCAAATCAGTGCAGTGAGTTGCTCCTGGGACGTGTGGCATTTTGTTTTGTCATAGTACAAGGTACTGAAGGTCTGCATGGGAAAATGTGGAGTCCGTCCATTTACGTCCTGTGTCAGCACCAGGCTCACACTAACTCGCTCATCCATTGGTTTTGTCTCTGTTTTTCATAATAATAATCATTCCTAAAAAAATCCATCTTTTTCATCTAAAACAGTAGCACTTGTAGATGATTAGAAAAGGGGACATTAGCATGTACTTGGAATTGTGATAAGACTCAGATTCTAACACATTAGATGCCAATAGATATATTTTAAAACTCCTCCTTGCTTCTAATTTATAAAGAGATGGTGGTGTTATATTTTAGGATTGAGAAAATAATCAGACAATGATTGTATTGCCTAATGTTTTGCCATTATGTTTTAAATTGTGGTTATTGTAAGACTATGTCCTCAAACCGTGTAAAAATTCCCTTTATTTTACTGTTATGCATCAAGGCATAAAGGCAAAAAATAAGACTCAAAGAATTAAAATGACAGTGCCCACCCCAGATGCAGGAACCTGACAGGAAAGTAGGTTGTTATCCTCCGAGTTTGAGGCGCTGGGCTCTAGAAAAACTAGAGACTCAGGTGGTCCTTCCCACTGTCCTCATTAGATCCTTTACTCTCTCTGGTCTGGGACAGACTGTGATTAACTGGGGTGAAGGCAGGAGAAACTTTTTACTAGGTTTGGGAATGAGATTTCCCAGCAGTGGAAGGAATATCGTCTCAGACACTTTTAAAGAGTCACAATGACTATGTAAACTGGAAACCTTCCTTCTCTTCCACTGGAAATCATAATTTATTATCATTGTCCTTATTGTTGTTATTATTACTATTAGTGTTTGCAGTGCCAAGAATCTAGCAGGGCCTTACACCTGCTAGATGAGAGCTCTACTACTGAGCTACGCCCCAGCCCTAGTTGCAAGAATTCATAATCACCTGAAATGTTTCTCACTTTTCAAGTTACTGGAAATTCAATTTAAATACCTTTTAAATGAGTGATAGGAACCTGATAGGAAAAAATGCTATACTGCAAGAATTTTTTAAAGTATAACATTCCTCTTTGGCAACTGCAAATCAAAGCCTGTGTTTCAGATCATACTGTTCACAGATGAGTACATTTTTTAACTATTTACTCCTGAAGCACATCTTCAGGGAACTGTATGCTCTAGTAATCTCTTATTACCCCCTTTATCATTATTTATTATAATACTAACAATACGGCACTTCTCTAAGGTAAAATAAATCAATGCAAACTCTGGCTCCTCTAATAGGAAATTTATTTTTTAGAAGTAGTTCAGAACTAAGAATCTGCTTTAAAACTGAAAACGCTGTGTCCCAAACCTGCCTTTGTTATTCACTGTCTTATTTAATAGCTAAATAATTGCCTGTCCATCCTAGTTTTCATAGGGAAAAATAAGCCCATTGCAAAATTAAATGGAACTTGGAAGAAAGTTAATGGAAAGAACTCGCGGTAGGCTTTTGTTGTGACCTGTGCCACTGACTTTTCATCCTGTCCTTTCAGATTGCAGGCATCTGCTCACCAAAAAGCTTTAGCCAAAGACCAGGCAAATGAGGGCAAAGATTCCACTGAACCAGGAGAACCTGATTCCTCCACTCTGAGCTTAGCAGAGAAGTTGGCCTTGTTTAACAAATTGTCCCAGCCTGTCTCAAAAGCAATTTCTACCCGCAACCGAATCGACATGAGGCAGAGGAGGACAAATGCCCGCTATCAGACCCAGCCAGTCACGCTGTGCGAGGTGGAGCAGGTAGGTGCTGGCCTGTCTTCTCTGGCTGGTGTGTGTTCTTCAGCTAATGCAGCAGGCAGTATTCTTAGGTCAGCATTGTGCGTAAGGGATCTCGTGATAAACTGCTACCGAGGAGAGACTGGGCAATCATCTCATCTCTACAGAGGCTAACCATGCTGAGTGTGTTTGTTTCTCTTCTCTTGTCTTCATAACTTGCTTGCAAAATCATCTGGAATGAGGCCATTTTGGAGAGGACAAGTAATGTGCAGCCAGAGGTTTTGTTAGAGTTGTGTTATATAACCACATCCAGAATGGTTTTCTAATAAGATAAACTGCATGGAACACAGTATTTCAGCCGGCCGGTCCACAGCCCAGCTCTTGCGTCAACTTCCAGTCAGTGTTTAATTGTTCTCCTGTCCTCCCAGGTGCAGAGCGGGAAGCTCATCCCTTTCTCTCCAACTGTGAACACCTCTGTGTCCACCTCGGCCTCCACAGCCACCCCCATGTATGCAGGGGAGCTTCGGACAAAGCCACCTGCTGATGACAATGCAGGTGCCACTGACACGAAGTTTCCTTCTCCAATAGAAAATTCAGATTCTCCAGCTAGAAGCATTCTGAAGCCACAGGCGTGGCAGCCTTTGGTGGAGGGGAGTGGGAGCAAAGGAATGTCGAGAGAATGTGCAGAGACAGATGGCCAGGGTGCTGTGACCGCCAGGGACAGCGGCATTAAGACACACAAGTCCTCAGAGCAAGCAGAGCTGTCCTCTGCCTTCCTGGGCCGAGCCAGGGAAGGAGACGGCCACCAGGAATTCAAGCAGGCTCCAGGGAGCCTGGAGCTCGCTGCTGCCCCTGCTGCCCACCGTGGTGATGAACTGAAGGAATTTTCCACTGGGAAAAGCAGCACGCAAGGAATCCTGGGCCTGGAGGACAGGCCGCCTTTTGAAGACAGGGTGGATGCAGAGAATGCCCCGAAAAGGAGGTTTTCACTCAGAGGTAAATTACCACTGTGCCTGCAGTTTGAGAAAAAAACAGTTGTTTTGTGCCGCTTAATGTGACACTGAGAGGGTGATTCCTTTTAGCTAAGTTGTGTTAACAGCCAGCGAGGGTCAGGAGTTGAGTATGAATCAGATTCTCCCCCAGAGACGCGCTCTTCCCCTCGAATCGAATCTGATATGCACAGCAGCCAGTCAAGTCCTGAGCAATAAATAACTGAAACCGTTTTACACACTTTGATAAGAGCTTCTGGTGGCTGGTGACATTAACCCTGTGACAGCTCTAAGGGCTCTTTGATAGCTGGTGGTCGATGGTTCAGGACTGGATGTACCTGGGCCAGTCTGTAATTTCTAGGCTGCTCTTTTGGGTGGGTGGGGCGGGGAGTGGTGGAAGCCATACAACCTAGGAGGCGCTAAGCTGTGTCCCTAGCCCTTTTTTGTGTTTTATTTTGAGACAGGCTTTTGCTAAGTTACCTAGGCTCACCTCTAACTTGCACTCCTCCTGTCTCAACCTCCCAAACAACTAGGGTTACAGACCTGGCTACTCTTCTTCCTGTACACCTGTTTTGCAGACTAGGCAGCTAGACTACATGGGACTTTAATCTGTATTCTCTTGAATGCAATGATGTTGTGTAAATTGCAATAGGGCTTTGGGCTTGAGCGAGTGTCCTATATCTTGAGCATAGGAGAGACACTGATTTTCACAAAGCAGTGTGCCATGTCTAGAGTTTGCATGAAACCACAGAACCTGGCTGGCCCGACACAGGCCCACGGAGGGGAGTCTGCAGCTGCACTCTCTGGAGATGAACTGCAGAAAGAGTGTTGCTGGAGGAGGGATGCTGAGGCTCTTCTCTTCCCAGCAGCAGAGTTCGGGGAGCCTGCTTCTGAGCAGACAGGAACAGCCACCACTGGGAAGCCCAGTGCTCCGGTGGCAACCCCCAGTTCCTGGAGGCAGCAGGATTCCTCAGAGCAGCTACAGGAGAAGTACTACAAGAGCCCAAGTGCCATGTTTGCTGCTGGAGAGATCAAAGCACCAACAGGAGAGAGCAGCCTTGACTCACCCAGCAAAACGATGTCCATCAAAGAGAGGTAATGCAGGCTCACGATTGGAGCCATACTTCTAAGGTAGTAGCGTACAACCTGCTGTAGAAAAAGGTTTGAGGGGGCTGGGGATTTAGCTCAGCGGCATAAGCACCTGCCTTGCAAGCAGGCAGTCATGAGTTCGATCCCTGGTACCGATAAAAATGAAAAAAGACCAAAAAAAAAAAGGTTTGAGTAGACAACCACCACGGGGTGAAATCACGGTCAAACTGCAGAGGGAGATGTGCTGTGACAGGAGAAGGGGAGTGTCTGAGTGTCTGAGTGTGAACTGGACTCTCTCCAGCACCTGGTTTACCGGTGTTAAAGGAGGCCAGTGTGGATAACAAACAAATACATCTTCACTTGGCTCGTTTGTGTGTAGTCCCAATTTCTTTTTTTTTTTTTCCCTTTCTGTCTGTCTGTCTTTATTTCTTTCTTTTTATATCAAATTCCTTGATTATCTACTGATGGGAGCTGAAATCTGAGCTCTTTTCTTTCAGAGACAAATGATTCAAATCAAACACAAACCATTTTGTGATTGTTTAAAATAAGCAGACAGGGAATAAAGATAAATTCAAATATAGGATCTATAGCTTTGGGGTTTGAATCTCTGTTTTGTTCACTTTATTGGATGTAAGGTAAATGGCTTTTCTGCATAGTACTTAGATGTTCTGCTTTGTTTGCTGTGTGAGGGACCTAACCCAGGGCCCTGTGCAAGCCATGGACCACAGAGGGGCAGCCAGCCCTGGCAGTTCCCTGTCAGACAGCAGCTATGAATAGTCACAGTGTTGATACAGATAAGTATCAACACTGCAGCCTCATTTCATTAGAAAAATAATGTGGGTTTGAAAGAATAAATTTCGGTGTAGGGCTAGATTAGGGAGTAGGAACAGAATTCTTCTGAGGCTAGAGCTTTCTCATTAACCTTTAACCACAGCTGATTTAAACTGCAGAAGATGCAGCACGGATAGAAGCTGAGTGAGAGATGCTGCCCCAGCTGCCCAAGGTCATAGCAGAGTCACATTCTAGGGGTGACCCCAGCCCAGAACTTCCCTGGCGTCTCCACCAATGGACAGGCCCAGGCCCCTCTTCCTTTCTTGATCTCTTTCAAAGTACCTGAGACTGTGTGTCAAACCACAGTGAAAATGCTTCTGCTTTCCAAGCCACACTTTGGGAACATTATTCATAAAATATTGGGGCCTGGCCTGGGACCACCAGTCTCCTTCTGGGGTAGGACAGCAGAATAGAACACAGATGAGTTGTGTTTTAGTTACACTGGGGTGGACAAAGCCCAGGAAGGACTCCAACCCCCAGTCTAGGCCTTTGTTAGGTGCACAGCATGATGGGGTGTGCTGGTGGGCTGCAGGAAGCAGGGTCAATTGCTGACCCGGTCAAAGTTCAAGAATCCAGGCGCAGTGCAGTTCTGGAAAGGCGCACAGGAGCAGATTGTGGTTAACTAGTAACCAGACCGTCTGCTCACTGCCACTGCTGAGCTAGAAGGAATTCACATCCATCACGGCCTCAGCTGCCTTGTTATTTTTCTGTAAGGCTCCAGAACCTCACAGGCCATTTGCTGGTCTCAGCCTTAGCCGCTGGCTTAAAGATTACCCTGTCTTAAAGCCAGCCGCTGGTGCCACAGTCAGTGGGCCTAGGACAGACTCACTTTATTCTCGTGGCAAGTTATTAATACTAATTATTGTCTGCTCTGTACCATGTCAAGCTGGTCCTCAGCAATAAAATAAAAAGCAGAACCTTTTTTAACAGGTAAACTAGTAGGACAGTTGAATATTATTTACCCTACTAATAATTATCTAAAATATACAATTAATGAGACCCGCTAGGCTGAGAGGGTGATAGAAAGGGTGTCTGGACTCAGGGAAGGAGCCTGCCTATGTAAAATCCTCCTCTACAAAAGTGAGGCTGTGTTTTGATCCCAGGGATTTAAGTATTAGTAAAAGGTAAACATCATTTATATAGTCCTGATGTTTTATTTATCTGCAGACATTCCTGAGATAAAATCCCTTTGGGAAATACTCTGCACAGCTTCTTTCAAAGGCGTTTACAGACACCCACATCTTTGTCTATGTCCTCTCTTCTGGGACTTTCACAGCAAGAAGTTCTTGTCCCCTGTCCAGTCCTTCTTGATATATTTGTCTATCTTAGTAAACTCTAGTGGATTTTTATCTTTCAAAAAGCAGTTTTAACCCTACAAAGCAATTCTCCATTTTAAAGCTGAAATATTGTAAAAGTACAACTTCTTCACCTTGGTTTGGTGGATGCCTGAGAAGCTCAGAGAGGACCGTAAGGGGGCAAGTACTTCAGAGCTGAGTGTGGATAGCAAATCCCTAACGGTCAGCAGGGGCCCTCAGCAATCAGAGAAGCTCCTGACCAGCCTGCTCAGAACCTAAAAACAGGAGGTACCTGTTAAACACATAGCGATTCCATTTATTTTGCTTATCTGCCTTTCTTTCTTTCTTTCTGTCTGTCTGTCTGTCTGTCTGTCTTTGTTTCTTCCTTTATTCCTTTCTTTTCTTTCTTTCTGGATATTACTAGGAATGGAACCCAAGGCATTGAGGAGGAGCACATAGGCAAGCACCACATCTTCAGTCCTAATTGTTAAAATCTCTCTTTGAAAAAGGACAGAGGCTCTTTATTTAACAGTTACGTGTGTCATAAATTATGTTAATACAAAATATATCACCAATGATCTCTAGCCCTTTCCTAGATAATATGTTTGTTTGTACCTCATTGAAAATGACAGAACCACTTAACTGTCCATAGTGACAGCTCCCGAGTGAGCTCTAGTCTCATCCTTTGCTGAATTTGAAGGGATCATGGTTGCTGTTTAAATGGTTGTTCGTCTATTTATTTGGGCTTTATCTTTCTTTCTTGGGACAACATACAAGTCAGAGAACACTGAAACCCCATGCCCCCTTCCTTCTAGCCGCAGGATACAGTTTCAGAGCCCCCAGGTCCTGTAGTGGGTACAGCTGGGCCCTGGTTCTGCCCTGGTTCATAGGACTGCCCTGCACCACGTCCGTAGTGGTGATTTAGCAGCTGACAATACTTGGACAACATAATACGGGGACAGAAAGATGCAAGAGGGAGAGAGCAAAGAGGGCAGGGCTCCGTAGGGAGCCCCACTCCAGCCTTTCACTTGTCCCAGTGCCCTAAGTGAAAGGCCCGACATCAGTATTAGCAGTTTTCACCTTCTTCTGTGTGACTTACGGGTTCTTCTTGCTGTGTTGAATCCTGAGCTCAAGCCGTCCTCCCACCTCAGCCTCTTCTGTAACTGGAATTTTAATGTGCCTGTTCCCACACTCAGCTCTCCCGCACTGTCCACATGGCTTGTTTCTGTTATGTTTTCATTTTAAAATTTGAGCCTCTAGGAAAGAGCCTGGACAGATTTCCTTTTTAGTGTCCTCTCAATAGCTGTACCCGAAGGCATGCAGTTCCCTGTTCCCAAACCACACGGCCTCTGTTCTCCTCACCTGGGATTCTGACTGTGGAGCATTTTCCACACCCAGGGCCACCAAGTATCCTGTCATCCCCTGGGGCCGAAAGCTTTGGGCAGGAGGTGGCTCATCTAGTGCTAAATGAAGCGGCAGTGTATCTTCATTGGTAGATAAAACTATAAGAACAAAGAATTGATAGCATGTCCTTCCGACATTCCTCTTTTAGAATGTAAGTTTGATGCTTGTAAAAACATGTCTAAAAATTCCTGTCATATTTCTGGGCATCTAAAGTATCAAGTTTAAACCTTAACTAGCACAAAACTTAGGGTGCAATTTCCTTCTACCACAGGAACAATAAAAGCCACTATTTTACACCTGTCTGAATGATTTGGTTCAGGTTGACCCTGCTTGGGAACTTGGTCAAAAAGTGCTACAAATGATGTTAACTCTTTTGTTATTTAGAGATAAAACCTGCAAGTGCCTCTTAAAAAGCACACAAGGCCGTTAGAAATCTTGTTTCCACATTTCCTGGAGCGGCTGCTTTCATGCTGGGGAGGTGATGGAGAGGAGTGGAAGAGCCACCCTTTCACTTTGGCACTAGGGGGCGTGGAAGGCCGGAGTGGAACTCCCCTGGGGACCCCCAGGTTCATGGGGAAGGAGTCAGGAAGGGGTGGAGGACCAGCCCCTTTGCCCTCATGTCCCTGTCTTTGTCCATTTTCTGTTGCTGTAACAGAACACTCAAGACTGGCTTATTAATAAAGGAGAGCAGGTTATTTTGACCTACAATCCTACAGGCTGGGCAGTCCAAGATCCAACAGCAACACCCAATCCTGGGCTCTTCACAGCCAGAAGGGAACCAGGCCTGAAGGACATGGCAAAACCTGAGGGTGCTTCACCCCTGGGATAAGCACCTCAGCCCTAAGAGAGCAGGACTGCACTCCCAGGAGAAAGGCATCAGGCCGGTAGTGATCTGAGCCCCGCTTCAGTGGCCCACCTCCCCCGGCTGCATTGTGCAGCCCTAGTAGAGCTCAAGCTTAGCAGGGGCAGGATCCTGCCTTTCAGTTCCCCTGCACCCACATTAAATAAATAAATACAAATACATGGAAGAGGCATGTGGGCACCTCCAACTTGCACCCGAGCCAAGATCGATGTCCCAGTAGGAGTATGAATCGGTGCTATTCGGTTCTATCTGAAGTTGGGGGTGGGTGGGTGGTGATTACTTTTCTCTAAGATAAGGGAAATTTTCTAAAGAGGGAGAAATGTTCATACCTTATTTCAATCGGAAGGGCATATGTTTGCCTGGCCCACATTTGACCCGGGTCTGGCTGTTCTAACCAGGGCTCTGAGGCCGCAGTTCCCTGGTGGAGAAGTGTGGGCTCTGGCGAGAGGCGCAGACTTTTCTCCCAGGACCTGGCAAGTACATTTCCAGCTGGCCCCAGGCCAGGCTTCGGGGTTTATGGGCCAATGCAGTGCACTCGCTGGTCCCCAGCCTCAGCTAAGCGCATGTCTGGCTCATGACATTGCAGCCTTGCAAACTGGCCAGAGGTTTAAGCACTGATGGTTGTTTGCGTGACACAGGCAGGAATAGATGTCACCCAGATGTGTAGCCCCCTCCGGTGGGTGACCATCTGTGGTGAGTGTGAGGCCAGGAGACTGTAAGAGGAGAGGACACTTTGGGAAAGACTTTCCATCTCCCTTCGCTTGTGAAACACCGAGTGAGAAATCTAATGGCCCAGAGTAGCACATGCAGGTTGCTGCGTGCACTATTTTTAAATAATTCACCATTCATATTTCGTAGGCTAGGGCTGGGTCCAAATACCATGTGGGCTCAATTGAAGCCCAGTTCCTGCCGTATTATTTTGGTTACACTGTAGACTTTGGAAGTCCCTCATGATGATCCTGCCAGTACATCTAGAAGCAAAATTTGAGGGTTTTGGAACAGAGGAATTCTTTGAAGGCCATCCAGGGAGTGAGTGGGAAGAATATTATAATAAAGCCAGCGTGCTGTGTTATGACTGAGAGAGCAAAGCACAAATGTGCCTGGTCAGCTAATGGAGTGACAAAGTGAAGCAAGCTGTCCGCTGGGAAGCAGGGAGGAGCAGTCTCCCTGCGCCACTGACCCACAGCGAGTCTTTGCTCAGCACTGATGCCCTAAGCTGTCTGAATGCCCGTACCCAGTCTGTCAGGAGAGGACTAGCAGTATCCAGTTTCCTGCAGGTACTGTGCCAGTGCGGAGGATAAGGTGAACTGAAGTAGTGATCCCGGACTCCACATTTTTTTAAATGAATCAGTTACAGATTCCTCAGAGCAGCCAACAGACAGGCCGCAGGATTGTTTAAGTGATATTGTCACTGCTTCCAACATTTGGAAACTTTATTGGAAGAAGATCCTCCAAGACTGCAGCTCATTATTTTTAATAAGCCCAGCTCATGCGATGAATTTGGTTTTTTCCAGTTCCCTTGAATCATTTGGGATCCAGCCTGATTAACAAGGTATAGTCAGGGTGAATAACTACTTTGCGTTAAAGGTGCAGTAAGGGACAGAAGCCGGATCTGAGACCCGTTTGCAAGGAGGCAGTGAAGGAGAGAAAGTTTCCTCCAGGAGGCAGGGTCCAGTGCCCTCCCCCTGGGTGTTACAACAAGGGCGTGCTCCCTGGTAGGAAGCCTCGCTTACTGATGCTTTGAGACCTTGGAAATCTCCAATGCAGAAGGCGGATGCTAATGACTTCTTTTAATGATTGGATTTTGTGAGATTCATTTTTCTTATTAGAATAAAATTGACTTCGTTTTCAAAAGGTCCTCCAAGACAAAACAATTGAAAAAGAGAGAAATATTGGGTATTATCCCGTACACAATGCAGACCGAAATACTTAAAGGAGTTTGGATACTGTGTTCCAAACACAAGAACCAGTCCTTGAAGCACATTGAGTGCTCTAACCATTACGTTTGTGACATTTAAAACTGCACGGAGCCTTGATGTGGGCTCTGCCTTAGATAAATAAGGCAGCATCACCAGTTTTGTAGAATGGATATGTGGGATCTTTCTTGATCCACATAGCGGAAAAAGACTAAAAGGGAAGAAAAAGAAAAGAATGAAGAAGGGGTTAAGAACTAATGCTCCTTTAGGGAGTTCTTCATTGTATCTTATTTTCCACTTCGTGACCTGTGCATAGGCTGGGGATTGAACCCAAGGCTTCGCGCATGTCAAGCCCACAGTCTACGCTGAACTGCATCCCCAGCCCTGAATTCATGTCTAAGTAATATAAACTTTGTTTTTTTATTTGTTAAGACTTTCTCACAGAGTCTGTATCATCCTATATCGAGTTCAAACATTTAACACAATCGGGAAACTTAGCAGAGGCCTTTGGAGATCTGGTGGTGCAGTTCCTGATAGGACAATAAGAAACAGAGCCGAGGTGTCTGAGTGGAGGTCACAGCCAAGCTTTTGGCTAGAGCTGCTGTGCTGCTGCCCACCAATGGACAGACTGGGCACTGGTGATGAGAAGACGGAGCCCATCAGCCTGGTCCCAGAAGACAAGGGATCTGGTCTGTTTTTCTTAATCATTTAGATTGTTTAAACATTGGCACCAATAAGTCCTATGACTACTACTATTTTCCTTTTATCTGTTGCTTGTTCGTCCAAGTTAAATGCACAAGACTCATTCATTCTAATACAGTTAGCTAAAATAACATCGTGTTCGTGAAAGTAACTTTTCAAGATTACGGTCTCTAAGCAGCTTTACAGTCAGTCTACACCAGAGCTGAACAAAAGTAGGTCAGATAAAAATCTTAGTTAATTAGATTCTTTTTTTGTAGATCTCTTTCCCTTGAGGGAAACTGAAGTGATCATGTTTAAAAATGGGTTTGTAGAAAATCATTTTGTATTACGATGCGTTGGGAAGAGCAGGTTCATCTGGGAAAAAGAACAAGACTTAGAACAGAAGGAAGAATAACATTAAAGACTGTAACTTTCTTTAGTAGAAATGTAACTGAATGTTTTTTCATTGCTTTATATATTTGTATTTTTAAACCCATTTGTGTGATAGTTTCTGCCAGGAACTACACGGTTTTCATAACCTAATGTCATTCCAGCAAGTGACCGAAAGGGGTCACTAGAAGACATTTTTCCCTGGGGATGGTTCCTTTCATTCCCTGTCCTCTCAACCCAGCAGCAGGAAACATCAAAACCATTTCTTCACTGTCATGGTGGTGGTGCATCTTTTTCCCAGCAATCAGATTTCAGCTGTGATTTTCACACAACTGTAGGGATCTTCAGGATTAACTTAGAAAGCAGCTCCGCTAAGTTTGACGAGCTTGGTGCTGACTTGTTTTGTTTGGCATGTTTTTCTCCTAGACTAGCACTGTTGAAGAAGAGTGGCGAGGAGGACTGGAAGAACAGACTTAACCGAAAGCAGGAGTACAGCAAAGTGTCTGCAACCAGCAGCCTGCAGATCCAGGAAGTGGAGCAGTCACTTAAAAAGAAGGTAACGCTTTCCATGCTGGGCCAAAGCCTTCTCAGTAACATCATGTTTGAAAGCGTGCCTGGAGCCAAGCATGTGGGCCTTACTAATCCCACTGGTGGAGCTTTAGTGCTTTCTTGCCCTTAGGCTAAACACCTCGTCTGTCTCAGATTTGCTTAAATCCATCAAAAGGTCAGGTCTTAGGACATTATGGAATTGATAATAGCCTCATGCATAAGGCCTCAGCAAGCAAGGGCCTGAGTTTTAAATTGTGCACATGATTGGAAACTTTCTTCAGTGAAGTCTGGCTTCAGAATGTGGATCAAATGCAAAACTTCAATTCCCTACTAACAGCTATATGTGGCATTTAGTATATGGATTTGATTTTCCGCTGCAGAGATTTAAGATCTAAATATAAAAAATAAGGAGATCGCTGTGTTCTGTGGACACTTTCTTTATAATTTGCAGCCTTTTCATGATGAGGCAGTATGCCTTTTTATGGAGTGCACAGAAAAGCATGTTACGAGTTTAAATAAAATCAAGTCAGACGCGGCCCTCCATACTTGCAAACATTTTCTATGCAAGGGCATCAACGAGTTGTTAAATTACAGAGCTAACAACGGCCCGCCTTTGATCAGCGGTGCACACTTTAAGCACGATGGTGGTGCCCATGCTTGCTGGCCCTCCCACTCCAAATGCACTTGCAGGCTAGAGGCACTGACAGCATGTGAGCCAGGCTGCTCGCCGATGTCTAGGATTTAAAGTCTTTAAATAGAAAAGGAAAAAAATGTTCCAACTAGTTGGTTGTGTGGAGCTCTTGTGGTTCTTAAAGTATCTCAGCCAGTAGTGACCATGGAGACTTGCAGTCCCAGCGATGTTGGAGGCTAAAGCTGGAGGATCAAGGGAACCCAGGAGTTCAGAACCAGCCAGCGCAAAAATGAAATAAAATAACCATCTGTGAACAACAAATAGTGTGACTTTTACACATTAAGGACCTTACAGAAAAATGAGGTGTATACACACTGAGAGTCAGGAGTCTGACCTTATTTTGTAAGCTACTTCCGTGTCTACTTAGGGGACACTATAACAGCAATTTGAGTTCTCATTTGTGATGTTAAAGATAATAACTAAAGCTGGGGGAATAGCTCAGAGGCTCAGTGCCTGCCTGACAAGCATGAGGTCCTGAGTTTCATTCCCAGTTTTAAAAACAAGATAACAATTAAAGAAACTTAATCTCAGCCACTGATAAAGTTCTCAGCTATACCGAGAACATTAAAACATATACATGTGAAACGTAGATTTCAAAGTAAAAAACTAGGTCCATCTGATACCACAATGTATCCTCCTGGCCAATGACCTTTGTTTAAATGAATCTTGGACGTAGAGGTAGAGCTCAGCAGTGGACTCCTTAACTAGCTTACATAAGGCCCAGGGTTCAACTGCCATCACTGCCAAAAAGAAATCTTGAAATCGTTGGCTCAAAAACAACTTTAACACAGACTTTACTAGCAAAGCTGTCAACTGTCACCTGCCGGCACTGAGCAAAGGTCTGTGTTGGTCCCCAGGCCTTCAGGAGCTAAAGTTCCCCTATAGCCAGGTAAAAATTACAATGAAGCTAGAAATCACAAAACGATGTGTTCCTCAAGGATGGTGCTACCTGCCCACTTGAGAGACCTGTCCACCAGTGGCTAAGGTTTGGAGAAGGCCAAGGGATCAGGTCACCCCTGTAGTCATCTTTGGGGTAGAAAGCCCAGGGAGAGGTGCTGAGTCTGGTGGGGGTTCAAGTGTACACTGCTGTCTCTGAGCTCTGGTGCCCCTGATGCCACAGCCCTCCTGAGCTCATTATGGGTTCCCTCTTCGGCTGCCCAACCTGCTTTGGCCTCAGACAATAAGCTCTTTGAAGTTCAAATATACCAATCTATTTCAGGGGATCTCCACTGTGACCTCAGGGCATCTCAAGTTCAGTTGATGTCTCACGGTTTCAGCCCGCCTGTGACAGCCCCTGATTTTGCCCCTCACAGTGCCTGGCTGTGTATTTCAAGGACCCTTGCGCTGTGCTCAGGCCAGGTGTCCTATGTGAAGAGTGTCCCATCTGGTCGCGGCCCTGGAGCAGGAAGAGCACTGGATGTGTGCATGCAGAGGATGCTTGTGCATGGGTCCTTTGAACTTGCCTGGGCCTTGCTTCTTGGAGGGTAGGGACCAGAACCTTCCGTCCTTACCATCCAGAGCAGAAAGGAGCTAAATTCCTGGTCTGGTAATCACTTTCTGTAAATTCACCACACAGCATACATCTATGGTTTCCAAACATTCTATAGCGCATCCTCCTACTTCCTGTACAGTGAGCCCTGACCAGTGAGTTGCAGCTCTGGGAATACAAGAGGGGCAGGATACAGCAAGGACCCCAGGAGGTCAGTTTCATGGTCTCTGTGAAAATCCACGCAGGAGAGGGGTCAGCCCTGGGCAATAAAAGTGTAACGAGAGCCACACAGGTAACAAATGTTCCAACAGTCACATTAAGGAAAAAACTGGAAGTTGTGAAAATCTGTGAGCATCTTGTTTCTGTCAAAGGGTTGTCCCATACAAAAAGACACTAGGTGCATCTCCTCCATAGTCCTATACAGGACTCCAGGGCTGGCCCTGTTTAGGACCATAAATAGCTTTTGGAGAACCAAGAGTTTTCCTTGGAGGTCTAAAATTTCAATTAGGTCTCAGGGAATATAGAACTTAGAAGCAGTTCCTAGCTTTCCTGTTTTATTCCTCCAATCATCAGGACTGAGGAGTGCTCATTATTTACCTAGCTGGCTGTCACTTGCTGTGAAAAGTTATTTAGGGTCTTTCTTTTCCTCTCTCTCCTGCCCCCTTCTTGTCTTGGTCCTGGGCTTGGTGTACACCAGGTCAGTGCTAACCTGACTTCCATGGTTTTGCTCCCTATAGCACATACAGTTACTTCCAAAGGCATCAAAGCCATGTGGTTCGGAGATTTGGCCTGAGCCACACTGGGTGGGACGCATGCTCCTGAGCATGATTTGTGTGCCATTTCCTCCAGAGTTAACTCATTCCACTGGGGAGAGGAAAAAATGAAATAAGAAAAAAATCTTAGAGAATTTGCCCGAGCCTCCTCATTACAACCAAATTGCAGGTTTGTTTCCACCAAAAGAATTGTTTTAAATTCCAACCCCAGTTCAGCCTGTTTGACATTGCAGATTCCAATGGCAACTTGCCTGTCTTCTTGTTAAGATAAATGTCCAGGGCCTGAGGGTGTAGGTCACTGGTGGAGCACCTTCCCAGCTTTAACAAGGCCCTGGGTCAGTGCTGCAGGTTGAGGGGTAAGGGTTTGATTTGTTCTTAAGCAAAGAAGAGTAGTCCAAGTGTAATCCCAGGTACTCAAGAGATTGAGGCAGGAGGATCTAAGTTTGAGGCCAGCCTGGGCAAGTTAGCAAGACCTTGACTCAAAGTAAAGAGGTCTGGGAATGTCGCTCAGAGACAGAGTGCGCGCTGGCATGCATGAGGTCCTGGTTTCAATCCCTGATAGCTAAAAAATAAAAAAGAAGAAGGTATTTATCCAGTGACCTAGTGTATCTGATGTTTCTCGGGATGTTAAAATCCTGCACTTGTTTGGTTTCATTCTTTAGTTCTGGAGTTTGAACACAGGGCCTTTGCAGTGCCCTACATCCTCAGCCCTTTAATGGTTCTTTGAGACAAGGTCTCACTAAGTTGCAGAGTTCTGCAGGCTGAGCTCAAATTTACAATCCTCCTGCTTGAGCCTCCTAAAGTGCTGGAATTACGGGAAAGGGCTGCCCCACCCACCTTGTTTCTGAACCCCAGATGAGAGCTGAATATCCCACCATGCTTCAGTCACATGGCTGAAATCTGTGACATCTCCCAACAAGTTCCTGAAAATTTAAGGCAGGCAAATCTGCCACACTTACATTCCCTTCTGTCATTGAAATTCCAAATCAAAATGGAAGGGAATGGAGCTCAGAGAGCATGACTGGGTGGGTGAGAGCACAGTGCTGGCACGATGACCTCCAAAGGCAAGGTCATCATCCTGCCTCAGGGCATGAGTTTCCTTGGGGTTCCTGCCCTGGGACTGTGGGCACTGGGGTGTGAACACCTGCATGCTTCTGGCTGAACCAGGCTCGAGCACTTGGAAATGACAGGGTTCCCCTGCCAGACTCTTCTCTTGCAAACCTCTGCAACGTCTCCGTTTGTTTTGACCTGTAGGAAGAAGGAGGATTTACAGATGATAATGCCATGTCTAATCTGCTCTGGGTAAGCCTGACTCAGCACAGGTGTCCTGTAACTGCACACGGTGGGCGCCCCCTGGTGAGTGCAGAGCCAGTGAGAGAGCCCAGCAGAGAACAGGGTAAAAGCAGGTTTGTTCTCCCAGCCAGGCAGACGCTGGAGAGAATCCTCAAAGTGGTACCTCTCACTGTGAGAAAACCAAGGGGCTGTGGTCGTGGACTCTCGGCTGTGTTCATATAGGAACATGACGCACACTACTTGCGGAGACAGGCACACTGCTGGGTGTGCTCACTTCAAGGTCACACAGCCAATGTTTAAAAAAAAAAAAAAAAAAAAAAGCAGACAGGACGCCCCATGACCCCTGGTAGAGAATTGACTAAAATGAGCAAAACCTAAAAAGAATGAGGCAGACTGACTCCGAGATTTTGGCTTGTTTCTTGTAAGTTTCTCTGAAAGGCTTTTTCTGGAAGAAACATAAAATGTTGAAGAACATGTAAAGGTGACAGCAAAGGTTATTGTCCCCAAAAGTACCTGGCCAACAGGTGACACTCCCTCTCACCGCGCCAGGTCTGGTTCTAATCACAGAGGTTACCTCCGGGCCCTGCTGTCTGGCTTCCATTTCTGTTCCTCAGCAGGACAGAGCCCCTGTCCAACCCGCAGAGCTAGTCCTCTGACCTTAATTATGTTTTCATCGTGTAATGAAAATACTTTAGAAAAGGTGAGGTTTTATGTTAATTTAAAGCTGTCAGTGACAGTTCCCCTCTCTGTAACTATCTGACAGTGTTGCAGTAATCTTCTCATTAACCCATCCAGTTGCTGCACAGCCTGACCCAGGTGCACATACGGTGCCTGTGCAGATGATTTCAGTGGTATTAGCATCATAGCTGGGCCCTCCTGAAAACTGAAATTGCAATGAGTACTTTAACTTTCTGTTAGAGAAGTCATTGTTTTTGTCTCTCCCCCACCAACCCCACCTGCCCTGCCCTGCTTGGAAAAATCTCTTTTTACCTCTAATGCTCTTGCTTTGCTCTATAGGAACCTGTATATGCTTCTACTTATTCTCCTGCTATACCTGCTGCCCATAAATACCTGTCTTTTGTATCTATTAATCAGGTGAGGAAAAGCCTATGCATGTTAAGCCTCATTGCAATTTCTGAGCAATAGGGAAGGAGTTTTGGGTTTCATCTGGGAAAGTAACTCACCACTGTGTGTGTGTGTGTGTGTGTGTGTGTGTGTGTGTGCCTGTGATTGTGTCTGTGGTTGTATGTTATGTGTGTGATTGTGTGTCTGTCTGTGAGTCTGGGATAGAGTGCATGTATTTATCAGTTCATATGTTTGTGATAAGTCAACACGCAATACATTTGGCTGAGTTTTTAGGGAGACTCAGTGGTATGAATTCACTCACACCATGGAACTGGTTAAAGGAGAAGTTTCCCCTTTCAGTCTCCAAGCTTTAAATCCTGTCAAGAGCCCACCTGTCAGGGTCACCGGGGTGTTCACTGTCCCAGCTCAGACAAGGTGTTGTCTTGCTTAGCTTCATAGAGTACATGGATGAGGTAGAGGAGTTTGCATGGGGAAGGGACAGGGAGGAAGATAGGGCAAGGAAGTGGCCATCTGGTGTGATCAGGACTCTCCGTAGTCCTGTTTAACGAGGAGGCACAGACCCCCGCCCCTTTCCATCTATCCACTGTTCCTCACCTGTACCACATTCTGAGCCTGGCCTGGGTGAGTGAGATGTGGATCATTTTTAAAGCTAAAATTGTTTTCTGTTCCCCTTGAAATATCTGTGGATGTCACAATAGCTGTGAAAAGTGTGTCCACTTTCTATCACTCCCACAGTGGTCACCTCCATGTTACTTTTCCATCACTGTGCAGAAGCATCTGAGAAGACCAGTTCACAAGGAGGCAGGCAGTTCATTCATTAGGCTCCCTGTTCAGAGGGTGCAGTGTTTGGTCACTTGGCTCCATCAGTGTGTGGCCCGTTTGGACCATGGTAAGGCAGAACACCATGGTGGGCATGTGTGCAAAGCAAACCTGCTCACTTCATGTTGGGTAGGAAGCAAAGAGAGACGGAGGGAGGGGCAGGGTCCCCCTGCCCCCTTAAAGGCCTTGCCCCCAGTGCGCTAACATTTTCCTACTAGGCCCCATTTCCTAAACGCTGCATGACCTCCCCTAACGTCACAAGTTGCTGACCGAGTTGTGCACACAGGGGCCTCTGGGAGATATTTCAGATCCTGACCACAGCAAACATCCTCCTGTGGGTGGCCCCAGCCTCTTCCCTGAGGCTTCAGCTCCATGTCACAACTGAGACTTTCTCCCTCTCAGGCCACAGCTCACTGGCAGCCTCACGGTGGCACTGTTCCCTCAGGACCAGCACGGTGGAGCAAGATGCTCAGGGTGGCATGTGTGAGGCTGACAGGAGAGGTGTCTGCTGGGTCCTCCTGTCTGCGTCTTGTCACAAACAGGAACTCCCCACTTTGCCCTGCAGTAGCTGTTTTGCCCTCAGGCCCACTGGTTCCTTTTGTGAAATTAGAGATACTCACTGTGAGAGTGTAGACCCCAGTTGGCAGCCAGCATTCACTCATGAAATAGGTTGAAATCTCGAGCAACTGGTACTGTCATCACCAAGAAGTAAATCAGTACTAGACCCGAAAAGGAAGATTATTATGGAAGTCTTTAGGGATATGTGTGTATCTATGTAGAGATCAAGCACTTACAAATATGTATGTCACATATAGGTAAAGAGAGAGACAGAGACAAAGACAAAGAGAGATCTAGCTTTTGTGAGGTTTGGGGTTCAGAATCAGGACCAAATTGAGCATGGTTTCTGGCCCTGGCTCCCTACACACAGCCTTCCCACTGTCAGTGTCTCACACAATAACATACTTGTTACAGCTGATAAACCTCTGTTGACACATCAGCTGAAGCCCACACCTTACATTAGGGTTTATTCTTTGTGTGCATTCTCATGGTTTTGATAAATACATAATGTCATGTCTCTGTCATTGGAGTGTCACACAAAATAGCTGCACTGCCCTAAGACCCGTGTGCTTTACCTCATGAGGCATCACTCTCAGACCGTGCTTTTGTCAGCCACTGTCTGTTTTCTGTCTCCAAGGTTGTGCCTCTTCCAGAATGTCACAGAGTTGGAATGACAGTAGGTAACTTTTGCAATCTGCCTTCTTTTACTTCATATGTATTTCTGATCCCTCTGTCTTTTCACGGGTTGGTGGTTCATGTTCTTTAGTTCTGGGTGTTACTCAGTTGTTGGGGTTTGCTACCATTTATGAAGCTGTTCACCCACTAAAGAACATGTTGAATGCTTCCATGTTTTGAGTTACACAGAAAGCTGTTCCAAGCATCCCATCTGCAGGTTTTTGTTCAGTGTAAGTTCTCCATTCATTTGGGTACTAAGGAGCATGATTACTGGATCATATGGTAGAAGTATGCTTACTATTTTAAGCAAACTCTAAGCTGTCTTCCAGAGTGGCTATATTATTTTGCATCCTGACCAGCAATGAATGTTCTTGTTGCATGTCTTTGCCAGGGTTTGGTGTTATCAGTGTTTAGGATTTTCATCATTCTAATGAGTGTATGTCTGTGTCTCGTTGTGTTAATTTGAAAATTCCTGATGACCTGATGGTGAGTATATCTGCTTACACTTAGCTTGTGACTGTATTCATTGATGAAATACCTGTTCAGATTATTTACCTATTAATCTGATTGTTTTCTTATTGATGAATTTTAAGTCTCCTTTGTATGTTTTTGGATAATAGTCCTTTATCAGATATGCTTTAAAAATATTTTCTCCCATTCTGAGGATTGTCATACTCTTTTGACAGTGTCTTCCACAGAAGAAAATTTATTAATGTCATGGAAGTCCATCTTACCAATTTTCTTTCCTGAACTATAACTTTGATATTTTATCTAAAAAGTGATCGGTAAACCCAAGGTCACCCAGACTCGTACTTATTTATAATAGTTCCTAGAAGGTTTATAGTTTTAGCTTTGCATTGTACATTGCGGTCTGTGTTCTATTTTGAGTTAATATACGGTCATTCTGCAGATTTGGTCGGGAGGCTGAGTGTCCAAATGATGCGGGATTGTCTTTTTCCCTGTTGAATTGTCCTTCCTCCTTTTTTAAAAAATCTTGCTCCACTGATCTATTCCCTGTTTTTTGGCCACCTATTACACTTTTCACTTCTAGCTTTATAATAATTCCTAGAGCTCGGTGGTGTAAATCATCCAACATTGCACATCTCCTTCAATTTCCCATTGACTTTTGAGTCTTTATCCTCTCCCTAAAAACTTTTATCTGTTGATCAATACTGCAAACACATAGCGCTACAATTTTGGCAGGAACTGCACTGAGTTTATAGATCGAGTTGGGAAGAACCAACATCTTGACAAAACAGTTTTCCTATCCATGAACATGGATTATCTCTCCATGTATTTTTAAGTTTAAGGGGAAAGTAACATTTACCAAAAGCAATTTATGTTTCATTGTTTAAAATTTTAATATTTTCATTCTATCTATCTATCTATATACTTCTTAGCAATTTTTCCAGATAAATAGAAAAATAGAAAGATTTTTTATATGATCTAGGTGGTGATAGATCAATACAGTCCTCCAGGATCAGATCACCCCTTTCTTTTTCTCCAGCCACCCTGGTACCTCAACATTAAATGAGAGAACAAAATGGAGTATTAGATACTGCACAGGTTTCATCAGAAGCTCTCTGTGTCAGGCATCAGTGTTTGTTCTCTGATTCCTCTCAGGCATCCAGGCTGCACCGAGCAAGGTTTTGCCTTGTTATCCTCCTTCTGAGAGCCGGTGGGTACCTGGGTCAGGGTGCCCTGAGGTCGGAGCTGGCCTGTGACTTTGCACCATCTTGTGTTTGAGGCTTCTGTGCAGTGATGATAGACTGGAATCTCTTAAGGAAGAGGCAAAGTTGACTTTCTTCAACAGGTCCCAGTTTTGTCACTCTCCCTTATTTTTGTTATTTATTTCTGGAACCACTCGTCTCTGAGTTTAAATAGATATAAGATAAAAAGCTTAAAAGTCAAATCACATCTTCTTTTTCTGAAGCTTTCCAATTGTGGAACAGTTTTTACCCTTAAGCCTGTCCTGATCCTAATAATACAGGTTAGTTCCGTGGTCATGGTATGACGTCCCTGGGTACAAAATATGAAATGAGACTTGCCATGATTTCTGAGTAAGTGTAGAAAGGGAAGCAAACCCATTAGCAACTGTGTGGAGCTAGAAAACGTTACCACTAGTTGATCCTTCGGGCAGTCTCTGTGTCCTACTAAGTAGCCGTCTATTTCTTCATTCCCAGCTGTTTCTCTACACACACACACACTCACACTCACACCCACACCCTACACTCTCTTTCCGTCTCTTCCCAACACAGTTGTTGAGCCCTATATTTGGCAGGATGAATGATAGATGAGGTAGTCTGCCTCAGTTGTCTCTTAGTGCCTAAAGCGATCCTCAGTCTCTATTGGCCCACCTCGGAAAATGACATAGTACAGTACTTGTGGCTATGCATGTTTTCCTCTGTAGGCAAAGAAAGAAAAATTTAGACAAGCAGGACAGTAGTGAAGTTTTAAAACAAAAAAGGCAAATGGACAAAGAGATCCCCCTTATTCTCCCATTTTGAGCTCTACTATTTAATAGTCACTTATGATAAATTTTATTAGATTCTTCCATGAATATACCATACCCCTTACCGTGTTACAGAGCCATGGAAAGTCAGATGGAAGGAATTACCCACTAAGTTGCCAAGTTAAGTAGAAACTTCTGAGGAAATGAAAACTTCTCTGTTTAATATTATCTTTAAGAGGGGAGTAAAAATATTTCTTCCTGACCCAGATCTTTCAAAATTTTAAATTCCACAATAGTCATGTCATCTAGCTCATGCCCTCTGTGTCCATCCAGGAGCCCAGGCACATCCGGGGGCCCGTGGGGAGCGGGTTGTTGCTTTGTGGTTGTCTTGTTTCTGAGTTAACAGCCATACCCGGCTGCCCCTCCCTGGACTCTGGAGACACATAGGAGGTCACTGCAGAGCCAGTGGTGTTTGAACCCGGGGAGGAGTCCATTTTCTTGGCACTTTGTATGTTTTTCTGAAATATTTTAAGTATTATAATGATTTGGTTCAACTTCACTCCTGAAACCATATTTTCAAAGAAAACTTAGTCTTGCTTCAATTTTATGAGTTCTTCCTGGCAAGAAGGCCTTAGAGTTTATTTAGTACAGATGTATGATTCGCAATGTTTCTTAGAAATAGCGTCTTCTTATCAATCATAAGCTGGAAAGTGAACGAAAAGGTGTTGGGTTGGGAGGGACAGCTTTTAATATAGGTAAAAGTTAAGACCTTCAGAAGAGTTTCCAAGGAGCTCTCCCATAGCCTTTCCAGATCTACCGACCTTGACATTTGTTTCCGGCCCATCCCTAATTCTCTGCCTAATTGCACCCCTTCTTCTCTCCACCCCTCCCCTGGCTTCCCCTCTCCCGCCTCATGAATGCAGACGTGTGTGCGTGTGTATTTAACCTTATCCCCCCCTCAACCATGTTCAGCTAGTTTGGAGACACGCTCCTTTCAATACCTCAGTGCGTGTTTTCCAATACTTTACCCCATAGCCACAGTATAGTACTACGGTGATCAGTGTGAGGGACTTAAAATTGATGTAATGTTTATTCTGCATCCATGTTCCTGTCATATCTGTTCACCCCCAGCAAGGTCTTTTTAAAGCCCACAACACTTAGGAACTAAGACAGCACCGTGTGCTGCCTGGTCTTATTTCTTCAGGAAATAAAGAAATTACCTAAAATTAACAAGGCAATCTCACAAACACTTCTGGCTAGGATGGCCTGGGAAAGAACACTGTATAAGGAAGATTCATAAATTAGATGATGGGAACCCCATGTTCATGTCTGAAACCAACTTGTGCAAGTGCCACACTGGTTCGATGTTACTAGAAAGGAGACCAGGAACCCCTGTCTTTTTTTAGGCTCCACCATCCCAGGGCAGCAAGAAAATGACCTGTGGCAGTCTCCTGTCTCTTCCTGTCCTTAGGAGTCCAGATGTTAATGCTGGCCCATTAAGGGACAGCTGGTCATTTGCACAGTGGGATGGAAAGTCGTGGGTGCACTCCTGGTCCTCTACTGCCAGGAGAAAGCTGCAGGGCTCCTTTGTTCTACTTGGCTGGGGAGATTGGCAGAGGAGCCAATTAAGGTTAAGGAGAGCCCAGGTGTAGTTTGACGTTGAGTCCTACAGCACAAAAGGCATCCCTCCGTCTAAGAAGACACTAAGTGGCAGGAATAGGACAAAGCCAGGAGGCTGTCGCCAGCTTCCTGTCCTAGGAGTGACTGCAGGTGGCTGACCAGGGAAGCTCTCCGGGTTCTCGAGAGGACACTCCTGCTTCCCTTCTGAGCCATTGGCTGCACAGGGCTCCCCACTTCCCCCTACTTACCCTGCCTGTCCTGTGCCCTGCTAAGTGCAGGGAGGTGTTCGTGCAGGGAGGGACAGCATGAAAAGGGAGGATGAAGCACCCTATTCTGATACCATCTGGGGACTTCTCACCCCCACGTTGCCTGCTCCCATCACCCACACCCTTCTTCTCCCCTCTCTTCTCCTCCCAGCTTGTCCTGCGGGCCCTGAGTCTGGGCCTCTGCCTTCCGCCTCCTACTCATGCCCTGTCTGTCCCTCCTTGGTGGCCCTCCAGACCCCTCCCCTCAACTCCACTCATCTCCAACCACGGATCCAAAAAGCATCACCCCAGCTTAGCAGCTGACAGGGAGCTTTCTCCAGGCCCATGCAGGAACTTTAGGAAGCATTTTTAAGTAGAAAAGATTTGTAGATGTGTTGTGTCTGTACCCAGTGCATCCTCTGTGTTAGACATGGGGTAGCTTCTAGTCACTTCCATGGGTGACCTGGGTGCCTAACTGCCCAGTGGCATCCCTCAGGAGGGGAGATTCCTCTTCAGACCTGGCGCCTTCGGAACATATTCTTCCTAATCAGCCTTCCCCCCATCCCATGTCACTGCCTGCTCCTCCTGAGCTTACTCAGAGAAAGGCACCTAGGTTGACTATGCTGTTTGTGAAGTCTCCTTGTTAGCCTCAGTTTACCTAGAGAAGTGAAATAGAACAACATTTACTTATTCATTAATTTCATGCCTGCTTTTTCATCCAGGAAATGCCATAGGCAAAAGTTCACACCTCTATCACTTCTCTCTTTCTCTCTTTCTGTCTCTCTCTCTCTCCCCCTGATTTTCTCTTTTATGCATTTTACAAACAGCGGGTCACAGAAACTCGAGAGAGCCAGATGACGATTGAGGAGCGGAAGCAGCTCATTACGGTGAGAGAAGAGGCCTGGAAGACGAAGGGCAGAGGCGCTGCCAATGACTCCACCCAGTTCACTGTGGCTGGCAGGATGGTGAAGAAAGGTGAGAGCCAGTGTATGTGTGTGCACGCCCCACGTACACACGTGTGTGTGTACACAGCATATGCAATGTGACCACAGTATCCGTGAATGGACCGTGATCATTCTGGGAAATAAGCTATGATCTTTGGAAACGTTTTAAAACCTTTTCTTACAGGTGTGTGTCTCCAAGGCACAGTGACTGTATCCACGGTGGGGGTCGGTGCTTCTACATGTGGTCTCTTGATCGGTTTTACTTCCCCCTCCCTGGTCATAGTCATGATGTCACATGAATATTTTCATGACCCCTACTGAATGCCTTTACTTCAGTCAGTTTGTGTCACCTTCAGTGGAAGAAGCGTGATTTTGTTTTTTGTTTTTTTAAATGGGGCTGCAGACACAACCAGAGCCTGACACACGTGAGGCATGCACTCTACCACTGAGCCACATCCCAGCCTTCAAGGTGTCACTATGCCAAAACTTATCCACAGGGAAATTGAGTGCAATTGTAAGTTTTAAAAGCAATTGCAGATCTGCTAATAAATCTCAGACCTTTCTCATAATTATTTTTAAATCATTTCCATTTTCTTATGACCAGTAATCTGGTTATCCGAGAAAGCAGTTAGCAGTAAAGGAGTTTATCTCCCCTCCTTGTAAGTTAATTCGGAGGTCTTTTCCTACCAAAGCAGACTGCTCTGGCCCACAAAGCTCAGTTCCCAGGTTTGTTTTAATAGCCTCTGCAGGACTCTGCCCTTGCACAGAGGGGGCTTTTCTGCAGCAGCTCATTGCTGGGTAATGGAGTCCCTAGAGCTGCCCCGAAGAGCAGCTGTGTCCAGAGACTTCCTGACATTGACATGTCATGTGGGTGGCAGTCACCAGAGAGCTTTGCACTCCATAGGATTGTTTGGGATTTTTCTTTTGTGTCTTATAAATGTGGATAAATATGGGCATCCCTTTGTCACCGTGTGCGTGGAGCCTCATTTTCCAAGCTATTATTCGAAAGCAAGTTTCCTAAGTCAGTGACCAATGTGTGCACACTGACTTAATCTTAACATGTGGCCGTCAACCTTAGTTTTAGCTTTCCTTCTACTCAAACTGTTAGGGATCCTAGCTGATGAATAGAACCTAACTAATTGTAGGCAAATAATAATCTTGACAGACAAAAGGAAGAGAGGGAGAGAGAAATCCTGAGTTATAGTTAACTGGAATCTTGGTGGAAGAACCTGCTCTTACTTAATCTTGAAATTGTCAGAGGACGCAGAAGATGATTTACTCCCATGAAATGAGGCTGTTTTTTACCTTTTTCCTCATGAAATCACAAAGCTGTATCACCGTGGTTAAGTGACTCTAGCATACAACCCCGCCCCTCATTAGCGAAGCAGACTGGAGGCTACAGATTGATAAATACAGCGAGCTGAGAACTTGAACCAATTTCTGCTTTCTCGTATCCTGATGACTTTTTTGCACTGGTTCTTCTGTCCTCTCCCAGCTTAAAAATTGTAACTTATTTTTAAGTGAGCTCCTAAGTGTTCCCTGTGTCTGGTCTGTACTGGTGTCAGAGGAAACCTACTTAACCTGTTGTGGGCTTGGATAACAAATAGCCCTTATGTCTCAGTGAATATGTTTGTTTTCTTGAGTAAATCAGAGATATTTACTTGATATCTGCTGTATGGCTTGCATGGGAAATATTTTTCTTTGTACTTTTTGTTTTTTGGCATACTGGAGATCAAGCCCAGTACCTTCTACCTGCTAACCAAGCATTGTACCATGGAGCTACATCCCCAGTCTTCATGTATTTTATTCTAATTTTAAAAAACTGTACCTTATATAATCTTTCAGGAAAGCTTGCGTTCTCACTAAAAACTTTTGAAGATCTGGTAATTGAAACAAATCTCTGGGTGTTCTTACAAAATCTCTGGGTGGTCTTCAGGGGATACGTAAATCTTAGGGGCACCATCATCTCAGGACTTCGCCTTTATTACAAAGGAGAGCATGAGCATCATTTTCATGAACACACTAATTGCTTTCCTTTCCAATCTAGGTTAAGAAAAAATACTTATCTTTATCTTCATTAAGTTTTCTTGTTCCATCTGGATCTGTCTCTGTTGTGAAATTCGATTCTGTCCCTTTCACATGTCTGTTCCCCTACGCCCTGCTAAAGATTCCCTACCCTGATTCCCTGTGTCTATCTGGGAAAACACACTAGTGAGCAGTCACAATGAGGTGACTGTGACTCTCAAAGAATCATAACTCACTTCAGTGTACCCTCTTGTGTGTTTCTGAAAAGCCAACACTCCTTGGGGCATTGTCTTGTGTATTGTCACAGGCCAGCTGGTCCTCACCTCCAGTGCTGTGTGGTGGACGGTGTGACCCAGATTATTCTGAGTGCCATCCGTGAGGGATGGTACAAATGTGTCCTCTCATCAGCGGCCCATCCCACCTTCAGAACTAGTAACCCCTCTGTTTGGGTGTACTCTGATTGTCTTGCACACTCTTTGACTCCATGTACACAACACCAATATGTTTTGTCATTCTTTATCGCTCATTTTTGGAATATCAGTTTGCCAGCCCACTTAGTCATTAGGAACAATAAAATCCTGTGTACGGTCATGGTACCTGACAAACACCCATGCATGTATAGGGACACGCAGGTATGGGCAGAAGTTCTTATAAGCTGTAGTCCACACTGCGACTCGTGGGATGGCCTGGGTCCTAGGAATATCCAGAAGTAATTTTAAGATACTCTCTTTGATCCATAATCCATTCTGCAGGTTTGGCGTCACCCACAGCCATAACTCCAGTAGCGTCCCCTCTGGGCAGCAAACCGAGGGGCACTACACCAGTTTCCAAACCATTGGAAGGTAAGTCACCAAGGTGTCCATTGTTCCCTCAGTTTCCAGTTGGATCAATCAGGGACACTCTCTCACTAATGGTTTCTGCTTGCTTAGATATTGAAGCAAGACCAGATATGCAGTTGGAATCAGACCTGAAGCTGGACAGGCTAGAGACCTTTCTAAGAAGGCTGAATAACAAAGGTACATACCTGAAGCCGCGGAAAGCTACGGCTTCTGTTCTTACAGCACATTGGGATTGAATCTTCAACAAGTAGCTAAGGAAACCTGAATACTAAATAATCAGGCTTGACTCAAACTTCATTGTTTAATATAAATATTGAGATAAATCTTTCATTACAAACGTCAATAGAGTCCACCAAAGAGTTATATGTAGCAACAGCCTTTTATGTCTTGGCTAAAAATGCTCAGTGCATGAAACTTACCAAATACCAGATACTGGGAATCCCTGTTATTGACAGTGACAGGTTAAAAGTTAAAGGTTGAAAATAATAGAAAGCAACCATTGTAAACCAACAATATAAAGATGAGCCAGAGTAACTGACCTGGTAGGCAAGAGTTTCTAACCATGAGGAGTTTATCAAACATACAAGCAGCAGTGATCAAGGCCATGCTTAGCAAGCAGTACACACAGCTAAATCCTGTGCTTCTGTTTTTGTAAATAAAGTTTTATTGGAACATAGCTGTGCCCACTGTCAAGCCTCACTTTTACATTAGAAGACAGAACTGAGTGGTGCGGCACTGACCATCTGGCTTCTGGTGCAAAGCCTAAATTAATTATTGCTCGGTCTCCAGCAAAACTTTGCTGACCCCCCCATATGGACAGAGGTTAGCTCTCCTGCAGTAGAAAAAGGTCAGGCGCCCCAAGGCTCAGTGGAACTGTGGGCATTGAGGTCAGCCTCGCCCCCTCCTAGCAGTGCGCTGGGTGTGGTTTGTTCACAGAAGTCAGGGAAGGGCCAGCAAGCAGCTTCTTGACCCTATACACTGCTGTCATGTTTTCTGCACTCCTGGAACTAGAGGAGGAGTGATTTTTAATATTGCAAAGTTTGTCATGGGGATTTTTTTTTATAGAACTCTTACATTGTTTATTTGCTTGTTTATTGATAGTTGGAGAAACAGTACTGACTGTCACTGGGAAATCTGTTAAGGAGGTGATGAAGCTGGATGATGATGAGACCTTTGCCAAATTTTACCGCAGCATGGATTATAACATACCAAGAAGTCCCGTGGAGCTGGATGAGGACTTCGATGAGATTTTTGATCCTTACACACCCAAGTGAGTTATTCCAGTGACCATCTTCCCTCCACTAACACAGGCTTCCTTCGCTGCTGTCTCCCAGCCCTGTGGCAGAGAACCCCAGCTGCATGGTGCTGTGGGGCCCAGAAAGCACGGCTACTCCAGACCAGATGTGCACACAGCAAACCGTGTGTGCTGCAGATGTCTGCCCTGGTCAGTAAAAATAGTGTCACTGAATTTTTCACGTAACTCAAGTATTACTGTGCACTTTGTAAGATTAACACCACTTAGCAGAGATTCCTACACCTGTTCCATTTGGCGTGTGAACTTCTTATAACCGAAAACCATTCAGATGATATGAGCTCAAACTAATACAAGTAACTAGGAAATCAAGAAAGTGTAACTTAGCCTATGATAATGTATAAAATCGATAGATCTGCAGGTTAAGTGTTGGTGAAGAGTTGTCTTTACATGAGAATGTCACAAAGCCACCTAAGCAATGTCATTATGATACTAGGGTGCTGTCAGTTGTCAAATACTAGAAAAATACCTAAGTCACACTGACTTCAGCAAAAGAAAGATGTAGAAGGATTTATAGGTTCATGAGCAGAACAGTACAGGTGTGACCTCAGATTCCAGGAGTTCATTGGAATGTGGTCTCTCTGTGGCTGTTGTTGCATGGGCTGCCTTCATTCTTGGCAGGGGCTAGGGGCAGCCCATAGGGTGGACAGTGGCCACCCCTGCTCTGCTTTTACAGTCCACCTACACTGGCAGCTTCTCTTCATAGTAGCTCCAGCAGGAATTCCAAGTGTGTTCTTCATTGCTCACTTGAGTTCTGAGTCCCTCCCAAAGACACTGATTCCAGACTGGGGTAGAAGATGAAACTGGCCAGAGCTAGGGTCTAGGTCCTCCCCGGAGGTCGGTCTCTCTCTCTCTCTCTCTCTCTCTCCACCCAATTTCTTCAGAGAGAAACTCAGATGCTATCACCAGAAGCAAGGGTCTACTTGCTAGGCAGGCTACACCCACACAACCAGCACATGACCCTTCCCATACAGAATTATCAGGGGCACCATCTCTTCCAGAATTTTTCTAAAAGCTGCTCCTGATACACTTTTTGCATACTTCTGTTTGTCCAATTTGTTTCAGTCAACATGTTTCCATTTCTGACCTTTAAAAAATGAATGATTTATAGCCAAGCGTGGTGGTACATTCCTGTAATCCCAACACTTAGGAGGCCAAGGCAGGAGGATTGTTGCAAATTCAAGACCAGCTTGGACTTCAAAGTGAGCTCAAGGCCAGCCTGAACTGCATAGTAATACCCTGTCTCAAAATGAAAAAAAAAAAAAAAAGATTTGCCATTTTAACCTTAACATACTTGGGGTATGTTGCATACTTATATGTAGCATACTTAACATACATGATCTAACCATTTCTCACCCTTCTCCCTACCTGTTACTTTTCATAATTTAATTTACACATATGCATAAATATATGCATAATTTAAACATGCAAGGTGTAATCAAAACATAAACTGAATCTTTAAATTAAAAATAATTTATTACAATAAAAGATACATTGCTATTAATGTCTCTTAAAATATTCCCCTGTCTTAGTTACTTTTTTCTCATTGCTGAGACAACTACCCAACACCCAGAGTTCAAGAAAGAAAGGTTTATTTAGCTCACAGTTTGTGGAGGTTCTGGTCCATAATCAGCTGGCCCAAGGCAGAGTGGCTTGGTAGAGACGAAGGGCAGAATGGGTAGGAGGCAGCAGAAGACAAACAGTAGTAGCAACAGCAGAAGCAATAAGCAGTTATCCTCTTTCTGTCCGTGAGATCTTACCCAGGCTACCTACCCTTAGGACAGGTGCACTCACACCCTTAATCCCAGCATGGAGTCGTGAATCAATCCCGGCATCACGTCCTTGATCCCAGCATCACACCCCAGATCCAGCCACCTCAGAAAAGCCCACCTCATGGGCTTTGGGGGGACATCTGGACACAAGCTATGGCATCCTCCCTATGTGTGGCATTCTTGCACCTCTTCAAGCAGTTCTGTAAATTCTCTTCCATGAGTGTCTTTAGTCACACTGCTGTGGCTACCTTCACACCCTGAATCAATTCAAAGTGTTTACATTTTATGGTCGTTTTGACTTTAGAGAGAACCAGCAGTCGAACGGTGCCAGGTTCCATAAAAAAGGTCAATAAGTCCACACCATGGTATTTTGACCAGCCTGCTGTCTGTGCAGTGATAGCATTCATCGGGTTTTTGATCACACCTCGTAAAGACACTCATGAGTGAGTGCTTCCTAAGTGACAACAACAAAGGGATAAGCATGTTCATAGTGAGGGGGATTTTGAGGGAGGTTCATGGCAATGTGTCCTTTCCTGTAATACATTAAACATGGGCCATACAGTTTAGTTACCTCTTGTGTGTGTATGTATGTATTTTCACTAGTACACACACGCCGTGGTGTTACATGTAAAGACACAGAGCCCTGCACACTTGGAAGCTGAGAGTGGTGGCAGCAGTCCTTGGAGAGGTCGTGTGGCTAGGTCTGCCACCCCCACCGCACTTCTCTTCTGCCCACAGACATGGGGAGATTCCAGGGTTGCAGATGGCTTGGCAGGGCTGTTTTATTTCAATGTACTATTCAAAGTTGTGGGTTTTTATTTCTCAGAGGGTTCATAGGATGAGTGGAACCCCCTTGGGGGCACGTGAGAGAACTGAAAAGCTATTTTGTCAAGAGAACCATTAATCTGGCAAGGAGGCTTGGGTGATGGTTTGTGAATTCTCCAGGGCCATAGCTGCACTATTCCAGAGAGAGAATTACACTCCAAGTGCCACGGGGATAGGAATGAGAGGGACAGATGCAGCCCACTAACCTTAGGGGCATTGTGGCAGTGGAATAAGCTGTCCCCATAAGCACCAGTGGCTGAGTGCAAGGAGGCTCCTGGGATCTGTGGGGGACCCTCTACTCAGTGCCTGATGCTTCCTCACCAAGATCCTGTGAGTCCACCTCAGGGGAGAGGTGGTGTGAGAAGGTGTGAGGAGCTGGAAGCCTGATAATGACTGCAGCTGCAGCAAGGAGAGCCACAAGCTCAAGCCCAGCCTGGGCGCCTGAGTCACTTAGTGAGAAAATGAAAACCTAAAGCTAGGCTCAGTGTGAAGGCGCTGGGGTGACTTACAATGAAATCAGGAAATACAGTGTTGGGGTCCATTTCCCTGTGTCCCAAACCCACTCATTCATCAGACCCGGCTGCTCCTGCTGCCAGCCACACCGAGACTGGCTTTGCTTTCCCGGCAGATTGACATCCTCCGTGGCAGAGCACAAGCGTGCCGTTAGGCCCAAGCGCCGGGTGCAGTCTTCCAAAAACCCGTTGAAGATGCTGGCTGCGAGAGAGGACCTCCTCCAGGAGTACACAGAGCAGAGGCTGAATGTCGCCTTCATGGAGTCCAAGCGAATGAAAGTGGAAAAGTGTGGGTACCAGGAGCCCCCAACACTGACAGAGGGGAAGGAGCTAGGCTGGGAATTGGAGGTGGCTGGGATGGAGATAAGGGAGTGGGAGGGGCTCTCAGCCTACCCTTAAAAGACAGAGCAGTTGGAAATCATCTGACTGTAAGCGCTGTCTTTGCACTAACCATTTGCTTGCCCCACTTGGCTTTCCTTCCTTGACCCGCCCAGTGTCCTCCAACTCCAACTTCTCAGAGGTCACTCTGGCAGGCTTGGCCAGTAAGGAAAACTTCAGCAACGTCAGCCTGAGGAGCATCAGCCTGACCGAGCAGAACTCCAACAACAGCTCAGTGCCCTACAAGAAGCTGATGTTGTTACAGGTTAAAGGTATTTCCTGGTGACACGGGAGAGCTGCATATGACCAGTGCTTCTGGTCAGGTCCTAGGAGTCCTGAGTGCTCCTCTTAGTGCCGCCCTGCCAATCCTCACACCTAAGCTTCACAGAATCCCGTGAAGCAGGAAGCATCCCACCCACTGAGGCGTTGAGAAGTTGCTAGTGTGGTCACAGCAGCTGCTGAGAGACAGGGCTGGAGGCAAACCTGGTGTCCCTCCATCCAGTGTCTCAGTCTCTGCTCCTGTACCCTGACTCCCTGGCTGCATGGTCTATATCCCTAGTGCAGCATGTAGCTACCGGATGCCCTGTGCGATCAGGATGGGCCTTGGCTCTCTCTGCTGAGACCAGCAAGTCCAGGGTGCCAGGGGAGGAGGGCACATTCCTAGGGAAGGAGTTAGGGGAAACAGGAACCAAAGAAGCAGGGTCTACAGTGCCTTTCTCCCCCTAGCAGGGGAGACTTGGGGGACAAGCAAGGGTGTCAGGTGGAGAAGAGTGACCACCAGGAGTGACCTAGTGACCACTCTGCAGAGACATGGGTGGAAGAAATACCCTCCCCCTGGGCAAAACCACTGTGCTTTCTAGTGTATTGAAGACTGGAAACTAGTGAGTGGTTCCCATAGCCTAACAAAAAGATGACACTACATGTGTACTATGAAAAGCTGCAAACTAGCAAACCATTTAATAGAAGGGGTGAGGGAGGCACCAAGCAGTACTTCCCCTGAGCTGACTGCTATTTAGATGCCCTACGAGGTGTGGGGGAAATCTTGAGAAGGAGATGGGGTCCTGTAGAAGGCTTGCCTTTCCCTGCAGCATGGCCAGAGATGCCAAGTGTGGGAGGCAGAGTGGGAGGGGCATGCATGGCAGGTTCCTGGGAGGGAGGAGCTCGCTGCACTGGTACCCATGTTATCCAGAGACACAGGCATGGCACAGTCCTGTGCAAGCGGTGGCATCAGGACTGGCACTGCCCAGAAAAGGGATGGCTAATGCTGCTGGGCAGCCCTCCCTCACTCTCCCGTGCTGCCCTATGTCATGGAAACTGATACCATAGCCAGTCTTTAGAAGAAGGAAAGTCCATAGCAGGGACATTCCTGTCTGGGAAAATGCTGACCTCAGGCCTCGCCTTCAGGGAGAAGACATGTGCAGACAAGGCTGGTGGAGCCCCGTGCCTCCTCCCTCAACAGTGGGGACTGCTTCCTCCTGCTGTCTCCCCAGAACTGCTTCCTGTGGGTGGGAGAGTTTGCAAATGTCATTGAAAAGGCAAAGGTGCGTATCTGGACCCAAGATGCTTCTGCTGACGCCTCCCTTATGCACAAGCTACCAGCAAGGTTCTACCAGCTGTAGATCCTTGCAAAGCTTTCCAGATAGCTGTGGCTTCCTTCGCGTGAAGAGGGACAGGGAGCAGTCTTTCCCTGAGTGTCACTCGAAGAAGCCGTCATAAGGTGCTAAAGGAGGACGTTTTAGCAGGATTCTGACCTATACCTCTAGTTCTAATGTGCTGGTATTAAAGGGGACGGGCTCCGCTTCGTAGCTCTTTATCTGAGGTGCACTCCTTTGGGGAAGGAATCTCATGAGGTGAAGCCCAAAGAATGGGGCAAAAGCTTTACATGTTATGTGCTTCATACTGAAGATTGAGAACTGTTCCTCCAAAATTTCTAGATGGGTACCATTGCACACACCCATAACCCCAGTTTACGGACAGGCTGAGACAGGAGGATCACAAGTTTGAGGGCAGTCTAGGAAATTTAGCAAGAAAGACTAAACTGAAAACTAAGAAGAACTGAGGATATAACTCAGTGGTAGCATGCTTCCTAACATACTCGAGACCTGGGTTCAGTCCCAGTACTGTAAATAAACAAATGGCATTGCCACCCTTAGTCCTTCAGTTACACTTTCTTGGCTTTATTGAACATGCTCAGCCAGCATCCTCCTGCCCCTACAGGGGCAGACAGTTTCTCTTCTGGTTGTGACATATGCTACTCTATCTGGGCGTGAGCTTTTCTAACCAGGTGATTCATTCTCCCCCACCGCTTTTAGGCTTCAGAACTTGCAACTCTAATTCAGACAAAAAGGGAACTTGGTTGTAGAGCTACCTACATACAAACCATTGAAGAAGGAATTAATACACACACGCATGCAGCCAAAGACTTCTGGAAGCTCCTGGGTGGCCAAACCAGTTACCAGGGTAAGTTACTGTGCTTAAGAGACTGAGAAATGAACTTCCTTGCTTTTCCCTTGGTTCATTCTTCTAAACCAGCTACTTTCTGATGTCCAGTGTGATGCTTTCCTATTGTTCTTGTCCCCAAAGCTGCTGGTGACCCAAAGGAAGATGAGCTGTATGAGGCAGCCATCATAGAGACAAACTGCATTTACCGTCTGACAGATGACAAGCTTGTCCCTGATGACGACTACTGGGGCAAAATTCCCAAGTGCTCCCTTCTGCAACCAAGAGAGGTATGAGGCTTGCACTGGCCACCAGCGTTTGTGGTATCAGACCCACACACCTGACATACTCGGCTTCCCAGAGGAAGGGTTTATTTGGGCTCACGGTTTCAGGGGTTCAGTCCACGTCTGACTGGCTCGGAAGCAGAAGTCCCAGCAGAAGGGCCTGGGAGAGGGAAGCTGCTCACTTTACGAGAGCCAAGAGGCTGAATGAGCCAAGAAAAGCCAGTAAAAAGGGGACCAGAGACCAGATATGGTCCCCAGCTCACACCACCCTGACCCACCCAGACATACCAGAACCTCCCAGGCAATCTCAAGCCGATCATGTTGACAGTCAAAATTAACCATCACAGTGCCTAAGGACAGTGCACGTAGAGCACTGTGCCTTGGGGTGTTCAGGCAAACAGAGAGGAAGTGTCCAAGGAAGGAGAGCCAGCCTTAGTACCACCAGTCAGACCCTGGAGCTCTTTACAACCACTGCTGCCATCTGAAACACTAATACAGAAATCAAACGTTATTCAGAGGTGGGAGAAGTCACTGAAGACATTTCTATTTTAGGCAAAACATATGTTACTTAATCCTATCTCTTAAATTTTGTAAGCAAAATTTTTTGGTTCTTAACATTCAGCAGTGATGCATACATCTATGTATAATATGGATTTTCTAAGTAATGTGATTTTTTTCTACTCCACTGTGATATGGAGGCATTTCAATGGGAAAAAAGAAAGTAGATTTGTGGCTAGCTTAGAAGTTAAGTTGAATTTGGATTGCTAAAATAAATGGAGAAGAAAGAGTAGAACAAATCACAGGCATGAAAATAAGGCATAGCATGGTGTTCGTATATTCATTCAGCAAACCCCTAGCAAAAGTGTAAGTTTGATATGATCTTTGCCCTTAAGGCTTTTGGAATTGTGCACAGGAGGAAAATGATTACTGGCATATATCAGCACCTGGCATGTACGAAATGACCTATATTGTGTTAAATGAATGAATGAACTAATATGAAAGGAGAAACAAGGGGGAGAGGGAGGGAAGAAACAAACACTTATGAAACTCTTGTATATGTCAAAAGTTAGGTGGTGTATTAGCCAGCTTTCTGTCACTATGACAAAATACCTGAGAAAAAACAACTTAATGGAGGAAAGGTTCATTTGGCATATGGTTTCAGGGGTTCAGTCCATGGTCCCTGGCTCCATGACTTTGGAAGAGGGGTTGTGGACAAGTGAAAATTCACAAGGTCACTCAGCCTATGACCCATCCCTTCAGCTGGGCCTTACCACCTAAGTTTCCGTTGCCTCCCAGTGTTGGACTCCAGCAGTGGATCAGTGCATTGATTAAATTAGGATCCTTGTAATCTGATCACTTTGCAAAAGCTGCCAACCAGACCCCAAACAGGAACCCTTTAGATTTAAACCCTACTAAGTGGTTACAGGTTCAGAGGAGGAGTTATTTACTTGAGCATTAGGACAGCAAGAAGCAAGTCACCCCACAAGGCCACAGCACAGCTTGGACCTTGTGACTTTCTGTCTGTATTGACTGCCCCCTCAGACTCCGTATCACCACCCACCTGCCTTACTGACCAGGCAGACCCATCAAACCAGAGCGGGTCCTTGAAGCTAACAAACACTTTCGTGCCATTTCTCCAGGTCCTGGTGTTTGATTTTGGTAGTGAAGTTTACGTGTGGCATGGGAAAGAAGTCACATTAGCCCAAAGAAAGATAGCATTTCAGCTGGCAAAGCACTTATGGAATGGAACCTTTGACTATGAGAACTGTGACATCAATCCACTGGATCCTGGAGAGTGTAACCCGCTCATTCCCAGGTACTTCCGCAGCCTGGGCATCCTGTGGCACAGAGGGCAGGACCCCCGGGCAGGCTTCTTCATACTGTCAGCTACTTACTGTGCTTTATGTAAAGATTCCACAGCATGGCCGTGAATACTCACAAAATGAGTATTTCTTTAACTTCTCCCAGTCAGATCTGAAAAGCATATGTGTTGCAGTCTTCAGGAAGCTGTTCATGTCATACTGAATTTTTGGAAGCACCTGGTAGATTCCTCCTCCAGCATTCCAGGTGCTGCAGCTGTGGCAGACAAGCAGCGACTGTTAAAACAAATTACACCTTGCAAAGCTCCCTAGGATCTGGAATTCTGCCACTGAACTGAAGGTGCAAAAGTGGCATGTTTAATTCTAATTTCATACCTCCACCTTGTGGAGTCCCAGGATTTATTTGGTACAGGGTGCTGTTTATGCTTCTTGAAGTAGAATGAAGGAGGAGGAAATGGTTTTGAAATGACTACAGTTTCAATATTCTCTGCAGCAGACTGGGCTTTTAAAAGTTACATTGGCAAATCAGTAGAATATGTACAGACTGTAAGAAATATAATCATGGAAAAAAAGAATTATTACCTGCAAAGAATTATTGCTCTTTTACCCTAGACCCTCCTCCCAAATATGATTTCTATTTGTACCGTATGATAAATTAGAATAGTTATACCACCAAACAGCATAGAATTGTGTTCGAATTTCAACTTGCTTTAAAATTGAATCACTGATTTATTATCAGTTTATTTCCTTGATTAAAATTGAAAATCATGGCAATGCGGTGAAAAATTTTAAACCCTTTTTAGCAAATGCCTATTGAGCATTAGAACTATAACACCCAGGGTTTTAGGGACCGGAAGGAAAACTAAGATTTTCGGTTCACTATAGTTAAACAGCACTGAAGGGCAGGAGCAATATGATGGCCAGTTTATATGTGGCAGCAACATGACCACAGATTGGATCAGGTGAGCGGCCACCTGACTCACTGGTCTCCAGCATTTCTACAACAGCCTCCCTCGGGGAACTTAAAAAATAAAATACACAGGCCAGACCCAGCCCTCAAGATGGGTGGCAGTCTTGAGTGGCGCTCAGGGTCAGTGTCATACAAGTTCCCCAAGGAATTTTAGGGGCAGCCAAGAGTACGCACCCGGTGCTTCCTGACAAAGGAGTCAGCAGCTGCCAGATGTAATGGTGCCATCCAGGCCACGGTGTCAGTGCAGAACACCAACACTTACACGGACGGCTCCCATGTCTCCCTGTCAGCCTCACAGGGCAGGTGGATTTTCCACAGTCGCTGACATTTAGCTCCTTCTCTCTGAAGAGCACAGGGTAGAAGTGTTTTCATTCTGTGCTTTTTCTGCTCTGTTCGCTTAGAAACAGGCAGCTTCTTTGATGTGATGTTGGAAACTGATCTTGAACAAACAAGCGACAAGTGTGGGCACAGTGGGGCCATGAGAAGCACAGCTTGGGTGGCTGGACAGGGCCCCCTGGTCCCTGTTCCCAGCTCGAGGGCCGATGTGGAGGGGAGCACTTGCCTGTCACTCTCAGAGCTCTGCCCTCTACAGCAATCATCTTCTCAGCTCAGCTGTTTCTTAAGTGATCCATTTTTGAGTCTGTCCAGGCCCAGAATCCTGGGACTGCATTAGATTCTTATAGTGTGGAGCCTTCCCGGCCTGAAACAGACGTGCGAAAGTGCTCTTTCTGCCAGATGAAAGCGTAGGACGGCCACTGTGTAAGAAGAGACTCTGGATGTACTGGACAGGACAGGACAGAAAGGCACAGAGATGTGGGGCGAGCTCCCTTCTCTCTGTCAATTGATCAGTGGCCCCTGGTGACACTCACAGGTCACTATGGTAGGCACAGTAAGCAAGTAGGATAAACATGCGTTCCAGCTCAAGACAGGGACGAAACAAGGACTTGCTGGAATGCAAGAGAAGCTCAGGCCTGACATGGCTCACATCCACACCTACGCCGACACAAAGCCTTGCGAGGCTTCTGGTTAAAACAACAGAATGTCACTTGTCTGGTAAAATTCATTCATTCTGTATACCACTCATACAGTATCTTGATTTTTTTCAACAGATGTGTATTGTCATTGTTTTTGTTTTGTTTTGTTTCGTTTTGTCTGGGGAGGCAGTACTAAGAATTGAACCCAGGGCCTTCGTACTGAGCTACATTTCCATACTGCCAAGGCTGAGCTCGGACTTTTGACCTTCCTGGCTCAGCCTCCTGGAGTGCTGGAATTCAGGTGTGCACACACCCAGCTGCCACGTTTGTTTTAAACACCGCGTCTTTGTGTACAATGATTGAATTGGGTTCCTTTCTGGTCCACTTCCACTCCACAGAAAAGGTCAAGGGCGGCCTGATTGGGCAATATTTGGGAGACTGACAGAACACAACGAGACTATTTTGTTCAAAGAGAAATTTCTTGATTGGACTGAACTGAAGCGGCCTACTGAGAAGAACAATGGGGATCTTACCCAGCAGAAGGTATGGCAGGGAGCAGGCTGTAGACTGGGAGCTTGGGGTGGGTTCCAGCAAAATGTGCCTGGGAGGTCAGCACCTTCTCAGGGTGCACCAATAAAAGAGCAAAGGAATTTCCGTTTACAGGCTCAGTCCACTCCCAGAGGCCTCCTGCTACATGCAGGCAACAACCCTTTTAGCTGTCACATGATAGCACAAACAGCGCTGTCTGGGTGTGCCTTGGGCAGAGCACTTGCCAGGCAGGTGGCATGAGTGAGACCCTGGGACCCACCCACAGCACCCTGAGGGAGGGAGAGGGCAGGCAGTTAATGACACTGAGCGTGGCAGGAAATAGCTATGGGATCAGAGGCAACTGAACACACATTTCTGTCCCCTTGCAGGAAGACCCCAGGGCTGACATCAAGCCCTATGACGTGACGCGGATGGTGCAGCTGCCCCAGGTGATAGCCGGCACCGTCCTGGACGGGGTAAACATTGGCCGCGGCTATGGCCTGGTGGAAGGAGACGACAGGAGGCAGTTCGAGATCGCCAGCGTGTCTGTGGACGTCTGGCACATCCTGGAGTTTGACTACAGCCGGCTCCCGAAGCAGAGCATCGGGCAGTTCCACGAGGGTGACGCCTATGTGGTCAAGTGGAAGTACATGGTGAGCACTGCAGGTTAGTGACACTTCGGTCTCTCCACGCAAAGCGGGACTGGGCAGCTGCTTCCGTGCAGGATGGCCAGCTGGCATTGTGCTGCCGAGGGCCACCCAGTGAGCCCCACAGACAGGAAACCAGGCGGGACTCCTGGCGGTCCAGCACCACTGCATCTCCAGGGCTCACGGAGCCTAGGCTTCCCGGGGCCCTCACTGTCCCAATCCCTGTCCAGTCTGCACGATCCTCCAGGAAAATGACAGTCTGCCTTCAAGTGGTCACTTAGCTATGTGCTGCTCCAAAAAGTCGCTAAATAAAATACATCTCAGTGATTGAAAGTAGAACCAAAATGGTGAAATGATATTTTAGGAAATACACTGTAAACAGGTATTTTGAGGTCTTGGGATATAGCTCAGTGGCATGGTACCTGCCTGGCAAGCACAAGGTCATGAGTTTGAGTTCTGATACTAAAAAATTTTTTCTTCATTTTTAAAGTGAGAGGTCTGGGGATGGAGCTCAGTGGTAGAACACTTGCCTAACACATGCAAGGCACTGGGTTCAATCCTCAGCACTGCAAAAGAGCAAACATCTATTTGCTGTGAGTCTGGGAGCTCTGACCGCACTTAGTGGGATAGGGCTCTCTGTGGTTCCTGTAGGAGAGAGATTGAGATTTTTACCCGCTGCTCACACTCAAAAGGCCTGGAAGAGAAGGGGTGTCCATGCCCTTTGGAGATTCGATCTGCTTCCTTGTCAAGTAATAGCCGTTGTCTACAGTGCTCCTGGACAGTGAGGGGGGGCACTTCTGTCACAGCTTTGTGATTCTGTGACTCGTCTCCAAGAGAGCTTATTGATCTCCTTGCTGCCCCATTTCTGAAGGCTCAGGAAGCTGGGGGCACAGTTGGTGTTTGCAAATCAGAAACCTGGAAACAGAACCCTTTGGTTTTTTTCTCCAATATCAAAGTTAAATTTGTTAACCAGGGGACATCATTCACTGAGCCCTACTCTGTGTGAGACACTCTGAGGAACTCATTAAAAAGCTGAGACCCTGCCTCTAAGCGGCATGTGGTATAAACCACAGTAAAGCAAGTTCAGGAGAGGGAATAAATGCTTGCATTGGCTCCATTGGCTCCGGCAGCAGTGGGAGGCCAGGAGGCCAAGGCGTGGACAGCCACCAGATGGGTATCGCCAGCAGGCGGGGGTGGTGTGATGAGCAGAGCCAGGCTGCTGCTTGGAGCTTCCCTCTGGCCATGAGGTGTGAAGCTGGTGGCCTAAGCTTGCGTGTCATGGTGACTCCTGTTACACAGATTTCTCACAGCAAGATTGAGTAACCAGCCTGAAATCTCACAGGCAGTAGGGGGCAGTGTTGGCCACTAAACCCAAACTGGCCCCTTTGGAAAACCAGGTGTATTGTGACCCTGCTCTGTTGTTCATCCTGCAGGAAGGAGACGGAGTCTGAGTCCCAGCACAGGATTTGGGGTGACAGGTATTGGCCAGGAGGTTCCAGACACCAGGTCACAGTGGAGCCAGTTGCAGCACTGAGCCACTGCGCACAGAAGCTTCAGAACCTTCCTAAATAGCACTGAGCAAAAAGTCCCACAGGGCCTCTCCTTCCAGGTGGGAGTGGGGTACGGAACAGGACCCCAGACGGAGGGACGTTTCCCATCTTTCCTTCACGGAATCAGACTGTACAGGGAGACCCCCCTCCCCCGGAGAAGAGGCCATGGGTGCTAGAGCATAAGGCCCAGGCTTTATTACTGGCTGTGCGTGTTGGCTGAAGGAGCGTCACCTGCCTTGCCTTGGCTCTCTCCCTGCCTCACATCATACTCGTGTGTGTCATCTTAGCACCGTGCCTGACGCATGCTCAGAGAATCTTTCACTCCCAGCAGCCTGATCACTGTCTGCAGCTGAAAGACAGAATCACACAAGCCTACCCAGTGACATGATTTCCAGACACTCAGTAGAGGGGACCTCAGCTCCCTGATGTGCTGCAGACAGCACACAGCCATGACAGTCTGCATGCTGGTGACAATGAAGACAGTACTAGGGAACTGAGTGTGCAGAGGGGGCGGGCACTACAGGGCCAGGAAGCTGTGGAACTAGGAACTTAAAGGAAAAAGCTTTAAAGGCACTTTTATTCCCCAAGATGCAGAAAGAGAAACACATGTTTGATAAAATGAGACAAAGGAACAACACAAGTTGATATGGAGTCACTTTCTTGTCTTCGCTGTTATAAAACAGAAGTAGTAAGTGAATGGATGACTAAACGGGGTTAAAGGGAACTGCTATAGTTTAAACGCATCAATCTAAGCTTTCTAAGATTTTCAGTGACTACTTGGAAGCTCCTAGGAAATCATGACCTGACCCAGGTGATCCCTTTTAAATTTCTTCCCATTAAACCCCACAGTATGCATCTCCCAGTCAGCTCCAGCAGTATCTTTATGAGCAATGTTGCAGCTTTGAAAAACCCCAGCTCCAGAGAATGGAGTTAGAGCAGATAGTATTCAGCCCCGGCGCATCCATCCAGGAGCAAAGCAGCCAGCCAGAGGCATTTACAGTGGCCATCTCAGAAGTGCTGACCCTTGGTGACTACCTGTCCAGCTCCCCACGACTCCTACCCCATCAGGGCTACACCCACAAACAAGACTGAACTCAGAGCTTGGGGGGCTCATCTTGGTCAGGGCAAGAAAGCAGCAGCTGCAAAGGGAGAGTAATCTCTTAGAGGGTGCTTGTGGCCCACGTGGGTCACCATCTGTCCTGCCCCAGGACCATCTGCAGAGTACAGCTACAGGGTATGACTTGTGCCTCTACAGGGTCAGGAGACCCCACTGGAAGAACGGGGGCTCAGGCTACTTCCAGCAGTGACAGACAGTCAAGTTCCTACCTGGCTGTGCTTAGCAAAATGCTTTCAGAAATTCTGAGACTCTTTTGTGAAAACTGTTAAAGAGTACTTTGCTAAGAAAGGGACCAAAAATGAAATAGTGTGGCACCCATGTCTCAAGAATTTAAATGAGATTTCCTTATACCTGTAAACCTCCAAACAACTCAAGACGCATCAGTAGCATTGGAGCACAGAAAGACTGAAGTCATGCAGGCCCAGAGATGCTGCTGCTGTTAATTTTTAATCCGTATGGGTGTTACTGTCCACTGTAGTCCACTCTTATTGGCCCCTTGCTCATCAGTTTTCTGTTACTATAACAAAACACCTGAGATAGTAAACCTATAAAGGGAAAAAGGTTTATTTTGGCTCGCGGTTTTAGAGGTGCCAGTCCATGGTGTTGCACTGGGCCTGTGGCAAAGGCAGCACATCATGGTAGACAGCGAGTGATAGATGAAAGCTGACTTCATGCCCTGGATGTGAAAAAAAACAAAAGAAGAGGTAGGGTCCCATTCTTACCTTTTGTGCCCTCCAAAGCTGGAAGATCTCCCACCAGAATCTCGTCAACCCTTACTGGCCAGCTGTCATGGCAGCCCTGCACTCTGTTCCTTTCTCTTGTCTAAAATTGTCTTGCCCTTCCATTTGCTTCTTAGAATAAATAACCTGCAACGTTGTGCGACTGAACCATTTGGCCACGCAGCCTGTGATGGTCTTCAGAGGCGCTGGTGCCTACTCTGCCAGTGTCTGTTGAGTGCTCACGAGGTGCCAGACAGGAGGGACACTCAGCACGTCTACCTGGTCTCCCTGTGGGGACAGGCAGGAAGTCCCTAGTTATTTGATAAAAGCAATAGATCTGTAATTCATCTCTTCCATTTCTGACAGAGCTTGAAAACTTAAAGCTGTCAACAGCTTTTTTGGAGAAACTAGAATAGTCTGCATTTTTTCCTTTGCATTTAAAGTCAGGCCAGCTGTAGTTTAAAGTATTGTTTCTCCATCAACTAATTTTTGCCAAAGAGAGATGTGATGTGGAAAACACACGTGTGCCTGTGGAAGCTCTTAGTCCGGCTCTGGCATCACTGTTTCTCCCTATCACACATTTAGAGGGAATGTCACCTTCCTATGGGCTGGCTCAGAAATTCTGAAAGCATTTTGATAAGCACAGCCATCTAAGAACTGGACGACCATTTGCCTTTGGGTACCAGAAGGGTCCCATGAACACTTCCCTGTGTTGGGGACTCTGGTCCATTAGGAAAGGGTGGCTTCTCTCTTCCAGATGGGACTAACCATCTTGCTCACAAGTTGCGCAAGTCTCTCAGCCCCGTGTCCTGACACACAGGGCTCGCTGTCCCTTTGGTTTCTCAGCTGCTTCCTCACGTCTGCCTTTGTTTGCAGTGGGAAGCAGACAGAAGGGAGAGCACGCGCCCCGAGTGGCCGGCAAGGAGAAATGTGTCTATTTCTTCTGGCAAGGCCGGCACTCGACTGTGAGTGAGAAGGGAACCTCAGCCCTGATGACCGTGGAACTGGATGAGGAGAGGGGCGCCCAGGTAAGAGGCTTCCCAAGGACCCCGAGGGGACCCTGTCTAGCCTGGTGTTACCTCTGCAGATGTCTCATCCTCCAACCACTACAGGGTGATCTGGCAGCCACCGCTGTGTCTGCAAGGGGCCATTCCACAGAGCCAGTCCCAGTGGCCAGGGGTGTTTCTGAAGGTTTCTACCTAATGACAGCTGAGGAATTACAAATCAGATAAGGAGATTATCATCCACTTTGAAAATTGGTAGAGATTTTCCAAACACCCAGCTGGCAGAGATCCAGTACTACAGGCCCCTCTTATGCTTCCCTCAGAAAGCCCCACTCAGGAGAGCTATCCTGAAGAGCACTGTGGGGACAAGACCTCAAATACTCTATTGGTTGTTCCGCTTACACAACTTTACCTGGAGGAAAGGAACACGGAATAATCCCACTAGGTGAAAAGTCAACCCAGGTGATTTCTCAGAGCACGCTGAACTGTGTCATAGGTCTAAGTGAGCTCCAATCATTTCTAACCCTTCCTAGTGTCCTTACTCACCTCCATAGTCCCCTCCTCCTCCTCCCCTTCCTCCTCCTCCTCCTCCTCCTCCTCCTCCTCCTCCTCCTTCTCCTCCTCCTTCTCCTCCTCCTCCTCCGCGCAGGCTACTCCAGCCTACTTGCCAATCTCAGACTCACCTTCTCACACTCCCCACAGACCCTGTGATCTCTGGGATGCTGCCCTGTATAGATTTTCAGAACCTGGAAACTTTAAGAATTTTTTTAAAGCATAGCAGTGCAGCCTCTTGGTATACAGATGACCATGAGTGACATTTGGAGGTTTGGTCCCTGGTGTGGTGCCACTGGGTGGCGGGAACGTTAAGAGGTGGCTCCCCATGACTCTCTTGCCCTCTGTCTGCCCCTTTACTGTGCTTTACCTGCTTTAGTGCTTTCCACCCCATGAAACCACACAGTCATGGTGGGTACGTACTCATCATCCATCTTCCCCTAAGACCAGGAAAGAGACCCAGCCGTGCTGGTTTTATAGCACTAGGGCTTGCATAGTGCCTGACAGGTCCCCCACCAACTCCACTGTTGTATAGATATTTCTTTTTCCAATCTGTGGATGATCCATGTCACATGTCTCATCCTTTGGTACCAGTGATTCAGAGCTGACTCTAGGGTTTGGAGAAAACATGACATCATGTACAAATATTTTCCCCATCTTGGAAGAATGACTAAGAATAACATGAAGGAAGAGACCAGAGAAATTTTCTCCAGAAACAGCAGTGTGCACTCAGCCGTTCAGAGTCCTCAGAACTGATCATCTTCCCTGAAAAACATTGTAATGCATGTTTTCTGCTGTGAAATATATTTTAGAAATAGTTGTTAGCAAGAGTTGCATTTTAATTTACTCCTAAGAGTAGATAATCTCAACCGCTATTTTTTTGCACAGGCAGTGGATGAATAATGTTTTAGTCATGCCTTTTTTAGCATCCTTAGGGTTTCGAGTCTTAATCTCTCTAGATGGGGGCACTTTGTTACCGGTCTACCCAGTGGAAACATCGCTGTAGACACTTGGTATAAACCACTGCCACAGGGTGGCACTGGCTTGGTCTTTGTCAAAACAGACCAAGCTTGGCAGGTTGACTCTTGGCAAATGATGCTTCCTGCCGTTCAGTGCTCCCTAACTGCCAGCTCAACAAAACATTTCCTCTTTAAGGGGAAATATCCTGCCAAAGCCAGAGTGAGTCAACTCACGCTAGCACCAGTTGTGACCCCTGAGGAGAATGTGTCGACAGAAAGAGGGGAGGTCCTGTGAGAACCAGTGTCACGTGACCGGACTGCTGGGACAGTGTGTGAGCTTTTCACTACCTTAACAAATACCCAAGGTAATCAACTTCAAAAAGGTTTATTCTGGTTCATGGCCAACTTTGCTTTTAGGCCATGATATCATGGAGGAACAAAACCCTCATGTCCAGGAAATGAGGGACACGAGGGGGCTGAGGTCCCACAGTCCCCTTCAGGGCCACGTCCCCAATAACCTAAAGATTCCCACTAAGTGCCACTTCTTAACGTTCCCACCACCCAGTAGCACCACACCAGGGACCAAACCTCCAAATCATTGGCCTCAGGGACAGGTAAGATCCGACCCATTGCAGGTGGTTACAGAGGATGTATCCCCACCCACCCCTGAAATTACCAGATCAGTGATTGTCACCCTTGTCACTATGAGGTACACTGTTCAAAGTGTATTGATCATGTTACATCCTTATCACAGAAAAGCATTAAAATGTCAAAACGCATGCTTCAAAAGAATATTCAGCAAGAGAAAAATAATGATAAAAATGAGTATAAGACAACAGAAAATAACACTCTTATTTTTGTTTAGGGTAAAATAGAGACCTGAAAAGCACTTTGAAAGGAACAAATACACATTAAACCCACAGCGCTTATCTTGGGTAACAATGCTGTCCTGGATTTTGTATGCAGCCTTACAGTTGTCAGGTTTCCTGCAGCAAGCGTGCACTGCGTGGTGACCCTGAAAGCCCAACCCTGGGCTGACGGCTGTTTAACTCCACAGGTCCAGGTCCTGCAGGGGAAGGAGCCGCCCTGCTTCCTCCAGTGCTTCCAGGGGGGGATGGTGGTGCACTCGGGGCGCCGCGAGGAGGAAGAGGAAAACTCGCAGAGTGAGTCAGCTTCACGGTCAGAATTCACACGGGTGTTTTCTCTTCCCAAAAGGTATTTTTATGGGTGAGGAGGCACAAAGTGAGTCTGTCTTCATCAGGCTGTAGCGTTGCCAATGGAAACCTAATGTTTGCTTGATAAATCAGTTCTTCATCCCTCTGTGAGGCGCGCATGTGCGCGTGCATGCGCGCGCACACACACACACATTCACTCGTGCGCCTGCACACACCCACGCACGCACCCATGCATGCACACACTGTGGAATTTCCTTCCGGACCCATGTTTGTATGGAAGAGGCCAGAAGATCACTTTGCCTTATTAAGTTCTCTGTTCAAGCTTTTTAGGAGAATAAATAATCAGTGACTCATCCATTATAAATTGTAATCATTTGTCGGCCACCATACCCCACCAAAAAAAGAGAGAGAGATCTGAGCTTTAGACCTTTGTGACTTGCTGTGTAAATTGTGCAGAGGATTTTGGGCATCATGAACTTTTAGCAACCTGCTTCTAACTCCAAAATGACTTGCTTTCTGGAAAGCCCAGATGCAGCCCTTGCTCGGCTGAATTTAGGCTGCAGGAACCTCAGTCTCCCCACCCTGTTTCCTGGAGCCCTTGCCCGGGGTGGTTGCTGCCAAGCTAACAGGGGATCTGTACTTCCTGTCCCTGGCTCAGGCCCTAACTGTGCTGCTGGCGCCCCCTGCAGGTGAGTGGAGGCTGTACTGTGTGAGAGGAGAAGTGCCCGTGGAGGGGAGCTTGCTGGAGGTGGCCTGTCACTGCAGCAGCCTGAGGTCCAGGACCTCCATGGTGGTCCTCAACGTCAACAAGGCCCTGATTTACTTGTGGCACGGATGCAAAGCGCAGGCCCACACGAAGGAAGTGGGAAGGACTGCAGCGAACAAAATCAAGGAGCAGTGAGTATCCTGTGCCTGTGAGGAGCTGAACTCAGAAGGGGCTTCCCAGAGGTGTGACACCAGGCGAGGAGAGAGGGGACCCCTGTGACAATGTCAACAAAGGGCAGCTGGGTGGAATTCGGTATTTCAAATAGGTGGAACTACCGTCAGCCAGGACCTCTGGTGTACGGGCGTCCCCAACCTTCTGAGCATCCGCCTGCCTCAGTGAACGGCAGTACTGAGCGGATGCAAAGGTCCTGCTAGCAGACCCAGCCTTAGAGGAGGCTGAGGCGGAAGTGTGGCTTGAGCTTAGGTTTGAGGCCAGCAAAGCCCCATCTCCAAAAACAACAAAAGCAACAGGCACCACTAAGCGCAAAGGCAACGACCCCACCAGACACATCAGCTACATCCTGAGAGGTTCCACTCAGCTTTTTCATTGTAAGCCTGGAGCCCTGTCATTTTTAAAGAGAGAATTTTAAGTATCTTTCAGGGATCCCAAGATGAGTTTTGTCAGAACAGAAGAGTAGGAAAGCAGCATTTGGGAGGGCTGTGAGATGTCCCTGTTACAAACAGCTCTGCACCCCTTCTTAACCAAGTCCCCAGCAGGGACTCCTTGGGCAGAGCCCCCAGTGTGGGTCTTCTCCCCCTCCAGGAGGCCTCTTCTGGTGGCAGAGTACTGAGTGAGGGCCCTGGGAGAAGGGGCACGGAGCCCGATGATGGAGCACCAAAAAGGTGTCCCTACCCCGTCCCCCAACCTCTACCCCTGGCCAGGTGGGCGGCCCTGTGGCTCTGGTCTTCTAGCACCACACAGATGGGCATAGGCAGCCAGGGAACCCCAGGGAGGACCTGAGTAACTGCCCTGTGTGGCCACCACACACCATCAAAGCACAGTATGGTGTAGCTCGTCCTCCTGGCACAACACTGTACACGGGGCCTGCTTTCCTTGTGACCACTGGAGAACTTGGCTCTGTGTGGCGAGGTCAGAGAGAGGAAGGGGACGCACATGACCTTCTGGCCAGCAGACAGAGGGAAGCAGTCTTCGGCATCGCTCTGTGGGCCATGGAGCAAGAAGGGCGGGATGATGTGCTCTGTGAGCTGTCCGTGGCATTCAGGCCCTGTCACTGTTTTCACCTGGACCACCAAGCAAAAGCAAAATGGAGAACTCATTCGCTTTTTTACTTATGCATTTAGCAAATGTGTATTGAGCTGCTCTTTGCTGCAAAGCATAGATTAAGAGACTGAGATTTGGCAGTGAATAAACCCAAGTGTTTCTTGTGACATTTATGTTCTAGCAGGAAAGACTAAGAGATAGTAAAAGTGTTGCATTACATGTTAAAATGTGGATTATTTTCATTGCCTGTCATATGTAATCATATAACCCTCTCTAGGGGCAAACCAGCCCTTCCTCTTCCAACCCAAACACGCTCATAAACTAGAGAATATATTTTCACTCTTAGCAAGAATTGCTTTACTTACAAAGTGGAACCAGTGGGCTGACCCATTAGGTTAGTCCTCAGTGGCTTTGTGCTGCTGGCTCCCTCTGGGCTCACAGGAACCCATTGGAGTCTGTCCCATGCAGATGCCCCCTGGAAGCCGGATTGCATAGTAGCAGCAACGTGACAATACACGAATGTGATGAAGGATCTGAGCCGCTGGGATTCTGGGACGCATTGGGAAGGAGAGACAGGAAAGCCTACGACTGCATGCTTCAAGGTAATGCTCTGTCCATAGCTTCAGTCATATTTTAATGCACTCTTTAATTTATTTGGTATTTCCTGAATATGAGCTACACGCAACACACAAGGAAGCTAACTAGAGTGTGTCCTCCCAAGCTTCCCACCACTGGAGAGACTAAGCAATAAGCCACATATGAGTGATTATCATCCCCAGTGCAAGTAGCTATGTGTTATGGAAGGGTAGAGGTGCCGAAGTTGAGCAGAAGATCCCCACATAGCTTTACAGAAAGGGGCATTGCACAGTCCTCTGGAGGTTGCTGCAACCTGGAGAAAGAAAATTCCAAGAGACTGATGAGAACAACACATGTAACCTGTGGAACAGTACTGTTCGGTTGGCCCAGCAGCCAGGTTTGGGGAAGTGGTGGGAAGACCAGTAATAGAGGGAGTCCAAGTCATCTTGCAGGATATTGGGAGGCTGGAAATACCGAGCCGTTCCCAGAAGTCACTGCTGGAAGGGGAGGACTGGAGGGCAGGATTGACGCTCTGTGTATACCTAGTAGACATTTAATGCATCTGTGAACAGAGGAAAATTGCTGGCAGCCTGTGAATTTGGAGCCTGAGAGTCGGATAGGTTGGAGAAGTGATCCCTAAGTGACGTGATGTGAGTCGGCATGGAATCCCTGGGCTCCTCTTTCAGTGACACAGATCTCTGGCAGAACAAAGGGCACAGACCTCAGGAAAGGGCTGGGTAGAATATCTGTGTCTGCTGTTGGGTATGATTCAAAGACAGTGATGGAACCACGAGAAGCAGATGAGCAAAGTCATGGCTATCAGGAAGGGACAGGTGCCACTGTCAATGGCACTGGGACAGCAACACAACATCCTTGGGACTGAGGGCGAGCTCCTCATCACCAACCAGTGCCGATCTCCAGACTGCAGGAGATCAGAGCAGCTGGTGAGCGGAACCCAGGGAGATGTCAGAGAAACTAGTACTTAGCAATCTGCAGCCAGGGAGATGGTTCCGGTTTTATTCTTCTATACAGTGGAAAGGAGGATAGCACAGCACAGGCTGTGACTCTCCTGTCTGAAATGCTTGGGACCAGAAATGTTTCCAATTTCATATTTTTTTCAGACTTTAGAATATTTGCATGCACATAATGAGATACTTTGAGGGTGGTGCCCAAGTCTAAATACAAAATTTATTTATGTCTCATATCTTGATACATATAGTCTGGAGGTGATTTATACAATATTTTAGAGCCCCTATGTATTGACTGTGACCTGTCACATGAGGTCAGAAATTTTCTACTTATGGTGTCATTTCTCTACTTAGCTTTGGATTTTCAACCATTTGACTTAGAGGGCCTCAGTCTGTAGCAGGGGTATCAGAGTCAGAAGGAACGTTTCTAGGGCCTAGATGATGTAACGTGTTGCCTGTTCTTGGTGACAGTTTTGATGGAGCGGCAGAATTCAGCTGAAGGAAGGACTGAACTATAGAAATAGATGATTAAGTTAGGAAGGAAGCCCATGAGGAGTAGGGATTAAGCGCTCAAGGGAGGAGGTGACATCTTTGTTGTTTATTGATTGTCTTCTCCATACCCAGCTTTATGATGAATATTATGAATTCAGCCTGTCCAGAATCCTGCTGTCACCAAAGATGATAAATGTGGATGGCCCAGGGGACTACCCAGCCACACCCCATCTTTTATGTTCTGATGTTTGTCCATCTAGGATTTTCTTATCCTAAAGACATTTAAACATACATAATTCTCCTTGGTCCTTTATGTCATGTTTGATCTTAACTCTTCAGTATAGCTGGTATTTGGCTTGATGAATGTGGCATCCAGTGGAGAGGCCAGTTTTCTTTCCCTAAAGAACAAAAATACGTTCCCACTAGGATTCAGTGCACGGAGCCTTGGGGGTCTCGGGGGCCCGCTGAGACTAAGGGCCACCCCTGCGAAAGTGGCAGTGTTCCGGGAGTTTGGGTGGAAGTCCAGGAAAGAAGCGGACCCTTCTTATCCCTTCAAAGTCACAGGTCCCATTGGGAAAGACAGTGGCTGCTGCCATACAGCTCGCTGTCCCCTGTCACCAGGGTGAGCCAGCACACGAGTGTGTGTGTTTCTGTCTTTTCCTAAGTGCAGGTTATTAACATGCATAAAACAAGTGTTGGTAAGCAGCTCTGACATCCCATGGACCATTTTTATGCTATGTACTTTCTTCCACTAATTCACCCCACCCAACCCTCTTCCATTTTTACAGATGAGAGAAGTTGGTGACCTGGGTAGGGCTGGGCGGCAGTGGTGTGTCTGCATAATCACTCTATCAGCCTCTGCCTCTCTAGTTCCATAAATTTTTATGTAACTTGTTAGGGTTTTTTTTTTTTTTAATCTTTTTCACATTTTTGCTTTGGGCTGCTGAGCCCAAAAGCAGCACAGGCAGCGGTGACCCGGGTTGGAGAGCTACATAACTTTTTTTTTTTTTTTGGTCTTTCTCGTTTTTATCGGTACCAGGGATCGAACTCAGGATCGCATACTTGCAAGGCAGACGCTTATGCTGCTGAGCTAAATCCCCAGCCCCCCTACATAACTTTTTATACATAATGCCTACCAGTTATAGAAACTGTTGATATTAGACAGATGAGGAAATAATTGCATGTAATGGCTCAGATATAGCTGGAATTCACATCGCTCTGTGCCATTTTCAGTATCTATTTTTAAAAACCAAATTCGGACCCACGGTTGTATGGTTCCCTTTCTCCCTTTATTATGATTAAGTTCCTAACCTGTTACTCTTTTAGACTTCGCGGCTGCAGAGAATTCAGTGAACTGATCCCATGCGCTACTCAAGAGTTTTGTGTAACTGGGGAGCCACTTTTTTCTCTATTATATAATAATGCACTTTACATACCTTTCAAAATGAGTATGTTCTTTCCTAATTAGGATGAATTCCTAGTTGTGGCACCTGTCTTTTAAGATTAGGAGTCACATAGTGTACATCGCATGTGTGCACCAGAATGTCAGTGCCAAGCTTCACTCTTACCAATGATAGGCAAAAGTGTACATTTCCCAGCAGTCATAAACTCAGCAAATTATTTTTTTCTTTTTGCCAGATAATTTGGGCCAGAAAACTCAGCTTCCCATTGTTGCTTAGAGTAGAAAAAGTTGTTTTGGGTCATGGTTCCAGATGTTTCCATCTATCATGAACTGGCTTCAAAGTCTCCGAGCCTGTAGCAAGGCACAAACATCATGGACAGACACGGCAGAGAAAAGCCACTCATGTGACGGCAACCAGCCACAGAGGGCAGGGGGGGAGCCTGTGCTGATGGCTTTGTCCTCCTCCCTTTGGGCAGGCCCTCCAACCTTAGGGCAGGTCTCCCCCTCGCTGTCTGGTCCCACATGCGAATCCCTCTGGAAGCACCTCATAGATACGCCCGGGGGGCCTCTTGCTAATTTCCTAGGTGTTTCCCAGTCCATCAGGCTGATAGCCAGTGTTAGCACTGCACTGATCATTGGTTTGCTTTAACTAGTTCATCAGAGGACTGAGACACTAACATATATGTCTGTCTGCCTGTCTGTCTGTGTGCATATGTGTGTATGTTATTATGCAGTTTCTATTTGCCATGCACACGCAGACACAAACACATGCATTCACAGATACATTTTTTTTAGCTATGTGTTGTTCCGCTTTGGTGAATATTTAATTTGTACCTAATTTGGTAGATATTTTTTTTTACACATCTTATGGAACTACTTGTCTTTTCCTTATTTATGTACCTCCGTGTCTAAGGAAACTGCTGCATTACAAATGTTATTAAAACTTTTGTACTCTAATTTTTCAGTTTACTTAATCATTTTTACTTTTGATTGCTTCTTTTACTGTTACAATTGAAAATGTCTTCCTCGCCCTGGGTCTGTAGCTCGGTGTGTGGTGTGTGCGGGCGCACACATACACACTCACACACATATACACGCGCACACATACATGCACACGCACAAGGCTTCCCCTTTGCAAGCCCTGATAATTCCTCTTTCCCTTCTGCTTTCACTGATTCTTTGAATTGTTCACGTTTTGTTTTCAGTCGTCTGCAGCTGGGTGTATGTGGTCTTCAACTCCGCTCTGTTTTCTTTCAAAGATCCTGGGAGTTTTAACTTCGCACCGCGCCTGTTCATCCTCAGTAGCTCCTCCGGGGACTTCGCAGCCACCGAGTTCGTGTACCCTGCCCGCGCGCCCTCTGTGGTCAGCTCGATGCCATTCCTCCAGGAGGACCTGTACAGTGCCCCGCAGCCAGGTACAACCGACAGGGGGCGCAAGCTCCTACCAGTGCTTACAGTATGGTGCCTTTTCTGTTTGCCAAGCACACTGCAGAGACCCTGGCTCACTTAATCCTCACACCTACCCCAAGAAGAAAAGGAATGAAATCAATGACCTGCGAAAGCACAGGACCTAAACTCCCACAGCACCTTTTCCCCTTGACAATCACGGCAGGTTTATTTGTGGTAAGGCCTGTGGCCCAGACCTCAGGATTGTGCTAAGCACAACAGTATCAGGCTGGCAGCTCTGCTCCTCTCCCAGCCTTCCTCTTAGACTTGTTGCTTCATGGTCCTTGGTGGGCTGCCCCTGCTCCAGCTATCATGTTTGCATTCAGACAGAAAAGAAGGAGTAGAGGAAAAAGCAGGATAAGCTGTGCTTCTGTCTTTCATGAAATAAAGCAAAATGCTTTCCCAAATGCCCCAGCAGACTTCTCACATCCCATTGGCCAAAGAGCATCACATGGCCATCCCAGTAGCAAGGGAACCTGGGATAGCAAGTGGCTAAGGAGAAGGAATGAGGCACTGCTGAGTTAGACCAAGAGCAGATTGGCTCTTCTGATTCTAAGGTCCAGGCTGTCTCCACTCCGGCCAGCAGCCTCTGTGCCTCCTTCTGGTAGGGAGAGTTATAGGGGTTGCACTCTTTTGCCATCAAGTCCGAGGCCCTGTGCTCGTGTTACAAGAGCCTGGAGCCGCAGCCAGGTGCCTCTCCTCGCTGATGGCCCAGGTCACTCCCAGGAAGCCTTGACCCGGTCGGGTATAGTTGCCTCACTGCTGGACACACGAGCAGCTGTCTGAGCGAAGCAGCTCTCCCTGACCTTTCTTGCTGGAGCTCAGGATGGATTTGCACTTCTAAAGGAAGTGGTTCTCCCGAACCCTGAAATGCATGCCTGGAAAGGCCAGGGCGAGCTGAGCCCCAGCTGGAGAGCTGCTTGCTGTGTGTGGAGTAAAAGTCAGACTGAGGGCATGCAGGGCAGGAAGTGAAGAGGGAGCAGGGGAACCATGCTGCTTTTCAGAGCCCATTTCTCCCCGAGACAACAGATACCCACGTCATAAACAGTCAGATGGACACGAACACCCAAGACCCGAGAGCAGGCTTCAGTTTGCGTTATGCTCTTTGGAAGCGACAGCCCCTCGGCGACCTGTCACTGCCCCACCCCTCTCGAGAGGGCCCACAGGCTACAGAGGCTGAGCTAGGTGAACTCGGTTGAGAGGCAAAGCAAAAAAAGAGGCCACGCCATCGCTGACGCCTCTCTACCTAGGGGATGCTCAGGTTGACTTTTACAAGGGCAGAGGTGGGGATGGGGGCTCTATTTGCCCCTTTGCCCCTGAGTTTGAGCGAGATGTCCCCCTCTGACAGAGCAGCAGGAGAAGGAGGCGTCCCTTACATTGGGGCCACCGCAAGCTGGCAGCGTGCATGCAGGCACTCCTGATGGTCTCTGTCCTCCTCCCTGCAGCCCTCTTTCTCGTGGACAATCACCACGAGGTTTACCTGTGGCAAGGCTGGTGGCCCACTGAGAACAAGATCACAGGCTCCGCCCGCATCCGCTGGGCCTCAGACCGGAAGAGTGCCATGGAGACCGTGCTCCAGTACTGCAAAGGTGAGGGGCAGGGCAGGAGCGGTTGGGGCTGCCGGAACCCCCTTCCTACTGTACACCCCCACCCTTGATAAGCAGGCAGCCCACGATGGAGCCAACTGAGCCCAACTAACTTTGTGAGGCTCCCTAATTCTATTGTGAGTACATTCTTGGCTGCCACAGTAAAGGAGAGTAAGTTTTTCTGTTCAATTTTAGGAAGCCATCTAACTTGTTACCTTCAAGGGACGCTGGGGAACACCCCAGTGTCCAACCCTGTTGTCCTTGGGGTTATTCACGGTGAAAGAGAGGTAGCCCAGCACTCTACTCAGTGCCTGCAGGGAGCACTGACCTGGCTGAAAAGCCAATGCCAACCCTTTCATCACTTAGTATTAGTTTAGAATTATATTCATAAAGAAAAACCTATAGTGAATCTGTGGGGTTTTTACTATGCCATTTTCCCAAAATACATGGTCTTTTATATGAATGAGGATGACAGTAATTCATGTTTCTGGTTTTATTGATGAACTTACTGTCCCTGGGTATGAAGAGTTCGCTCTCTTCTCTTATGATAAATACCTTTTTAAACTTTCCACCAAATGTTAAAGCTATAGCATTCCAGTAAATCCTGTCCTTTGCTGTCTAATGCCACCGAAGTATAAGGCCATCAGAGGAACCCCTCTGGGGGTGAATGCAGAGGGTGTGAAAGTCCCACGCCACAGCTCTCGGGAGAGGTCTCTGCCCTTCCAGGGACCTACAACATCTTGTTGGGGTCCAGAAGAAGTCCCAGCTGATTCCATGGCACCATGATAGGTTTGGAGTGAAGTCAGCCCTCTAGATACACGCCAGGTCCATGTTGTTATGAACCGCTCAGGGCCCATGTTTTAAGCATGGAATCAAAAGTTCTGAACAAAGAAGCAGAGGTCCCAAGGGAAGTCAGAGAAAGCTAGGGGTGTTGGGTCAGCTGACATTTGCATTCTGCTTTCCTTCAGGGAAGAACCTCAAGAAGCCGCCCCCCAAGTCTTACCTTATCCATGCTGGCCTGGAGCCACTGACCTTCACCAACATGTTTCCCAGCTGGGAGCACAGAGAGGACATTGCGGAGATCACAGAAATGGTGAGCACAGGCTGCCCTGTGACCCCCTTCCCGCTGGGCCATGGGAAGATTTCGCCTTGGTGAGAAGCACCCACCTGCATTCACAGTAGGATCGGTTGGATTTTTCTTTTGTAGCAGATCTATACGGAATTACCTTAGAATGAAGACAGGCCAAGTGGGAAGTAAACTGAACAGTTTGGGCAATTTTCTATATGTAGTACTCCGAGTTTAAATTCTCACAAAGGTAAATTTACTTACTTTGAAGACTATAAATAAAAGCTACTGCCTCTTCATTCTGTTAGCTGAAAGTATTGCACATGAGATAATACCCACCTAAGTCTCATGTTTCAGATGTTAACCTTGAAGAAAGACACAGAATGAACCTGTGATGAACGGATATCATTAACTGAAACAGTGACTGTCCCGTGACTCACTTGTGGGATCTTGTTTTGTCTCTTTCTGTGACCACCTGGTATCACATGAGGCAGTCATAACTTCTAGCTACCAAAATGTGTTAGTATCCATAAATGTGATCTTTTCCAGCCACACAGACAAGAAGCTTAACACATAGCTGTGTAGAAGTGGGTGAATTAACTCTACCAGTCTCAGCAGTGCCGAGAGTTTCTTTGTTTTGATAGGAAATGTGTGTTTTCCCTTTGACTTTGTGAGAGAAAGATGCTTTCCTGGGAGAAATGGCTTAAGTGTATTTTAGAGAAAATCTAAGTGATCTTAAACAAGCAAAAAGTCTGCAGCAATAGAGTGAGCTTCTATAGTGGGATGAAGGGATGAAGGTGGTGCTTAACCTAACCGGCTTCCTTTGATGGGGAGTTCCTGGGCCGGGACATGTTGGGCAGTGGCCTTACCTCTGAGCCACACCCAGCCCTTCTAACCTGTCTTTCTCTAAGCAAGTGGATTTGCTCTATTCTGCGGAGATGCTGGTTACTCCCTCTGACACAGAGCAAGATGGTTCTACTCATAGCAAATATGGGATCACAAAAACCAGAAGCTCCAGGGATGCTGGCCAATGTGGCTGCCTCCTGCAGTGTGAACCCAAGCACATAAACCAGCAGCGTATTCCTGTTTCACTGGGGACGGAGGGGGTCAGCCGTGTGGTGTGCTGTGTGATGCTACAGGATTCCTGCTCATGGCAAATCAGGCTCCTAGAGCAGCAAGTTGCACTGATAGCTAAGATTCACCAAGTACCTGTCCTGTGCTAGGCACTGATGCAGACACTTTGCTTTTCTGTTCTCTCTGAATCATAAGCATAGTCCTTAAGGATTATCTTAGTATTATCTCTGTCTTCATAGCATGAGAGCCTAGTTATGTCAGGCACTTGGCCTGCATCTCAGGTCAGCAAGTGGAGGAACCATATGCAGGCCCAGGCCAGCCCACTCCCAAACCCACTTCTTGACCCCAGTCTGTCCTGTGTGTTGGGGACAGAACTCGGTTATCTACTGTCTCATCCGCTTGCCGTAGGAGGGCAGCACATCGGGGATCCCAGTTTAGCAAAGGGAAAAATACCGTGTGTGGAGTAGCCTGCTCAGATTGAAGGCACACAGTGGTTTAAATAAAAACAGAAAGAGGTTAATTCACCCCAGAATATTCTAGGAACATTTTGTGTTTCCAGTGCTGGACCAAACGCAGGGCCCCAGGCCTGCTAGGGAACAGCCCACACTGAGCCACACTCCCCCCCTTCCTTTCCTTTCCTGCTGTGGACTAAAACATGGGGCCAGGGAAGAGGTAGTGGGATCTCTTTGAGGGTTACTTTGAGGTATTTGTAAACACCATTATTTGAAGGCTTTTAGTGTTTAGAAACCAAGCATTTTCTCCCATAATTTGCTCACAGGAGAGCCCTGAGACAGGACTTGTTAGTCCTCATGGTAGGATGAGAAAATATCTAAACGCTGCGAGACCCAAGCCTTTGACCAGGTCCTTTGCATTCCGAACCCGGTTCCCTCCCAGTAAAGGGAAGCCCCAGCACAGGTACAGTGCAGAGGGAGCAGGCATGTGTACTTATAGGCTATGTTAGTCAGCTTTCTGTTGCTGTGACAAAACACCTAAAAGCACTTTAAGGAGGAAAGGTTTGCTCTAGCTTACAGTGTTACAACAGGTTTCAGTCCAGGATTAGCTGGCTCCATGGCCTCTGGGCTGTGACAAGGTGAGGTGCATGTGCTAGAACAGAACTGCTCACCCACGGTGGTCCCAAGTCAGAGACAGAAGCAAACTCCCAGAAAAGAAGGAGCTAGGGATGAAGCATACCCTTCAAAGCCATCTTCTCCGAGACCTGCACCATGCAATTAGGTCCCACCTCCTAATGAGCCCTCAGCACTCTGGTCCCATCAGTGTGTTAATCCAGGGGTAAAGTTAAAGCCTTCATGCTCCAGTCCCTTCCACAGAGCCCACCAGCTGGCAACCAGGACTTCAGCACATTGAGCCTTTTGAGGGACATTTTAGATAACAACCAGAAGGCAAGCCCTTGATGAGCCATGTTCCAGTGTGAACCACAACAAATTCTTCTCTCTGCTCCTCTCCCCATGCCAGGACACAGAAGTATCCAATCAGATCACCCTGGTGGAAGACGTCTTAGCCAAGCTTTGTAAGACCATTTACCCACTGGCTGATCTCCTCGCCAGACCACTGCCAGAAGGCGTCGATCCTCTAAAGCTTGAGATTTATCTCACTGATGAGGACTTCGAGGTAAGCGGCCTTCCTGGGGGTGGACGCGGAGGCAGCCACACCAGTGGCCCGAGCATCTCCTCACTGGGCCTCCTGGGGTCCCCTGTGCTTCCTCAGTTTGCATTGGACATGACAAGAGAGGAGTACAGCGCACTGCCTGCCTGGAAGCAGGTGAACCTCAAGAAAGCGAAGGGCCTCTTCTGAGCTAGATGAACCCCGCGGCCCCATGGCAGCATTTTCAGTGCCGATGCACCAGAAAACCCGAGGTCTGGGGGACTGTTTCATTTTTAAAGTGTTCTTAAATCGAAGTTTTTCCAAACTTGACCTTATAATGATTCTGCTTGTCGCGGAGTTGTGTATTTTGTAAATGTCTAGGAGGACTCTTTGGAAACTTGCTTTCCACAATTCTGCGGGCGATGTCAATAAAAGTCTGCATCAGATGCACTTCCACAGCGATCCCTCAGTGGCCGTGGCTGCCTGCCCTTTTGTTCCAGCTAGGCATTGCCTTTGTACTTTTCTTTTTTTGAAGCAGTTCTCTTTATAAAGTGTTATTTTGATAGTTTGTGAATTCTAAAATATATATATATATATATTTATATAGACACCATATAAATCAACTATGTATTTAACAAAGCAATATGTATTCATTCACTTTTAAATTTTCTCTCTTTTTTGGTGTCAAAAGATTGTTACAAGGTAGTGGGAATGGCTTCCCTTGAATTCGGTCTGCCGCCCACCTGTAGTTTCGTACACGTTCAGAAGCTTCCTTCTGAGTTAGGCTGACTTGCTCTGAATGCTGCTTCCGGTGCTAAAACGAACAGAGAATTTGTACTTACTGGTGTGGACTCTGAAGAATCTACATGAATCAACCTTTCTACCTTATCTCCCCCCAAATGTATAGTGCCTTGTTTTTATGTACAGTTTATATACAGAAAAGTTTGCTCTGCATTTATGATGCTGGTGGAGAACATTGCTTACAGTTTTACTGTCAAATAGTGGGAATAAAAACATCTCAATTTGTAAAACCAGTTGTAAACATTACACATCATTTTGTGACCTAGGCTTCCAAAATAAAAACTTCGGAATAATCACAACAGTGAATAGATTGATTCACGTTGGATTCTAAGCATGTTGCTGTGTAGAAAAAATGTACTTGTACTCGTCAATGTAACACCAATATTTTTGTCATTAAATGTCAACTGCTGTAACTTTAGGGCTAGATTTCATATAGGGTCATAAGATAAAATGGGCAGATATTTGACCCATAAATTAGTTCTAAATTCTGCAACAGAGATATTTCTACAGACCATCATTTATCAGCTCAACTCTACAAATGTATCTACATTTCAAGATCTCAGTACCTTTAAAATGTAATTAGATAAGACATCTGGAAAATTTAACATGGTTAGAAAATTCACACATTGACACATTCTTAAACTACCAAATCCAGCGCTCAGCTTCCAGCTGTGGTACAGTGTTTGCCTTGCATGCACCAGGCCCTGATGAGGCCCACACAAAAAGAGAAAGAAAAAACCATGTTCTACAGATGGATCGTGAGTTGGTAGCGCCACTGCTGCTTCGCTTAAGTCTGAGTCTACTATACCCAGCAATCATATGCTGGTCTTAGACGTAGTAACTCACACGCATGGCCACCCCTCCAAGACCTGCACCAGGGTCAGGGCCTGTAGGCTCCTCCTGGCCCCACCATGTTCTGACTCTGAGCTGAACATCCCTTCCTTGGTGTCCTTAAGAGACATCTTGGCTGCATTATGGAAACTTTGGCAAGGATCAAGTGGGCGTTCTGATAAGTAGTATCAAGTTCTAGATACTCGCTGGTGCTCATAGCACCATGATGATAACAGAAATAGGAAAATACACAAATGAAAGTTTAGGGATGTTGTCATCCAGAGTGAAGTTATAGATCAAAAAATCAAGTAGATGGGGAAGGAAAGAATATATGTCCCTTAGGTAGTATCCAAAGAGGAGTGGAGAAGTCTTCTAGAGAGAATAGGACAACCCGTGAGACAGACAGACGGAGCTGCAGATATCTATGACAGGTAGGAAAGCACCTGGATTCTTAGGTACGTAGGAACTGTATTAGAACCCAGAAGATAGGTGGTTGACTCACGGGTGGATGGATGGATAGACATGCAGATAAGAGATGACAGATAGACAGATTTATTAGAAAAACAAGCTCATGTGACTGGGGCTGAGAAGTCTCACAACAGGCTAGGTGGCAGCTGGCGACCCTAGGAAGCAGTTGTATGGCTGTCCAGGACCACAGGCTTCAGAACAGGGAAACCAGTGTGTAACTCTTTAGTCCAAGGCTAGGGTCCACTAGAGTAAGACCAAGAACCTAAAGACCAAAGAACCTGGAGTTTTGATGTCCACAGCACTGTAAGAACAGCACGTGCTCAACCACATTAAGGACACCTCTTCCCAACTCCATCCTCGAACTCTCCCATGCTACCTCCACCTGAAACTCCTTGAAGCAGTCCCCCAAGTATCACTCTACCAGTTCTCTAATATTCCTTGGTCCAATCAAGTTGACACCCAAATTTAAAGATCACAGGAAAAGGAACTTCCAGCAGTCTGCTGGGATTAACAAAAAAGATGGCACCACCAGTCCTCCTTACCACCGTGTTTTAAAAGACGGTGTCTCCACCTGACCCAGGGAGGAGCTCTCAGTCACTTCCCAGCTCTGTGAACGAGGTATTCCAGCTTGATGCCCCTCGCTGCCTCCTCAGGCCATGGGAAATGCACCTGACATCTGAAGCCATGGGTTCTGGAAGTGTCTTAAGGAGACTTGGAACTGACTAGTGTTATCTGGAAATTGATGTAAATTACCTGTTATTAGCCCTTGCTGAGTTAGCCAGTCTAACTTGGCTATCCAAGCACCACTTTGGCCTTCAGATGGCTGTAATCAGATCTGTGAGCCAGCTCCATATAGGTAAAGAAACACTGAGCAACAGCCTGCCAGGGAGCCTTATTCTTGTGCTTATATGAACAGAAAGAACGAGAAAATGGGGCGGAGACAGAGACAGACATAATCAGTACCTTTTCATGACTGGCTTCTGCATGTGGCAAAAAGCAAGTAACTAGAGAACACATTTGGGAACTGCAGGACTTGGTTAGCATCAGAGTCTGCCCTAGGAGGTGATGGTAAACCGGGCATCCTCCCTCTCTGCCTCCATCCGTGGTTCCGTCCTAAAGGAGCCCATTCCCTTTAAAACATCAAGCATCACAAAGAGCTAATGGGCAGAACTGTTTGCAGTGGCGACATAGGTAGAGGTTCCGATGGGGAAGCCTCTTCTCTAGTGGTGAGGGAACATCTTTCCACAGGTTCAAATCCAACCCCTACATCAGCAACATCATCCTCCGATGTGTGTTTCTGGGACCACAGAGTCCATTGTTTGAAATGGTTTATATTCGTCCACAGTATGCATATGTATTACTTATTCATTCAATTATTTCTTGCATGTGTGCTAACAATAAGGCTCAACAGATTACAAAGTACCTAGGCTCTGGTGTCCCGAGGAGTGTCCCGAGGAGTGTAACCAAACTCTGTAGTAATGTGCCTTAACTGCTAACCTCACGGGAAGCTCTTTTGATAACCAAATTAGATGAGGCCAGTAGGGTGGGCCTAACCCATGACTGGTGGCCTCAATTGGAGAGGGAGTCTGGACATGGAGATGAACACACAGACAGGGAAGACTGTGTGAGGACACAGGGAAAAGGCGGCCACCTGCAAGGCAAGCAGTGGCCTCAAGAGACTCCAGCCCTGGCAGCACCTCAGTTCAAGACTCTGACTCCAGAAGTGTGAGGTGGTGACATTTCTGTTGCTTACCGCCCAGTAGTGACCTGTACAGCAGCTCTGAGGCCCTAAGCAGCCTCACCAGGTGGTGAGAAAGGAGAGAGGGAGAGGGATTGGGGGGCTACAGGGAAGAGCCCAGAAGGACTGGTGGGATTTCTCACTGCCCATGAGCCTGCCCCGAGCATCAGCCCCAGATGAAGACTTGGAAGGCACACAGGGAGAGGGGAGGCCGGGCCACGCCACCAGGATAGCACAGCTAGGAAGACAACATGGCCAGGAGGCCTCATGAGGGCCGAGAAGAGGAGCGTAGAAGAGAGAAGAAACTGGAAATGGTCAGACCGCTTCAGATACGAGAAAAACCAGGCAATGCCCGGCCTGGACTTCGTCAGGAAGGTGGGCAGTGTCCCCCTCTCTGTGATCCGGAGTTTCCAGGGCTCCTGGTGTTTGTCCCCTGTTTATCTGATGCATATCTGTGTTAGTGTTTCTGTCCTGTGCCTTCATACTCAAATCACTAAGAACTCTGATTTATTACAGCCTCTTCTAATCTATTGTCCACAAAGATGTCAGAGTTCTGAAATCTCTAGCTAACAACACGCGACAGTATTTTTTCCTAACTTGTGGCCAGGAGGGAGCTTGGCTAAACCTTGCTTTAGTCTTGGAAGCCACTCGAAACAAGAAGTTATTCTGCTACGTTGAAAATAGTAAGCATGTCTGAACCCCACATGGCTATTTTAATGATAAATTTCATTCTTTTACTTTTGATTCAGATTTTTCCAGTGCTGGGGATAGAACCCAGTGCTCAGGCAAGCACATTACTACTGAGCTTAAATTTAAATTAAAAAATGCTTATTCGTCTTTCAAAAAAACCTTTGAATGACCCTGTGAAAATGGGCATTACTAAGAAAATGCTAAGACATCCAAAACTGAAGGGACTCAGCTAAGATGTAGACCTGTACAGGTTCTTGTTTATCTACTCCATCTGAATTTGATTATGATTGAGTAATACAAACTCAGGCTCACTACCATCTCTTCCTACAGTTAGAGAGAAACCTAGGGAAGGAACCTGTCCCGGACCAGCTGCCTCCTCTGATTTCATCAAATCCTTGGGAGCATGGCCACTGCAGTACAGATGTGGTTTGTCCCCAAAAGGCTCATGTGCTTGGATGCTGGGTGCCCAGTTTGCTGAGGTAGCAGGACCTTTAGGCCATGGCCTAGAGGGAGGTAATTAGGCACGGGCTCTACCCTCAGGTGCTGCCTTCCGAGCCTGGGGAAAGTCTGGCCGGAAGTAGATTCCTCCCCACCACAGAGCGGGTTGCTATGGAAAGAGCGAGCTGGCCCCTCTGGTTCTCTTGCTGCCTCGCTTGTACACAGGACCAGTTTTGTTTCTACTCTTTGAGCAGGTTGTGACACAGCAAAGGGTCCTTGGAAGCCACCAGCACCATGTTTTCGGACTTTCCAACCTTTGGAATTATGAGACTAATAAATTTATTTTCCTGATGCACCAGCTTCAAGCATTTTGTTACAGCAACACTGCATGGACTATGGCCTGACCTTATGAGGTGCTGACACATCATTGTACAGATGGGGTTCTTGGGGGCTCCATTCTGATTCACACACTGGGGAATGGGAGACGCTGAATTTGAGTTGCCTCCTCATGGACAACAGATGGGAATTCTCAATCACTGACTGATGAATGTTAGCTGATGAACGTTAGTGAGTATCTCCATCTCTCCCTGGTTTCACTTGTGTTGGAGGCAGCACATCTGGAGGAGCCGCTGGCCCTCACAAACACAGCAGCAGGAAAGACATATTTCCCGGGGAGTTACCCACGCTCTGTGCTTCATTCTATAGAGTGCACTGATGGTGCCAGTCCCTGCACCACAGATGGCTGCAAAGTGAGACAAGGTTTGCAAAAGGCCCAGGCTGGCATACAGCAGCTATTCAATAACGAAGGGTGGAGACGATCTTGGAAGATTTTCTCGCTGAAGCAAGGCTATGTGGTGGCCTACACCACTGAATGAGGTGAGGAATCCATGGATGCTTTTGCACCCTCAGACACTGAGGCTTCCTGGGGTTCAGGCCAGAGGCCAGCACCCCACCAGTAGGAATCATGCATGGAACTCGGCTTGTGGCCTGCTTGTGCTTCAGGGGATACTGAACATTGACCTTTTGGGGAGGACTGTCTTGATATGTCTTGAAATCTAAAGTTGACAGCTTCAACTCATCTTCAGAATGACTCCGTGTGTGTAAGGCAGAGGACAACAAGCCACTTTGGGGGTG